AATTTTAATTTGTAAAAGAAACTCAACATCGTGACTTGTGATAAAGGATATCGAAGTTTCCGGTAATTTACTGAATTTCATCAAAATCAGTCAATCCGTTTGGACATGCAAATTTAAAATTTTCGATATCATTCCAAATTATACAGTAGTTAAAAAAATTGGCTACTTCTGTCGCGAGTTATTAAATACGGCAACACCACGTAAGAACACGTGGTCTTTGAGGTTATACCGTTATCAGCATTCCGTAAGCAACGCTGATTAGATAACTGATAAGCGGTCGTCAATTAAGTCACTATGGGGACTTCCAAGAAAATTCGCATGAACCTGAATATAATATTAACTTATACAATATAGAAAAAATAGTCAACTGTGCCTCTACTGTTTTACTATACTAATATATAAAGCCGAAGAAAAGTTTGTTTGTTTGTTTGAACGCGCTAATCTCAGGAACTACTGGTTCGAATTAAAAAAAAATTGTATTGGTTAGACCAATAATTATGGAGGAAGGTTCTAGGTCGCGTAGTGACTAATAGGAGCGATGTAACAGCGGGAAATGTGGAAAAACGGGGAAACTTATGCATTTTTGTTGGTTTCCGATCCGTACGTTGCAAAAACGGTTCAAGATACCCAAAAAATATATATGAAATAATCAATCCCTATTATTTTAAGAATCTAAAAAATATATCTGCGACACTATATGTTTCTCTTTTAAGATAAACTTGCAGGAACGACGGGACCCGAACTACGGGTCGCGAGCGACGGGACGCGTCCGATGTCGATGTCGGATAGCAATTTAAATTTATAAAGATGAAGAGGAGGTTTGCAAAAACAAATTTGGATGCCCTTAAACAACTATTCTCCGCGGACGAAGTCGCTAACAGCTAGTCTATACTAATATTATAAACCTACTAATAATATAGCCGTTTGTTTCTGATCAAATAAGTATTGCTAGGCAACCCATTTCTATGGAAGGCACATATTATATTTTGAAGAGGGAAATAAAAAGCAAAATGATAATCTTGAACTGCTCCTGAGTTCGATTCACAGTGTTTAACAAGTTTTAATTATATTTATATTTCTACAGTTCTATAGTTTCTAGGTGACAGAATTTTTTCATATATGATAGACATGAAAGAGAACTGAAATTCAGCGTTTCGCTTTTAGTCATTTCCGAATTTCCAAATCCTAAACTAGCTGACAGTGCATCTTGTTTAGATGTTACTGAGATATTTCACTTTGCATTTACCTCATGCCTTCTGTGTCATCCTGTTATAAAAATCTTTAAAAAAAATTGCATGTTCTATTATTTGTTATAGAGTTACTTTATACAGAAACCATCTTGGTTTTAAATTAAACTAACCGGTGTTTAAATAAAAAAACTTTAACGGTTTAAAACGCGATATATTAGTTAAACTTTTTGAAAATTATTTTTAATTTGTCTCTCCGTGACCACGGCTGCAGCAAAGCATCCGAAACGTCGGGCCGAAGTTAAGAATGATTTTCAAATAAGTTTAACTAATATATCGCGTTTTAAACCGTTAAAGTGTTTTATTTAAATGTGTACTACTCTCGTTAACTATAGACAGTATTTAACCGGTTTTTATATAATTATTGTAAAGAATAATGTGACAAGGGTTAACACCGCATTTCTATAAGCGATATCTAATCTGGTCGTGTGTTAAACTGCAGTAAACATTAACAGTCTCTCCATTAAATTTTAATCCTCAGAATTAACTGTGACTCGTGAGCGAGAAGCATTACCTTCATAAAATACTGTTTCATTCGATATAATAAAAACTAAGGTTCTAAGAATACTCCCATAACTAGAACTTAATACTACAACTATGTACATCAAAAGACAAGGTATACAGTATAACATAGAGTTTACTTGAAGCATCCGAAACGTCGGGCCGAAGTTAAAAATTATTTTCAAATAAGTTTAACTAATATATCGCGTTAAACCGTTAAAGTGTTTTATTTAAATATGCGCTATCAACCTATTTTTTCGCTTCAGACATTTGAATATATGTGTATGTTCCCATTTTAGGCCATAAATTACAAAACCGATTTTAATCATATGAGTGTCTGCAAATATAGCCCCAATGGTTAATACTCCACTAATATGTAGCGTCTAATATAAAAGTAGATCTAGAAGACTGTCAAAAGTTAATTACTTTCAACAATCGAACAAAAACCTTGATATTTGTATGATACAAATTATTCGTTTCGCAATTTCACTTTCAATCTACTTATTAAGATACTTATTGTGTAATGTGTTTGTTCTTTGTATAATTATTACATTTATTGCATTGCGTTACCTATTACTAATAATATATTGTCATCTGTATTTCACACTACTTTGTCAAATATGGTACAGCCGTTTAACCACACACAAGCATCAATCTATCTATCTAAAAAAAAATCCCTTTTTGTTGGGAAAAAAAAAAAAAAAAAAAAAACCCCCCGGGGGCCCCGGTGGTAAAAAAAAAACATGTTTTTAAATAAGGAGGAAAATAAAGCGCAATTAACTTTGAAAATACATTTGTCCCATTATTTGTGTAAGAATTGTGTTAACAATATTCATTCACTGCTCTTATAGATTAAAATTTTTAGGCTGTGAAAATAAATAACTCAAGTCATAAAAATTGCAGTTAGGCTACTATTCCTAGTGGCCTCATATAGATCAAGAATATATATTAAACTTGTCTCGCTTAGCCTATCTCCTCAACTATGACTACTTAGCTAAAGAGTTCAAACAATACGACCATGGTTATTTAAATGATTCATACATACATTATTATATTTTTATACACATGATTATAATAAAAATAATTGTATGATCATTACTATATTATATGTGTTATATATTTGTTATAGAAGTGGAGATAGACTTAAATGAATTTTAGTTTTAGGAAATTAGAAAATAAATTATTTAGGAAAGAAACATCATCGTTTAACACATTAATCATTATGTGTGGAAAAAAAATTGATTAATTTTACATAACTACCACTTTTTAGAAATGTTTTAATACTCATCATATATCTGGAAACTGTATTTAGAAGTTTAAATGAATTAAATGATCTTTAACTTCCTTCTATCAGTATACCAAAAAGAAAACAAATCTTCTTAGCAAGTCTAAGCTATGTAGAAAATCAGTCAATAAAATAAATATAACAGTTTCAGAATGCTCTTAAACTTGACACACATATTGGTGAAGCAGTATTAATTAGATATTTAAAATATTAAGAAACCAAAAACAGTAACTACCGTTTCCGTATGTCAGTGTATAGCTGTTATACAAAGTTGGGTCATACAAAGTTAACGATGATACATCCTCACCAACATTTATAATTAAATAATATATTTAATTTTATCTGTTGAGCAAGTACACAAAGCAGTCATTTGTTTTTTTTTTATTATACGTAAAAGAACTAACTCAGATGTTATATTAAATACTGTTATCTTAAACTACATATTTGAAACAACTTACATAATACGTAATAAATTCAACATGTGAACTTATTTAGCAGGAAGTAAACTTTGAGGTTAATATAACATGATAGATTTGACATTATTTCATAATAATTTGATGTTTTCATCTAATGTGGTAATTTGAAACATAAAATGGGACAGTCCCAGGAATGAGGGTCTTCAAATCAATTACTAGATTAAACAGTGCCTGAGGTCTGTGTAAATATTGAAACCAGCGTTCACTTATTTATTTCAATCAAATTCATTTGAGGTTTTTCTATGACAACATAACACACTGAACCATATCCTCCCATTTTTATATGATGTATTTAGTTTTATTTTATTTTCTATCGGGGACACTGATAAGAGGCTGGGTGATCAGGTCACACCATCACCTGACCATTTCACCTATTTCCCCATCTCCTCCTAGTAGGGGTTTTTGGGTTATCCCACTCGCACCATGTCCCCTTTAAACCTTCTGGTTTGCTTGCAGAATCTTACCATTTGTTAAGATGGATAACTAAGAACTCCTAAAGTCGGTATATACAAGTAATTGGTTATTACAGCATAAGCTGATATCAAAGACATGTAAATTGGAACAGATAACAAGTTTTTGTAAAAGAACAGGATGATTAATTCTCTTATAGCATAGCATTGCATATATCATAGGTGTAGGTTTTGTCACAATGGCAAACAATCAGAATCAGACTAGTGTAAGCACTGGTACAAGTTCTTCTGGTGGCACAGAATATATCAATCCTTTTTCCTCATAGTTACTTTCACCAAAAAGGTATTTTGTGTGTGTTAGTTGATTAAGGTGTGCAAACACCTTACAAACAAAAATAAATTTACCTTAACTAGTTATGAACACAATAAATACTTCATAATAGGAAGTTTAGGTATGTGCAGGTAATAGTTAGTCATAATTCAATTCAATAGAAAAAACTTTTGATTGATAACCTATATAATATTGCAGTCATCAGATTTAGACAGACACGCTTGTTAGAGTAAAACCGATCTATCAATACAGGCCAGTAGATCAACATCATCACTGTAAAAACTATTAAAATTTTACAGGCTTCAAACCCAGGACCTCTCATGCAGGGTGCTGATAAAGATAATCATGGTGGTCATTAGTGATAAGTAAAAAACTCATTGTATTGATGGAAAATATTTCAGATTTTTAAGATTAGGTTAGGACTAAGATTGATAGCCTTTTCAAACTTTGCAATATTGAGTCACTTTTATATAATGTTATGTCATGTTTATGTTTAGTCTGTCTGACCGCTTTTTGGATAATCATTACAATCTCATCCATACCTACATATTGGGGACGATAACATGTTCTCTATATTACATCATTGAAGTTGATAATTCACAACTTCAATTCATGGTATCTTGATACTATAATACAAGGGTTATTAGGAGTAATTGACAACTATTTGACCGAGACAGAATCTTAGAACCAGACAAAAAGTTTTACAGCTTCCAAGCATTCAACACTATTATTAACAGGAATTCAGCTCACCTGCCAAGGATTGACTTTAGGTATTGGTGCCTCAACAAACTTCTTTGGTTGAGCCTCTGTTGACGCTGGCTGTTCGGCAGGTTGGGGCTCAGTGTGTGCTTGAGCGGCCTTGGGAGGCCTGGGAGCTGCTCGCTTCTCCCTCTCCTTGCGACTCTTCGCCGGTCTACGCGCGTGCGAGACCACAGGCACAAAACCTTCCTCCCCCTCGTCTTCATGTCGAGGAGGAGTACCCACTATCTCCGTGGACTCAATGTTTTCTTTGTTACTCTCGACGCCGCCGAAATTTAACACAGACGCGTACGAGGGCCCACTTCCCTCGACGGAGACCTTTGTGGCCATACCACTGCTAAGTTATGTAAGGAGGCGCGCGCTCCGCGCCGGCAGACGATCATGAGCGCGCAACCATCAAGCCTCAACACATGCTTGCAACGGTACAAACGAATGGAGGAACTTTCCCGATCGCACGAAGGTCGCTCACGCACTAATCTATCCGACTCCGTAACTCGGTCACCGATCTATGCGCACAAAACGTAAGCCACACCAAATTGACCCTCGGCCGACAGTATTTACATCGAAAAAATTTACTTCCGTTCGCCTGTTCCAACTTTTTCTGGCGCAAAGGGGGCACGGATCGATGTAGATACGCGACACACGTGTGATTAGACACCGGATAGGTCTGTTTGAACTAAAAATCACTGAAAAACCATATTTTGTTCACAATTCACACATGTGGTCGGACGCCCAAAAAGGGTATTTTCCGCAACACACACGGAACTCGCGGAAGGCTGACTTCTAATTTTACAAAACAACATTTTGACAGCAGATGGCGCTCTGCCACACTGAACAATCACTGCGTTCAATTATTTTACAGAGCAACAATAATTTATTGAATATTTGAAGCAAAACGTAAAAGAAAATACTACAGAATCACACTAGCAACTAATAATACTTAACAATCCTATGTAAAAAAGATTTTCAGATGTATATTAATTTTATGTTAAATCTACAAAAATATTAAATTCATCGTAAACGCATCTATAGTACAATCACATTGCATTCTTATTTGACCTTTCGTTGAAAAGTAACCTAATAATTTGCTTAATTATTCATTGCTTTGTAGAAATGAGATCACTTTGGGATACGAAAATTTTTGTAAGAAAAAATTAAGTTTGGACTACAGTTAATAGCACCAAAAGATATATATTTATTTAATATTTTGAATTCCCTCAATTATTATTAGGATTGGCAACATTTATGCAACAGAGGTTCGTTTAAAAGTCATGTAGCGCATAGACTACAATAAATAATATACTATGGATAAATCGGTGACTATACCATATTAAAATTTTCTTCGAATACTTAAAAAAATATTTTACACATGCAAATATTTATTGAACAATATGTCTCACGAATATGAGTTATCTGGATTCGTAGGGCAATACATTCCCAAATAATTACGGCAATTTCTGCAATAATGGTAAACATCTTTACACGAACGCAAAACATAGGGCAACGGAGCACATATCCAGCAACATAACAGGCATAGTATAAAGGCACATAAATGCGTACATAGCGTTACTTTTGTCCGTACTAAAGTCATACCTGTATACCCACATTCTGTGCAAATTACTGGTGTAGGGGTAAAACCAAAATGATATGCCCTTGTAGGTGGGGGCGGTAGAGTGTTATCCATGTAGATATCAAAAGCAGCTGCATAATTAGGAGGTGGTGAATGCTGCACAAAGGATGGAGAAGGAATAAACGTTCCCATTAATCGAGGTCGTCTTCTTGCGTTCATTTGTCGTAGTACAAAGGAGTATGATGGTGGGGCACTTGTCAATGAATTAGGGGGCGATGGTTCTGGCAAGGCAGTGTTGCAAATTTTTTGAGAGTTCAGCAAACTGGTTATCTGTCGATTGTTAGAGATTGCTAAACTTATGGAGCTCTCGTTCAATTTCGCTAGAGTGAGTAAGAATAGTGACTGGGGTTGGTTTGGAAGAGACACAAAAGATATAGGAGGCTTCGGATCGTTTTCTAGAGGTCTATCCGTGTTTTGCATTAAGCATGAAGTTGTTCTACTGAATATAAGAAGTGGTATAGATGTTTTTGGTTGGATGCTTATTACCATTTTGTCGTTTTGGCTAGTTGGTAGTGTGGAAATTGGTCGTCCAGTTTCGACGGCTGTACTAGTTGTAAAATCAATTATGTGTGTTACCAATTCCTTGGAGGTAATTGAAGCATCATCGTTTTCTTGGTAAGTTTGGTTTGTTCGTGAAGATGTAGGAGGTTCTGAGGAGTTAGCATTTTTGTTTTCATCCATACTTATTTTTATAATTCTGAGGATTGTACGTTCTCATATTCTGTAAAAGCATGTTTCTCACTCATAATTGTGACAATACAAATTGACAATAATTAAAGGAGTAGATAGATTATTTTTTAGAACATGTCAATCAACAAGACTCGGATGAAACACTTAAAAAATAGTATATAACGTAAAAAATTGTATATATATAATTAAAGTAAATAAATAATTTATATGTGTAATACAAAAATATGATTATTAATGGCACATTTGCAATTAAGCACCGGTTGGGAATATTAACTAAATAGTTTATGGTTATTTTTGTTAATAGCAACGGTCGGTAACGAGTGCCATAAATGACAAACTATGAGATTTTGACATAGCACCGCTTCCGGTCTTTTTACTTCTCCGTGGCATGGCGGATGGTGTGTACCGCCGCCAATAGAGTGTTTTTGGAGAAATAGCTTCGCTAATTAAGCGAAATGGTAAGTAACGACAAAATAATCGTTTACTATTTACTAAAATCATAATTCCGTGACTTACGATGTCAAGTGATATGTGAATTTTATAAACATGGAGTCGCGGTGTGAAATCCACGTGTTTGTGTGGAAAAAAACTGAAATAATCCACAATACCGGATGAACAGTAAGTTATTTGTGTGATCGGGTCTACTGGCGTTCCGTTTATGTACAATTTGTACATGCTGCTTAGTTATTCCTTCGAAATACTACAGAAAGATTTTTTTTGTTGAAACCAAATTTACGTATCCGCCGTAACCATCATCCTAGTAACCTCATCGGTAGTGGTAATGGATAAATCCATTTATACTCGTTGTTTATTTGTTCGATTACGAAGCTTAAATTGTATGCTTGTTATTTCAATATAGCGATTTATCTATTTTGAGGTTATATTCTAGAACGTTGTACACAATAATATTGAGTTGGGTGCCGATTTTCCTTCCATTTTTTAATCGTTACTTACGTCCAAATATTGGCAGTATTAGCGAACACTTGGAAAGATTTTTGTAAATTTAATTAAATGATACTTAATTTTTAATATTACACTGAAATTAGGAAAAAACTTCTACTTTGGCCTTTGTTGTATTTGAATAAATAATTAGTGTCTGCATAACTTTATATAAATGTAACATTCTATTTGTGTTATAGTCATTTAAGTAAAATTTATGTTATATATGGGTTTTTAACAAGGATTTTTTAATTCTAAATTACTGCCTCTAATCTTTCTCTCAGGCTGAGTTCATATTAAAATTATCCCCAATAACTCTTCCTAGTTGTATGCTATCATCTCCTAGGTACAATAAAGGGGAAATAGTATCATTCCTTTAGGAAACACCTTGATAGCTCGAGTTCATGGTGTGTCGACATATGGAAAACAATTTTATATAAATTAATAATACATTATTAAGAATATAGGTTGATACAAGTTTGTAAAATAGATTAAGAAAATTATGATGAAACAGGAAAATTAAAATTTTACCAAATCTCCATACATTCATGCTAACTTATTGAAATTACAGAGTTTATCAGTCGCCCGACCGCTTGTGTCGGTTTACTCTGAGAAGAGCGAGGTGGTCAAAGATGCATCTTTGCCCCTTCCATTCGTGTTCAAGGCACCCATCAGGCCTGATTTAGTCAACGATGTTCATGTCTCAATGTCCAAAAACTCGAGACAGGCCTACTGCGTCAGCAAGGAAGCAGGTGAGGCTGTAAACATCAGGACTAAGAAACCTAATCTAGATCAATAGTTTTGTAATTATGAACCAATGCAATAATAAACATTATATAACTTATTTTTCATGTAACATTAAATACTTTTATTAGGACATGTGTAAAAACATATCATATATTTGAAGAGAAGTAAGGTTTCATTTACTACATTAACCTCATAGTTTTACACACCAAATTTTTGTACGCACTAAATGTCCACACTCAGCAATGCCCATATTGTTGAGCGTTACTGCGGAATAGTGCTAAAGAATATGTATATGCTAGGCGTTCCATATTATCTCTGTAGGTGTGATGGGTGCATTGTGTATACTACAATTAAAGACTTAATTAGAATAATGTGTAAATGTGAGGCCGCTAGAGGCAGAGTGGCCTAATAAAAAAAACATGATTTTATAAGGAAAATGAGAAATCACAATTAACTAAGGAAAATGATTGTTTTCTATTATTTGTATAAGAACTAGAACTCAGAGATCTCTAGGCTAACAATTTAGGACTGAAACTGAATATAAATAACTCAAGTCATAAAAATTGCAGTTTTAGGAACTTCTTTTAACTATGACCTGACATCCGAAGATTAGCCTCTGACCTATGTCCAATTTGACTACCATGACCTATGATCATCAGGACTATTCATGATGGTACTAAAATATTTCACACTCATTTGCACTCTCAAACAAAACAGTACACAGACTAACAAAGCAATTAAAAGTATTAATTTCTTTGTAATTATTAACAGGTCACCAAACCAGTGCTGAATCATGGGGTACCGGTCGTGCCGTAGCTAGAATCCCACGTGTCCGTGGTGGTGGTACCCACAGGTCAGTTATTCTTTTCACATACTATAAGTGTGGTACATTCTGTTCCAATATGTAACTGCGTAATGTTCATAAAAACATATGTATGCTTGTTGAAATTATTATGTTAATGTTACAATCCGTTAATTAATAAATAAAGGGGATAGTAAATCAGTAGGTTCATAATAATATGCACTTTTACTTTTGACTAACAGTCCATTCACCATCTCTTCAAAATGCCATTGACAGGTCTGGTCAGGGAGCTTTCGGTAACATGTGTCGTGGTGGTCGTATGTTCGCGCCAACAAAGCCCTGGCGTAGGTGGCACCGTCGCATCAATTTGCGTCAGCGCAGAGCAGCTGCTGCAGCTGCTGTTGCCGCCGCTGGTGTGCCAGCATTGGTTCAGGCTAGAGGTATGTTTTTTATTTTATATAACTGGTCATCCTATGGCCATTGTTACATAATGCCGGAGTGTTTCATCATTGTTATCTATCAGTGACTCTGGTGGGTAACCCATGTCTTTTTTACACAGGTAACCTGAAAAAGAGATATGTACCAATTATTGAGGGTTTCCAATAATCCAGTTTCCCAAGTGTTTATAATTATAGTTGCCTTACTTACACAGACCGCTGCCTATGCTTGTAAACAAATATTGTAAAATGTTAAGACCTGTCTCGGTTGTAAACATTTTTATAAAACATGGTGATAACGTAACGGATATTAGTTAAGACCTAGAAATTATTGTTGTTGTCGGGGGGGGGGGGGGTGGGGGGGGGGGCTTCGGGGGGGGGGGGGGGAGGAAAAGAAAGGAAAGGGGGGGGGGAAATAAAAAAATTTTTAAAAAAAAAATGGGTTTTTAAAAAGAGAAATTTTTTTTTTTTTTTTTTTGGGTTATTTTAAAGGGGATTTGGAGCTCAATTACCTTTATAAGTGACTCAAAATAGACTGAGTCTATAATTTAAAAAGGTAAGTTATTAAATAAGATTTAAAAAAATTGTATTAACCGAGGTACTTTAATGAAATAGCCCGGCACCTCTTCATAATACAGGTTTCCCATTTATCCCAGTCCCACTTAAACAAGTTTCCCTGTAATATTTTATCCAAATTCTTCTTAACCAGGTCACATCATTGAAAAAATCCCAGAGCTGCCCCTAGTTGTGTCCGACAAAGTGCAAGAAATCAAGAAGACAAAGGAGGCTGTCATCTTCCTCAGACGCGTTAAGGCCTGGTCTGATGTCCTTAAGGTAGGAGAAAATATTTGAGTCTTGACAATCCTAGAAATTTGATCCCAAGTGCTTTGTGCTTACTGCATTGCGACACAATTCACCATGATAGTAACAGTGATGAAAAATGATACAATGTGGGTTAAAGTTATTGCTTTTTTGGTCCCAATTCTATATCACACATGTTATTTCAAACTGTGTGCTATTCCATGTGGGACAATATAAATTTCTAAAACAACAATTGTGTTGATTACTTATTAACATGATATAGAGTTTAGTATACATTACAAATATTTATAGTACCATATAAGTGACTATTATGTAAAACTTTTTAATATATTGTGACAGATTTTAATTTCTGGGTAGAAGTGATATATAGATACATGTTTTTTAATGAGAGTTTTAATTGCATGTTTTATGTACGGTTCGGTATTTTGCGGCGTTATGTTTAGTAGCTTTTACATAAAATTTTATTATCGTTCAATGCTGATAATAATACTAATTATTTATTAAATCCTTACCAGGTATACAAATCGCAGCGCCTGCGCGCAGGTAAAGGAAAAATGCGCAACCGCCGTCGCGTTCAGCGTAAAGGACCCCTAATTGTCTACTACAAGGACCAGGTAAGAGTTTTAATATTGAGAAGATAATGGCCAAAAACGAAGATGTTTTGTAGATTTTGTCTCTATCAGGACAAGTCGTGCCCTTGTCATATGATAGCAACGTATGGTTAATTTTCAATTAATTTTTTACTTCTGGGAAACTGGATATACAATGGGTAGTAGAAGTATCGAAACGTCCAGATCACGTAACACGGTCTACAGATGAAAAAGCCGTAGGGTCGAAGCCAAAAGGGGTCAGCAGTGCATCAGTTTAAAATTTGGAATATGGTTTTTAATCTCCATCAAGTGTACAACAAGCTAATCACTCCTACCGGCACCGGTGCCGATCGCCCGCAAAACCGCCTACGCCGGCGTAGGCGAGGTCATTCGCTACGCGTACCGCCCCCCTCGGGGCACCCTTGGTCTAGCCGCAAACACGGCGAGCGCTCTCGCGCTCGCCCAAAACGCCCGGTTAGTATTCGTGGCTCCATAGGAACACAATACGTAATAGTCAATTCAAAAAAAAAAAAAAATCACTCCAGTATTGCACATTTTTTCAAATATTTTTATAATCATTAAAAGTGTGTAGAGACACAATTTAGCTGCAACCAATACATATGTTTCAAGTATATAAAGAATAAATTAATTGATTCCTCAGTACTATGTAAAGTAATGTTGTACAGAGATGACAACATACCCCAAGGGGAAATCTAAAAGAGCCTTGCCTAAAGCATTAGAACCTCGGATAGTGATGAACGGCATTTTCAGGGTCTCAGCCGCGCTTTCCGCAACATTCCCGGCGTGGAGATGCTGAATGTCAACAAGCTGAACCTGCTGAAACTAGCCCCAGGTGGTCACGTTGGTAGATTCATCATCTGGACCAGATCCGCTTTCCAAAAACTTGGTGAGTTAGTTAGTTTGGTGGGTACATAGTATTGTCTTATATAATACGAGGATATAAAGTTAGTTCCCTTTACCAAATGTTTGGTTAGCTAAAACCAGTGTTAAGGTTAGGGACGATGAGATAGATTCGGTCAATGAAACTGTCTTTCTGGGCATAACGTTAGACTCTAAACTACAATGGGGATCACATATCGGGAAAGCCTCGAGCAAGCTCAGTTCTGCAGCCTATGATGTAAAAAAGATCGAACAATTAAAACAAATTAAGACATTAAAACAGCGCGTCTAATCTACTTCAGCTACTTCCACGGTGTTATGACATATGGCATACTACTATGGGGTAACGCTGCCGACATTTAATGTATCTTTGTGTTGCAAAAAAGGGCGGTCCGGGCTATCTATTGTATGGGATCTCGGGAGTCATTAAGAGATACCTTTAAAAATATCGGCATACTTACTGTGTACTCGCAGTATGCAAATGTATTGTATGAAATAAAAGCAAGTTTAGCAAGAATAGTGATAGGCATAATTTGAACTTACGAAATAAGGATAACGTAGCTATTCCTAAATATAGGCTCCATAAAATATCTAATTCATTTGCGGGGAATTGTATTCGTATGTATAATACATTGCCAGTCGAGACTTCAAATTTAACGATAAATAAATTTAAGAAAGTTATAAAACTTAGATTATCTGAACGATTTCTTTAATGACAAGACCGCCTGGCAGTTATATGAATTACTCCAGTTAATAAATTTACAAAAATGTATTAGTTTATAAGACATATTTAAAAAAACCGGACTGAGTTTCTTGGGTGTTCTCAGCTCTTTTGAACACTGTAGAAACACGACGAACAGACAGACAAACGAAAAAAAATTTGACGAATCTAAATATTTTTTTTAATTTTAAAGAGAAAAAAGTATATTTTATTTTGTTCCCCAATAAGCCTTACCAGTTTCATACATTATGACTCGGGTTACGAATAACGGGGTATATTACGTTTGGCTCAAAGGAAACATTAATGCAACTCTACGTTCATTAGTGTGTCGACATGCAGCATACATTAATGCTTAAAACATGCTTCAAAGCATCCTTCTAGCATGGGATAAAACCTTTTTTTTATAGTTACAGTACAGGCAAAACGTCTTGATACTTTTTTATATATATACACATGCCCTGGATAGAATTAAAATTAAATTTATCTTTTATATCATTAATCATAATATAAATAAATAAATTTTCAATACTTTCATTGCATTTACATCAATTTACAGACCCCCTATTCGGCTCCTGGAAGACACCGTCCAAGGTTAAGAAAAACTTCAACCTTCCTCAACCCAAGATGGCAAACACTGACTTGACCAGACTGTTGAGGTCTGACGAAATCAGGAAGGTGCTCCGACCAGCCAAGTAAGTGAAACATTGGGTTTTGCTATTGTTAAACTGTGTTGTACTTCCCTTCCTGACCTACACCAAAAATGATGAAATTCTCTTATCAGAGCATTGGGTTATGAAAAACAATGATTACCCTAATACGTTGACACTTTCTGAAAGTAATTAAAAAGTAGACCTTTCTTTAATCAGTTTATAATCATCACTAACATAACGTCTATTTTTAGCAAACGCGTCGTCCGCTCAACAAGGAAGTTGAATCCACTTACCAACACTCGCGCGATGTTAAGACTCAACCCCTACGCCGCAGTTCTTAAGAGGAAAGCCATCTTGGACCAACAGAGGAGGAATAACTTGAAGGCATTGGCTCTGGCTGAGAAGCGAGGCGTAAGTGGATAAAAGAAAATATTTTACTTGATAAGACTTGGTGTAAAAAAATATTATTGCACTTGGTCCTTAAACAATGTCTGTATAAAGTAGTGTAAAAATTATGGGATTATCTTGATTTATCTTTCAGATGCAAAAATGGTTCTTTCTGAAATGTATTTTGTCAATATATTTGTCACTCGTTTCCATGCGCAGATACAAAATATCTATTTTACATACTTTTTGCTGAGAAGTGTAATGGCAGAGTACACACCTTATAGGATACTTATGATGAAATTCTCTTATCAGAGCATTGGGTTATGATTAACAATGATTACGCATCACGTTGACACAAACTGATTAACCCGTCACCCTAGTATAATGGCACATCGTTTAACCTTACTAAACCTCCCCTCTTACACAGATCACCTTGCCAAAGACCGACGCAGCCGTCAAGGCGAATTCCCTTCGCGAACGCCGCCGGAAGGCACTGAAACTTGCGGCAGCCCAAAAGCCCAAGAAGCCCCCAGTAAAGAAGACGCCACCACCACCCCCCAAGAAGAAGGCAGAGAAGAAACCAAGGGTCAAGAAGGTTGCGAAAAAGGGTCCAGCTAAAAAGGACGCAGCGAAGAAAGCCCCCGCTGAGACGCCCGCAGCCAAGTGATGATAATAAAATTATCTAACGATAGAGCTGTTTTATTTAAAATCTTAATCTTTTTCATACTATGTGTATATATACATAAATAAATATTAAGTAAAAGTGTGTCGTTTAACTTTTTATAATGAAACTATTCTTGACATAAGATTTATATTATGAATTATTCCTATTATATCTAGGATTCACCTTATCTTGATCGGCGTAATATTTTAAAAGTTTACCTGGATGTTTTAAAAAGCATTTTCAATCTAATTTGATGAAAACAACTTTATCAACACTTAAGAATTTTCTAACGGCATATGGTCAAATGGATTGTTTACCGCGTCGGGTCGCAGTAAAGAATATTCAATAAGACCTAAGCAAACAAATAGAAATATCACACTAATATAAGAAATAGAGAGAAAAACATTGTACAGATATTAGTTATTCAACTAAATCCTAAAAAGCTATGACGGGCATTAAAATATAACAACAAAGGAAATTAGAAACAATTTTTAAAACCCTTGGGTGGTCTTCGCGAAAGTTACAGTACTAAGCATATTAGGTAGGTTAAATTCGTGAATTTATTCGCAAAAGTAGGCTAACTAGATATTTAATAAACGTAAAGTTGTGTTGAGCAAGTTTTAAAGTTCGCATTTTGATCTCGTTAATTAGAAATTATTATTGATATTTGATTGACGTAAACTGTCATTATCTACTTGACTCGACTCTTTAATTTGGAAAGGGCAATTAATTAGATATTACTTGAAACTCATCAGTTAATAAATTGTGTAAGGCTTTCATGGCCATTGTTCGGCCGACGTGAGCGACAAGAGGTTCTCGACGTTTCGCCATCACGTGCGGACGGCATCATCAAATGTTAACTCTTCCATTGCTCGAAGAACATCTACATAATAACGTAACAATAGAATAACTTTGCTCACGTCGGCCGAACAGCCCGAAAGACAATGATATGCTGTAGCATACACAACAAGAGTTGAAGCTCATTAGTTGTTTTGCTTTTTAGCTATGTATATTTATGTAGGTACAATAATCGTAAAAAGTAGGTTGGCAACGAAGTCATTGCGAAACGCATATGCGCAGTTCCTGTTTCAATTAATTCATGCAATAACTAATTATGTTAATCATATTTATAATGTTTTATGGTTTGGGTGAAGTTCAAGATGCTAAAATAAGAATCTTATTTCAACTCAAGGTCATTAAATTATTGACGTATCATTGACAATAGTCCAATTATGAGACCCAAAAGCCCTTGACATCTTGACACCCTATTTTAACGACGTCAATATTTGTCTGAGTTACATGACAATGACGTATTTGCGCTTTCAAATATTTATGCAAATTAATTGCTTGTACAATATTATGTGATCATAAATTTCACACACAAATAAGAAGCATTCTGCAGAGATAGGTTATTTCCAAAAATAGCTCCGAAGAACCGGAAGTTACACGATATGGAGGCAAATTGGCGATCAATACATTACAATGTATTGTCTATGGTCTTCGAATAAAAAAATTATTTTCAAGGCACAATGATCATATAAAGCTTAATCGTAAGCTTTTATTCAAATTTACACAAATTACATTCAAACAAACGTTAATGGGAACGAAAAATGTACGAAAAACAATTATACTTATTTTTATCTCTGGCAGCATTGATATAGAAACTTTCTTTTAGTTTATAAAAAAAATATGTACTACGTCTATGGACAAACTTTTTGTTAGTGGTAATATTAAGTTCGATTCTTCAAAACGATTAATCGAACTTTTTTTTTTAAAGTGGATCTCACTACATGACTATAACATAAAAAGTGAAGAATTCACGTTAACTACACCTAAGTGATAATTGTATTTTATTAATGAATTCAATTTTTAAATTAAAAATGAAAATTATTTGACACTAATTAATAAATGTTTATAAATAAAATAAATTATATAATAACACATCGCGTATGACTTAGAGATATCATTTTTTTTTTCATAATATTACCCAATCTTTTTTATAATAAAATTGAAATTAAATTTTAGACTTGCGATCGCGTTTCAGTAGTTATTTTCAAAAGAAGTGAAACATAAAAAACTACTTTATAACGTATCATTTGTAAAATCAAATATTGAGCTTCGAATTACACTTATTATAAAAATTAATAATCGATTACAATCCATGTTGCCAGTACTAATTTCAAAGTAAATTACATCACCACAATTTCATGGCAGTTGTTCGCATTTGGGACTTGGACTTTTCGTGACAGCATGTCATTTTCGACATTTGATTGATAATTTTCCAAAGATCCATCAAATTAGTTTGTTTGAAAGTTACTTTGGGCGCTCAGTGTGTATATTTTTGTGTTTGTACGCTTAATTAAGGATGTGAGTGAACAGGGCTCGTGTTTTGTTAGCACGGCATAAGCAACACAAGATGACCGCTCAAAAATGCGTGGTGGAGGGCTGCAATTTAGAATATGATGTGGTCTGCAGCTTTTCCTTCTACAAGTGAGTGTTTTCCCGCCTTTTATTCAAGTTCACGATAAAAACTCACTGTAGTCGGGCGTTCAGCCCTTGGGCTTCGCCCCGATTCCTAGATGCGTCGTTCCCACCTAAAAAGCTTGATAACGCATAGGTTTATTTCCATTCCTATAAGATGTTTATATTGCACTTTTATCGATTATAGGTATTCAAAACATCGTAAAATGTGAATTTTTTCTTAAAATTATTCGATAATGCGAAAGCAGGTCGCAAATTAATTAAAAAATATTATAACTTGTTCATGCTAAATTGAACTCTAAGTCATTGTGTTACGGGTCATAAGAATATGTGCATCTATTATTAAATTTCTTTAAAATCCTTGGAAATATACAAACTTTCTGTTTTGACATTATTAAAAATTATGATTATTAGTGTTTTTCTATACATTTAATATGCTTATAATATGGTGCTTAACCAAACAAATTCTCAATTTTGTATTAAATATTTATTATTATATTGGGATTGCTTTGGACAAAGTTGAACTTAGTTTAGCACAGTGAAAGTTTGATAGCCTAAAGCAGCATAAAGGGAAAATGGAAAATGGGGTGAAGTGGCTTTTAAGCTGTATTCGTAATATAGAAAATATAGAATAAATAATTATAGCTATAATCTTAATTTCTGTATTTATCATGTTTTGATAGTAATGCAATAAAACAGTCCATATTGCTATCTTTTTGAAATATTCACTGAATTATTGAATATTCACACTACATTGTTCCTACCAGATTAAATTCTAATTTGTCAAATAACTGTTTAATAGTTTAGTTACATTATTTTTGTACATATCTCCTCATCAGTGACTGTTCACTTTATGCCATAAAAAAAAGAAGCAATTTATAAGTTGGACTTGGTATAAAAGCTCTGTTGCTCTCGGCCCTTGTAGAAGAAGTTTAATTGAATTTTTTTTTAAAATTTTCAGTGTTAATACCACATACGAGCTGGATGAAAAGAGACAAGATTGGATTGAGGGTGCGATGCAAGAAGAGAGTGAGTGTTTATGGAGACATGTCAGCTTGCAGTTGTGTGGGTGAGTATTAACTATTTAAGTCTGAGTGCTAGTAGAACCTGCTTAAAAAAATTAAATACTAATAATATTATAACATAATACAAGAATTACAAATTAAGCATTAAATTACTAAATACATATAATATAATTAAAAATACAGTTGTCTGAAATGGAGTCCACTCAGCTTAGTAGGGACTAACGTCCCAACACTGATATTTTGTGGCCATATAATAATGTTAACTAGATTAATCAAATCAAAAGAGAGACATGTGGCAGTTGGACTCTAACAGGTACTTAGATTAGCACATTCATACAAACACACTCTTATGCTTTAGATTTTATAGGGATTTGTTTTTTCAGGTATCACTTTGAGTTAGATTCTCAAGGACTATGGATCGATTCACCGATGCTTCCTGAGCTACTAACACCTCAAGAGCAGGCCGCACCAATTAAACCTACACCGGAACAGAAAAAAGGTAGGTCTAACATAACATTTGCACTATATTAAGTAATTTCATAAATGGAGACAAAAGCTAAGTAATAAAATTTATTTATTTTTATTGTATTTATTTAATTATTAAGATGAGGTAATTGTAAAATATAAAGTAATAAAAAATACTGCATTTGAGTTGGTTATGACTTACTAGATTTTAATATAAAAAATAATCAAGTATTGTGAGTAGTACACATTTAAATAAATATTTTTAACAGTTTAAAACGTGAAATATAGTGTCGGAATGTCTCTCCTTGACCACGGCTGCTGCAAAGCATCCGAAACGTCGGGCCGAAGTTAAAAATCATTTTCAAATAAGTTTAACTAATATATCGCGTTTTAAACCGTTAAAGTGTTTTATTTAAAAACGTGAAATATATTAATTATGTTAACTACGGCCCAATGTTTCTTGTTCTTTGCAGCCGTCGTCTCTTGCAAATAATCAGGTCGCGGCAACCTCTGTTATTTAAACGATACAATTATATAAAAACAAAGCAATAGAATAGAATTAGTTTTAGGAACAAAAGGAAAAATGTATGTCTTCGTGAATATAACTGTTTTTCTTACTTGTCGCAGCCGCGGAGATAATACGCATTGAGCACAATTATTTTATGGAGGCATGCAAGAAAGAACCGGAGTCGATATCGCGTCTCAACGTTAGGCAATTGGTCGACACGATCGGATATCTGTAAGTACATAAATGCATGGGCCTAGAATTATATCTTTTATAATAGAGGTAGACAGACAAGCGTAACATTCACTTGATATAAGGTGTATACCTTTTATTATATATTATGACCAATACCCTATTTAACATCTGAACGTCGACCTATTTTTACATTGGATACTCAGAAATACACAGACTGAAACAAAACTCGTTTAAACTACGCAGCAACGGTACCATTTAGATAAATAGATAAAGTTCAAGACGTTTTAGAAAGATTATATATAAAATTATTATAAATATGTTAGACCCGATTGCCTCTGTAGCCAAATGATTAAATGTGTTGCGTTATACGGGAGAAGTCCTAGGTTCGAATGCTAGGGGAATAAAAAAAATAACAAAATTGCTCCGGTCGGGTAGGGCACAGAAGTCAGATCAAGCCATACATTTAAAAGTCAAGAATTCATTACTTGACGATACCCAAGAGATTTTTCTTTAATATAGAAAATCATCTTAACTTTTGTAATTGGTATACCTGATATATTCTTTTAAGTCTTAATACACTTAACTGTTACCTTTGATAAAACATATAATTAATATAGTATTCATTTTCGCCAGGTCACTAAAAAACCTTCAGAAGAAACAGCTATGGGTGGTAAAGGTCGAGAGTGATAAAGCGGAAGCCTCTATCACTCAGTCAGAGCAGGTGATCACCAAAATGCCTGACCCTAATAAGCAGATCATTGAGGTAATTAATATTATAAATGAAACAAGTTGAGGTGTTTGTCGCGCCCGAACCTAAAGGGCTACATTTAACAAACATTGAAGTAATGCAGCTATAATCATTAAAATTAATAAGGATAAAAAGTTTATCTGTTAGAGGCAGAGTGGCCTAATATCAGCAAACATTATTTTCTCTAAAAAGGAGAATAAAAACACGCAATCAACTTAGGCGAAAATGAATTTGTACTATTTATCACTGCACTCTAGCAGATCAACATTTTTAGACTATGAAATTATAAACAATTCAAGTCATAAAATTGCGGTTAGGCTACTCTGTCTTTAGCGGCCTCATATATAATTAGAACCGCTTGGCCTCAGTCATTTAACATGTTCTTCTATATTGTGGATACCTAATGCTATCGAACTTTTACAGATCATACCCCAGTCATCGACCCAGGGTACGGAGGCTCTCCAAAACCAGAGTGAAGTACTCCAAATGATAGATGATGGAACTATAACTGATAACTTTATCTATGAAATAGCTGAAGAGCAGGAAATTACCATGGATGAGGTCAAGGAGATACCATCTACTGAGAATCAGGTAAGGTCCAATCATTGAAGTCTGATGATACTAAGTTGACAAAAACTGTTACATAGCTGGTCTAAAATAATAATTATGACACAACTTCTTAAAACTATGTTTAAACTTAAATATTGTCCGTACATATTTAAATAAAACTCATTAAAAGTTTCAAACGCGACATGTATTTGTTAAATTTATTTGCAGGAGCCTTATTAACTAATACATATCGCGTAATATAATATTATATCCTCAACAAAATCGATATGCTTTCAGGAGTGGACGGTAAACATAATCCCAGACGACTCTAAACCCAAGTACGCCTACATCAAACACTGCAATTCTGGCAAGAAGAAGCGTCACTTCACCTCCGAAATGAAAGAGATCACCTTGCACGGTGACTTCGAAAACTACTACATCCTCCCCGACGTCGATCCATCGGTCGGCGTGGAGATCACCACCAGCTACGACCAAGAAAGCTATATAGTGGAAGAGTACCCCCACCTGGTTCTAGAAGAGCGACCCAGAAAACGTGACCCGGGCAAACGGAAGAAGAAGAGCCAGGTAAAAGAGGTAAAGACCGAGGACTGGACCGTGGAGAACATCTATGACCCAGAGCAGGACGACTACGATGATAAAAAGGCCAGGGTTAGGAGGAAAAATAAGAAGTATTTAGGTTACGATTTTGTTACTTAGACTGTAGGGATGCCGGTTTGGGGTTGTGCAGGGTGGCTCATTTAGTTTTTTTTATAATGTCAGGGATCGAGTTACACACTTTTTATGATAGAGGAGGGCAAGCATGGCGTTCTGTTGATGCTAGGTGACATACCCTAGGCTTATAACATCTGAATAAGATGCGCTATCGTATTTTGACTTTGGATATTCGGAAATCCACTGAAACGGAAACGCGATTACACTTTACGGCTTTCTTTCGTGACCCGGACGGAAATTTTAATATCCAGATTTCCATACAAAAACCATCACGTTTCCAAAGAATTATAAATTGATAAGAATAATGTGGGACAGGCGAGTTTCTAATCCACGACTAGTGACCATTAATTTTTGATTGAGTTCCTAAAATTATTAGTTACAACTAAATTTTTTGTTAGATAAACCAATATAAGTATCCGATACAAAATTGATCAAGCATTGCAAACCTGGCAGTGTTCAACGAAGATTTCAATACCAAATTGTTTCAAATCTTTAAAACTTCAGTATTTCAATAATTACATTCTTTAAGTAGCCTGAAAATAAGTCATACATATATGCATAGTGACGTCAAAACTCAGTTTCTTGGTTGCTAAGTGAATTTTTTCTTTTCTGGAACTTCACGGATCGAATGGTTGCACCAAGTTTTGCTTGATTGATGGGGTCCATGTATGTTCTTTCTTAACATGTTAGACTTAACAACTAGAAAACGTGATGTAGTAGTAGAAAGAATTACGGTCCAAACCCAACAGCTTAGCTCTGCAGCGCATTGCAGATGTATGTTACACTGCAGTTTATCTTTTATCGAGTGAACCTTAAGCCAGTTGTTCTCTTCTGTCATTATAAAATTCTGTATATAACAGTATAATAAAAGATACACTTCCGTTTTAAATTGATTGTAGTCTTAAAATGGGGTACTAATTAAAGTTTTGTTTGTAGATAGGGGGCAAACGACCAAGAAGCTGGTCGGATAAGTGACACCAACAACAGAGATATCGAAGATGCGTTGCCGGCCTTTAAGGTGCGAATAGGCTAGACTTAGGTCTTGAGAGTTTAGGCCACCCTGTATATAATTCACAACCAAAAATTCAACGACCCTAAATCGGTGGCAAGATAATCTATGGATAGATTTTAATATATTATAACGTATAATAAACGTATTTTTCGCTTCCTAAATAATCATTAGTAAAGTTGTTATTGTATTTTCACCTACCCAATTAAGATTCAATTTCAACGAGAACTTAGGGCATTGTTTAAAGTTAGCAATACCAATAAACACTGAATAATCTATATTAATATAGATTTTTAAGTTTTTTAGAGTTAAAACCTTCTAGATAAAATCGTTATTTCTATGTGAAATTGGGTCTTATATAATATACTTCATGGCATCACCATAACCTTTCATTGTAGATAAAAAATGTGGGTAGACGAAGATTTTTTATAGTAAATTTAAGTTTGTCTATAGTATAGTTTTCTTTAATCGCTTACATTACGATAAGGTGATTTTTTTCATATATGTATTTTGTTGTTGGGATAGTATTTAAAAGTTTAAAACGAACTTAACAATCATGAATGTATGCGAATATCCGACATTAATTTGTGTCTTTAGGGATAACTTATAAAGAGCTTCCCTAACCTGAAAAAAATATTCTGACATAATATTAATATTTAATTATTGCATTGTCGAAATGTAAACTATTCGTAAGTAAATTATAAATAATTGTTTTCATTTGAATTGTATTAGTAATAATCTAATCTGGAATTCAGTCGTTTGGCAATTTTGACATTTAATGAATGTCAAAGGTCAATTGTCATTTGGCTAAGGATCGTGGTGTACAGATTTAAAGCTGGCGTAATTGCTGAGATAGATTACTTATTGTAACAATTATGTTCATTTGGTTTTCGTTAAGTACCGAATATAAGATTATTTTGAAAATTGTGTTTTATTTTATATTCGTTCCCAATTTAGCCGTGTTACTTAAATCTTTTATTGTGATTTCATTGCCACATTCTATTTTGAATGGATCAAACAACAAAGCCGAAGTTTATAAAAAACTAATTCTTAGAAGAAAGTATTTCGGTTGTTTTTTTTTAATCGTTACTTTCATCTAAATTATAAAATAATATTAAATAATAAAATTTACTTTATTCTATAGAAAACTACTCAGATTCGTCAAAACTTACAAAGAAATACATTTTTGTGAATTTAATGACCTAAGGAGCAATTCATATCACTGCCAGGTAGCCCTGCAATTAAAGAAGTCTTAAATAATAATACGCCTTTTGCAACAATCAAAATTTTAGTAATTTTTTTAAACTAATTTATTGATAATTTGAAACCTCAACTGGCAATATATTATACATACGAATTCCCCTCAAATGAATGAGTTTTTATGTGACTACTTTATGTGAGAGGTTCATGTATTTCGCCAGTTTCGTTACTAATGCATATAAATATATTGACAATTACGCACAAGTGCTCATGAGAGCTTATTAAAAAAAGTTGAATAGCGAGAATTGAACCCCAATCACGTTCTGAACATCGGCCAAGGCTTGATCGGCTATTCTGCTTTACTACATTTTGTCGTAGCAGTGGACGCTGAACGGCTGAATCAATAAAAAAAACATTTTGTCGTAATTAAATATATTACTTATTTTAAATACGACCCGACGTTTCGGGTGATTTTTCGTCGCTAAGTAAAAATACTGTTAAACGTATAACTATCTACTCAAGTAATAATATTATTTATTAATTTCATAAACTGTACTTACGTAAAACAAAAAAGCTTTATTTTATATGCAGCGTGACTCATAATACTTCAGTACTTGTACTTCAGCAATGTTTAAAATAATTTAATTGCTAATTTTAGTTTGGGCTAGTTAAATAGTAAATATTATTAAAAAAAAAACACAATATAACTGCGAAACCGATTTATCAACAAAGTGAACGTTATCTGTAGACTTTGAGATGGTCTGTGGAATTGGAAAATGAACTTTTTAAAAATTGCCAATAGGGCAACATTTGGTTGTAGTTTGTTTTGTCGATTTTGCCGGATTAGTGTTGTTAAGTTCTTACATTACTGTAATTTCAGTTTATTATCTATTAAAAATTATTTCAACATGACGGTGAGTAAACTAACTTGCTTTTAAATATATAATAACATACGTTAAATTTAGAGAAATTAAGGAAATGCATGTATTTATAACCTCTAACAACAACAATGTTTTTCTTGAAGTTTAAATATTTTTGGATTCTTTGTAAATTTAACTCCTAAAAGATAACTAATTCCCGTGCCTTAAATAGAGGTTGAGATATCTTTGGTCTCTGTTCACTACATAATAAATCTTACACCATGTTTAAACTTTTTTAGTCATTAGCCGCTGCTCAAGTGCAGGAAGTGAGATCCATAACGCGAATAGAGAGAATCGGTGCTCACTCTCACATTCGAGGCTTAGGGCTTGATGATGCACTGGAACCAAGAGCTGTGTCACAAGGAATGGTTGGGCAGAAGATGGCTAGGAAAGCTGCTGGTGTCATTTTACAAATGATCCGTGAAGGTATTGATTGTTTATATGGTAACCATAGAAACATTTTTATTTGAATAAATAAGAATGTTTATTTCATATGTAAATAACACTTAAGGTTAGTTTCATCTTAGTTTCACTAACAAAGCACTATTTTATTTGAATTTTCATACTGCTAAAGGTAGAAAGATATATTTGTTTCACATGGAAAACTATTATTATCTTCTGACATTATGAACCTCATTACTTCAAACATTTATTCTTAAATGTGCCTCACAGAATATACATTTTTTATTAATACACCTGGCAATGATATCTTAAAAAAGAAATATTTAAAAGTAATCTATGTGTAAATATATTTTTTCTATATTATAGGTAAAATAGCTGGCAGAGCTGTCCTGTTAGCTGGACAACCAGGCACAGGAAAGACAGCCATCGCAATGGGATTGGCACAGGCTTTGGGGCCAGATACTCCATTCACCAGCATGGCGGGTGAGTAATTACTATATAAAATAATTAGTATATAAAATAAATGATAAATCTTGGTGTCTTGGAATTCCAAGACACCAAGATTTATCATTTATTTTATATAAAACTATATAAAAATTTAACAATTAAGAGAATGCTATACTTTTTATTCTTTATATTCTACTAACTGTGTCAGCGACTTAGTCCTTAGTAGAATTGTTATTTTGTGGATCGAAATTTCCATTGTAATATTAGTATAAACTATAAAAAGAAGCTCTACTATAGTTTTACAAGAAACTGTATTGGTTGCACATTTATATCGGTAGGCTAAATCTCAACACACTAGGCCAATAAACCATTTATAATATTTCAAGGTTCCGAAATATACTCTCTGGAGATGAGCAAAACTGAAGCTTTGACTCAAGCTATAAGGAAGTCCATCGGAATAAGGATTAAGTAAGTTATTTAAAAGCCGTTAACAGTGAACAACATTATTTAATTTATAGCCTTGCTATGACTGCAGTTGTTGCGGGACATCTGAAACTTTGGGTTGTATAAATATTGTTGTAAATTTTGCATAGTTACCAGTCAACACTTGAATCTTAGATATACTCAATTTTAATAACACCACTAAAAGAATCATATTACAGCCATGACACATTCTCCTTCTATTTCTATCTTTTTATGGGATTATATTTCTTGTTTCATTTAATTTACAGGGAAGAGTCGGAGATTATAGAAGGAGAAGTAGTGGAGGTGGTTGTCGAGAGAGCAGCTGGTGGTGGGGGCGCGAGAACCGGTCGACTCACACTGAAAACTACAGATATGGAAACCAACTATGATATGGGAACTAAGATGATTGACTCCTTACTCAAAGAAAAGGTCTTTTTATATTGATTTTAAAAGTTTGTTAGTTTTCTCGAATATGTTCAATTCGCATAAAACACTTTAACGGTTAAACACTTTTACAGGGTATATTTAAGTTAAATGTATTTGAATTTTCTGTTTACCTACGGCTCGCTGAGCCGTGCTTACTGAGAGTCTCCCTCTCTCGAGTCTATAGTTAAAATAATTTTCAACTAATTCGCGTTTTAAACTGTTAAAGTGTTTTAAAGATATTAAATTAAATATATTGCTCTCGTAGTATTTTTTTAATTTCCCATTTCTCAAATCGTATTACTTTTACGAAATTATCGTATCGAATGCTCAGACGTACATTTGAGTAGTGATCATTGACTTGAATTTTTAGGTCCAGGCTGGTGACGTCATCACCATAGATAAAGCGACAGGGAAGATCAACAAATTGGGTAGAAGTTTTGCCAGAGCAAGGGACTATGACGCAACAGGTAAGATTAACAAAATGAAAATGTGAACCCCTAAATACCACACCATACAACTGTAAATATTGATAGATCGTATTTAGAAAATTACAAACTCGTTAAACTGTTAAAAAAGGGGGGGGAGGGGCGGTAAAGAAGATATTTCAAATAAGTTAATCAGAGCAGTTAAACATAAACGATCCATGGTTTCCCCAGGTCAGCAAGCTCGCTTCGTCCAATGCCCCGAGGGTGAGCTGCAGAAACGCAAAGAAGTCGTACACACTGTGACCCTACACGAAGTAGATGTTATAAATTCTAGGACACATGGCTTCCTCGCTCTGTTCTCTGGTAAGTCATCCACAAGCTCTATTTTTGTTAAGAAGATCCACAAGAGCATAAAGGGGAAATGGCCCGGCCCTCTATCTCTGTCCTTGTGTGATGTATTTATTGATTCTTTATAGTACAAAAATACAAATAAAACTAATATACTATAACGGACTGCAATTAATGTTGAATATGCATTTTTTATAATATGATCGGCACGACACCATATCATGACTTAGTGCATAGCCAGCTGTGGTTGCGATACCATTGTTTCAATCTTTTACATAGTCCTTCGATTTAACCAACGACCTAGGATCAGTGGCTAGGGCGATGAAAGCTTGGTTCATCATACATCCTTTCATCTTCATCAGTGAATGCTTCTTCTGTCCCATGTACTGTGTCATGTTTTGACAGGTGACACTGGCGAAATAAAATCCGAGATTCGGGAACAGATTAATAGCAAAGTGGCGGAATGGAGGGAGGAGGGCAAAGCTGAGATGATACCCGGTGTCTTGTTTGTTGATGAAGTAAGTATGCCAATACTATTTATACCAGTAAGGGTCTATAAATACTGAGTCAATTTCATAAACTTATCGAAAATTAGTCTATATTTATTTAAATAAAATATTTTCACTGATCAAAACTCGAAGTGTATTAAGTTAACTTATTTCCTATTTATTTTCACTACGGACTAAAGATGGGGATGTCCCTAATGACAAATTGAAAACTGTATTTCGCGTGTTAAGGCGTTAAAAGGGTTTTATTTAACTGTGCACAACTTGCGTAAACTTAAGACAATAGGCTGTGTTTATTATACATAATTTTGACCTTCGTAATGTAGAAATGGTTTTCGATGTTTGAACCATTATTGTATGACTTAAAACACGGTCGGATTCTATATTATATATATAAATATAGATTCATAGCTATATTTCAAAAGGCTGCAACCGAATATCCATACCAAAAATAGGTAGACAACGCACCTTATTTCTGGGGTATTTCACCTTCAGTCAAGTGCTTGTCTTCTTCTATCATAATAGAATCTTTGCAAATATTTCTTCCACTTTTCAGGCCCACATGCTGGATATCGAGTGCTTTTCGTTCCTCAATCGCGCCCTTGAGTCCGAAAGCGCTCCGGTCGTTATAATGGCCACGAACCGGGGAATTACCCGCATCAGGGGCACCAACTACAAAAGCCCTCACGGAATTCCTCTAGATTTACTGGACAGAATGATCATTGTCCCCACCGCGCCGTACTCTTCGCAGGAATTGAAGGAGATACTTAATATTAGGTAGGAGTTTGACTTGCATTTGAATAATAAAGGGGTCATGAACAAAGCCAATATTTACTCAAAAGACCATGACATGATATTTCCTATGAAACAAAAAGGTTTTATATTTCAAATAATTGTTAATTTGATGGCTTTTGTATCCTAAATGAATTCTACCAATGTCATGTGTCTATCATTTTATACCAATACCGTGTGGGGCAACTAGCCACGTGAGGCGGAAAAGGAAGTATTTTATCTTAGTTGAACTGAGAAACATTTTTTTTTCACATGAAGTACTAGTACTCTTCATCTTTATAAACTACAGCTGTTACTAATGATGTCGTTGTTGCAAGTTAATCTTTAAACACAGAGATATATTGTCAGAGACATTGTTATAGGTCATTTAAAGAGAAATCATTCTTTTTTTTAGCATCCTTAACCTTTTTCGCAGCCCACGCAACGGTACCCTCAAAAATTCATAATTTCCCCGTTTTTTCCACATTTTCCTTTGTTTCTTCGCTCCTATTGGTCACAGCGTGAGGTTTTATAGCCTAACGCTATAAAACATCACTTTTAATTCGAACCAATAGTTCCTGAGAGTAGAGCGCTTAAACAAACTCTGCAGCTTTATAACATTTGTATATATTGCGGACTAAAGAATCAATTTATATCTGACAGGTGTGAAGAGGAAGACTGTCAGATGTCAAACGATGCGTTGACAGTACTGACGCGCGTCGCGACCGAGACGTCGCTGCGGTACGCGATACAGCTGATCACGACCGCGTCTTTAGTGGCCAAACGGAGGAAGGCTACCGAGGTGAGTGAAAGGGATAGATGTAGATGCGTGATAGGGAAAGCAACACACACATAAAACTTACATAGCGATCCGCAATGCTATGTTTGTATCTGTTGTAGTGGTTCTCTGGTAAATGGAAGTAAAAGTGCGGCAAAGTCGCATTATAATCGGTGCAGCCGTCTCGAAGTTTTACCTTAATTAATTTTATTTAATGAAACACATGTTTTATTTTGTTGTCAACTTTTATTATATGAATGATAAGAGTGTATTTCAATAACATAACTAAAATTTACTTACTAGTTTGCGTAAATATAATTACTTAATTACCATTTATTGTTTTCTCTCTTTAGGTGAGTATGGAAGATGTAAAGAAGGTATACTCTCTTTTCCTTGACGAGCATCGTTCAGAGCAGTTCTTGAAGGAATACCAGGACGAGTTCATGTTCAACGATGGTGCTGGAGGTAATCTGTGATTAATATTTCTTTTTTATGATAAGACAGGCAAGTGTAAGGTTCCCTTCATCTAAACAGGGTGCGATGACGATATTTTGGCTATTCGGAAATACACAGAGTGAAACCGAAGTGTGATTAAACTGAACGGCTTCTTCATCTGTGGACAGAGTTTCGATATTCCAACCACCTATTTAATATCCAGATATCCAGAAGAAGTCCAATATGTTTTGGATAATTTCATTACATGCAGAACTCTGATAACCACTTGCCTAAAGGTAACATAGAACAGCAAAACCAGAAATATGTCTGCCCTAAATAAACCCATTATTTCTATTAGGCACACAGAATGTTGGGTGATCACACTATCTGCTGACAATTCATTTCCTCCCAAAAAACTACTAATAAATCAGTTCAAGTATATATGAATGCATTCTTAAAGTGATATTTTAAATTGTAGCTAAAACGTTTTCTTTTATAGATGGACCACAATCTATGGAGGTGTCGCAATAATTTGTTGCCAGTGCTAAGTGAAACACATTTAAGTTCAAAGGACAATATTTTTTAAGTTACTTTAAGCTGTTAGCTTTAAATTTTGTTACTTATTAAAACCTACTTCAATATGGTTTATTTAATTTAATATGTTCTCCTACTAAGTTCTGAATAATTATGTCAGTATAATTGGTAATTCTAGAAAATTATAACAATTAATAAAACACTCAACTCAAATTAAACCGCAAAATATATTAAATAACTTATTTTCAACAACAACATTTTGGATGCTTTGCAGCAGTTTTGGTATCGGTAGATGGTGGGCATAGAAGTTAGTTTTGTCATATAGTAACTAAATAATCTGTTTCAAAAAAAATATTTATCTGTGCTATTTGCGTATAGAAAGTTGGTAAATTTCTAACAGTGAAGTGTTAAGAGCACGGTCGCTGTAATTACTAGTTTGTTTCCACAATAGTTTTATTTTCCAAGTCTCGGAAATCTTGTGGATCCTTCTTTACACGGTTTACAATTAACAGTAAAATAAAAAACTAAATCAGATAAATTACTTTACTTAAGACATACTACAATACTAAAAATCACATTTATTCCTTGTCACGGTAGTTCTTCATGTTGATGAGGACCCATGCAGGAATAAACAGCCAACCGAAGACCATTGCAGAAGAGAGGACAATCATTTCCTGTAAAAAAATAAAATAAAAAGGTATAACCTCATGACTAAATATCATTCAACAATAAATACTCTGCTTATGTGTTTTATTTTATGAATGGTTAGGCCACTTAAGAAGCTGCATTATTAGTAATATAGTTTGAAAACTTTAATATTTTTCACATGTTATTGCACATAAAGCACAGCAACAGCGTTCCATGCTGTTGCTGTGCATTGAACGGTGACGATGCCGGTTCAAGTCCTGCCCCAGTCGAAAATTTTTTCAATTTATTTTCGATTTTCAAATTAATATAGTTTCCAAAGTTGTTTGGAATTGCCAAAGTAACAACTGGATATGTGTAGTTTGTATTGTGGGCTATTCAGGCTTTGTGTCTTTCTATACGAGAATGTTGGAAGTAAGTTTTAAACATCAAATATTCTAACATTAGGAAATAAATATGTAGGAGGATCAGGAGGATTTTAAAACAGTTTTTATCAATACCATACATGAGATAAGGATAAAATAATAGTATCGGGTAAGTGGCTCTATACACCTCACAATTACTTTTAATGTCATGGCAATGGCATTTGGTAAGAATGAAACATAAATATTCATCCGTCCAACATGCACTATCTGTGGAAGAGATATGATGCCCAAAAAGAAGATAACCTATTTCTACCAAAATTACGTAATAATAAAATATTATTCCGAAGCATTTTGTGATTTACTTCTATTGTATATTGTGAATAAATCAACAGTGATTATGTATAGTTGTGGTTTTTGTGTATAAGTTTTTGTTTTAACGTTATCAAGTTGAATAGTAAAATCTTTTGTAACTTACCCCCTTGGAGACCTTGTTTCTGGCTGGAATGCATACTACACTCATATTCCTGACTTGTGGGACATTTTTTACGACTTGGGAGGTCTTCAAAAGACTCCTGAGGGACAGCATTTTGCTTAATTTTATTGATTTCTCGTAGTAGGGTACAACGCAAGTGGTGAACAATTTTATTTCTTGATTTAAAATTTCTAGCGAAGAGCAAATTGTCATTAATTGATATAGCAGATGCTGCAGATAAATAAGTTATACGTCACTGTCAATATGATACAGATAATATCACAGTATTTATCTATATTATGTATCTATTTTCTACAAAGGCTTGTTTTCAAAATTATTAATTAAAATGTTCATTTAATCTTCATTAAAAATCGTTAAAATACATTGAGTAAAATACATTGGTTAAATAAAGTGGGCATGAGACTTTTGAGTTTTCAAGTTGTTTCGATATAATGTATAGACATATGAAGATAGCTTGAGAAATTCGTTGTATTACAGAGTATGTATAAGATGCAAAATATTTATAATCTATAAAAACAGTATTCTATTATTATATTATAGTAGGGTGTGCACTACATCCATAAAACAAAGATAATCTGCGATACAAAGTACAAGGTTTTAATATTAGAAATTGAGAAGGAAATATGCTATCGTGATTATTTTATATTTTGGTATTTCTGGCAAACACACGATGTTCATGAAACCATAATTTTATTACAAGGATTACATTAATTCATACTAAAAACACTTTGAGATGCTACATTATATTTTAAACTAATAATATTTTAAATTCACTTAGTAAAAACCACAACTTCGTGCTACATTTAATAAAGATCCTAAAAATGAGTTTACGAATATGCACAGATTAAAATTTCTTAAGTTTGACATTTATATAAGGACCGGACGTAAGCACAGTCAAAGACAACAGAAGCGATATGTCGAACTCGCGATCACATTAAATCGTAACTTTTATTTTTTTTAAGTAACGAAGTGTTATGAATTATTGATTGTGATATAATACAATGAATCAAGTACAGAGCTTAATTAATTGCGTCACTATCATCACTTGAAGATTCCTCGGAGACTTGGTTAAAAACTGGAGGTCCTCGGATGTCTGCCATCCATACACCGTCTACTAGCATCATTGCATTTTCTTGCATCACAATCTTGTGGTTTAATGTTTTTGCTAAATGGCCGCGTCTATTCGTGTCGTGTCTTCTTTTATTAGTTCTTTAATTTCAGGAAATTTAAAACTTTTATTATGTCTCCCAATATAAGACTTTAGATTGGCCTAAATAAGTTCTATTGAACTTAATTCACAGTGTCGTAAAAGGTTTTTTTTGGTAATATTCTCGTATACGTATATTTTAATACAAATTATGGAAGAAAATTCTATCAATCTATCAACTATCATCCCCATTTTATTGATTGATGGTACGAAAATAAAGTTGTGTCTGAATTGCTAATAAATTTTGTAATTTTTTTTATGTTGATTGTTTTAAACTTTTCAAAGAACTAGAATCATAGCTCAAAGTTGTGTGGTGGCATTACTGCCACTACTATATGTTTACACATATAATATGATTTTGGATGTGATTTATAATTGGGTTTATGGATGATAATCAGCCATATTAGAGTCTTCCGAGGTCAGACTGTAGCATGTAATTGATACATTCCATTTTGTGTTGTCAGTTGCTTTCTTTGTGCAATAGTTGTCTTTATTTTTGTTGTTGAAAGTTTGTTTATCGGTTGTCATGAGGTCATCTGCTATAATGCAGGGTGGTGCGATAAGGATTTTTAAAATTGATTTCTTTTTCCACATTATATAATGTAGGAAAACTACACACACACCAGTTTTCAGTTGAACCACTGGTTGTTGTAAAGGCACATGTTTTCAATACATATTGTAAGGGAAAAAAAACAAATGAATATAGATTATGTACCTGGTGTCAACAAAATTGAATCAAAATGGATGATAGGCCATTATACATTTGAGTTTTATGTAAATTTTTATAATTATTTTCTGTTATATTAAAAGGCCCGCTGATAAAGTGGTCTTGGCAAAGAAATTCACATCATGTCCTTAGTGAGCACTCTAATATTGAGTATGTACAACTAGATCTCTTTTTAAGCTCAGTTCTGTGGCATATGAAATTGGATTTAAGTTCTTTATAATTATGAAAGAAGTCAAAGTTAGTTGATCATAAGGATTCCTATGGGTGGCTTGTTGCATTGTGTTTTGAAGTACTGCTTACTTGTGGCACTCTATAATTAAGAGATGAATTGTCAAGGGAACAAGCAAAATAATCTGTCAAAATTAACTAACTTTAGATATGTTACTTTCCATTATAATTCTACAATTTTCTTTATAAAAATGAGATATAAGAATTTGCAGAAAATTGTTTTATACGTTCTCCACAAACTAGTGTATGTATTACATTTTACGGAGGAAACCTTGGTTTTCCCGTCTTTCGTGTTACAGAGACCGCAACTTATTTTTCGTCCACGCGGTCGGGCTTGGCTGTTGGTTTTAATGGTAATGGTTCGGATACGAATTTTGATTATTTATTGAAATTGATGAATTGTGATTTGTCTTTTTACAAATCCAGTCCCGCCGGGTGAGACCTTCGGTAGCCCCGAGGGAAGCCCAGCGAGGCATAGCCTGCTGATTTTTGCACTCTCCTTTGCGGATACGTACGTGCGGTGTAACGTAGTTTACACCGCATCGGACCTCTCTCTCTCTCTCATTTATTGTCTATCTTATCCTATTACATTATTTAATTCCTAATGTTATGGTCGCCTACAATTCTCCCCCTCGTGCCGTCGCACCAATCTCTCGTCTAGGCGGCTCCGTAGGCACCAGTAACACGATGCGCGATGCCGGTCGTCGAAGCACGCCGGCTTTGGTAGACACGTCCACAACTCGTACTCGCCCGTCGACTCCTGGATGCGTAGTCTTCACTCTTCCCCGTGGCCATTTACAGCGGGGTAGTGTCGGGTCCACAATGTCGACTATGTCTCCTTCTCTCAAGTTGTGTGCTCGATCCGTGTGGCCGTCGATTCGTCTCGGTAGCAATGTCGGGAGATATTCTTGCAACCATCTCTTCCAGAAGTGATCGGCTAACAGCTGCGTTGTTTTCCAGGTGTCCCGGCCGACCAATTCTTCATCTGTGAACGCCCCGATCCGCACTGCACCACAGGAATGCCCTATCAAGAAATGGTTAGGTGTTAGAGCTTCTTCCTCCGCGTTGTCCGTTAAGTTGGTGAGAGGTCTCGAGTTGACGATGTGTTCGGCCTCGAGTAGCAATGTGTGCAGCACTTCTCTCGGACGTCGTTCTCGCAGCGTGGCCTCCAAAGCAACCTATATTGAGCGCACAATTCGTTCCCAGGCGCTGCCAGGTTGTCCTTTGCTAGAGCTTCCCATGCTTCCTTCAGTTCTCTGTTCGCGCCGATGAAGTTGGTCCCGTTGTCGCTGTATAAGACCCGCGGCGTGCCTCGTCGTGCAGCAAAGCGTCTCAATGCCATGATCATTGAGTCCAGATGGATTACTCTCGTTGTTAAACATGTGAAGAGAGCATCGTTCTCGTTGCGCCTGGCGACGGTGATAGTCATCGGTCCGAAGTAGTCCACTCCGGTGCATGTGAACGGGTGTGTTCCGTGGCGTAGACGCTCCACCGGTAGATCCCCCATTGGTGGTGTCACTAGCGAAGCACGACCGCTTTTAAGTGCTTGCGAACACTTTTAAGTGGTCTCGGTTTTGGCGGAACACCATTATCATTAAATTTGTAAATCTAATGTAAATCACACAAAATAATTGGAAGATTAATATTTAATTGAAATAAAGATATATATTACATGGTAACTTATTTTAATGAGAAATTTGCGCTTGACGACCTTTACAAATTTCCTCAAGGTTGGGTCTTATGTAAGTGAGCGCTACTCTCATTTCTTCTTCTAAATTGGTAAGTCTTTCTCTTTTTTTGCTTTTAATATTTGTTAGAGTTGAAAATCCAAGTTCGCACAGATAGGACGTCGAAAAGAGCAACAAGATATTCAACGCTCGTTTTGCAATAAATGGATGTTCATTCTCGATGGAAATCCAAAACCTTTCCACTCCTTCTTCTTTGAATTTTAGTTGTAACGTTCGATCCGTTGATATATTAATAAACTCATCTGCTTCCTGAATAGAAAAATCTTGGTTCATTATATCAAATTCACCAAATGGATTTCGCGCCCAATCAAAGTCTTCAATATTAAGAGCAATATTGACAATTGCTCTGCCACATTTGAAATCATTTCGTTAATGTTAACAATATTTTCCGTTGCCAATAACGGAAACATATCAAATTTGCGATTTTGAGCAATACGATTTTTCCAAAGCAAAAGCTTTTTCTGGAAAGCTAGCAATTTGTCTGTGGATGTCAGAATATTTTCATTTTTTCCTTGAAGAGATGTATTGACTGAATTTAAGTAGCTGAAGATATCGGCTAAATATGCTAGCTTAGTACACCATGCATCATTTTCCAAATATTTTACGTATACATCATTACCCTCTTGTCTAAAAAAACTAGCAATTCCTGTTTCAACTCATGAACTCGGGTTAGCACTTTTCCTCTTGAGAGCCACCTCACTTCAGAGTGCAAAAGCAAACATTAATATTTGGATTCCATGGTGTTACAAAGTTGTTTGAACATACGGGTTTTTAATGGTCTCGATTTAATATAATTCACCATATGTACGACTTGTTACAAAACAGACTTTAAGTTTGCTGGTAGACTCTTCGAAATCAAAGATTCCCTGTGCAGAAAGCAGTGAGTAGAGACTATATTTGAATTTATTGCTTTAACTCGACTACAAAATCCCTTAATACTGCCCCACGCATGGCTAGAGCTCCATCAGTACAGATTCCTGCGCAATTTTCCCAGGATAATTTCCATTCTTCCAAATAAGATGATACTGAATTAAATATGTCTTCTCCAGTTGCGTGATCAATAAGTTCCTTGCAGAATAAAAACTGATTTATTATTTCAGTGTCGTCAACAAAGCGAATAAATCCGATTAATTGGGCTTTGCCACTTATGTCAGTGGATTCGTCAATTTGCAGCGCAAAATTTTTTCTACTTAATTTCGCCGTCACTGCGTTCTCTATAAAACCTGACATATCTATAATTCTTCTTTTTATCGTATCGTCCGAAACGGGGATTTTTAGGACGTCTCGCTGCGCTTCATTGCCAAACATAATCTTAACAATTTCTAAACATGCGGGCAAAATTAGCGATTCTGCGATATCATGCGGCTTTTGCTTCAATGCAATTAGTTCTGCCACTTTATAAGAAGCGATTTGCGTTCGAAGTTAGACAAGAATGTTTTGTTGAAAGGTGTCGCTGTAACTTAGCTGGGACCATTGCACTGTTAGCCAATTTTTCATCACATACAATACATCTCGGAATAGGAACATCTTGACTACCGCTCCATGTAAAACCAAACTTCAGATATTCTTCCGAATAATGCCGAACTGATTCGGATATCTTTTTACGTTTATTTTCGGCATTTTCGTTGCCTTGCATATCTCCTTCAATTGAAGAAGACCTGCTTGTACTCGCCCCAACATTAACCTCACTTTCAGTCTTTCTTTTCAAAAATTTGTCCATATTTCAGATTTAAAAGTCTTGTATAAATGCTAAAATAAGCAACTTAAAAAGATAAGAATACTGTTAAAACTACACAACTTGCATTTCATCTTACCAATTTCCAACAATATAAAATATATATATATACAATAAAAACACACTCACGAAAACTAGATATTTATATTAAATTATGGCTGAACCGCAGATCGCAATTGCGCTTTTGTTATTTACGTACGAAGAAAGAGAAACAGCACGAAATCAACACTACGTAGCGCTCCCTGCGTTATCGAGTACACTAGAAATTTAGTGGTATTCCCCGGAGTAACTCCAAACGACGTAACTGCGTCGTTCGATAATTACACTGTTAATATAATTGACTGTTCCGCGAAAATTTAGAATAATATTGAATATTTTTGCTAAATTTCAAATAATTAACAAAACTATGTAGTTTTTATTTTATAGTAATAAAAAAATGTACAGTTTCTTATTATATTATATTCAAATTTTTCGCGGAACACCTGGGACAGCTTCACTCCGCTTATCGCTCCGACGCGACTCTGTAGTCTGAGTAGTCCATCTTGATACTTCGTTTCAAATCGTCTCAGCTTGCTTGTTCGTCCCAGCGAATGTCCCTTCTTGGCGCTTGATATTTCGTCGGCGAAACTTTCCCACTGGCTCCGCTTCAATAGTAACTTCTCGGCCTCAACTAATGTTTCGTGATCGATGACAGAGAAGTTCCTCGTTCTCTTCGGTTTCTGCGGCTTCCAAGCTTCATCTCTTTTCCTGCACACGTTGACGACGTTTTTATTTATCTGAAGATCCGTTTCTATCGACTTAGTCTTCAATCGTTTGCCGCCTACAGTCTCGATAGATAATTCTTGCGGTCGCCGATTAATTCCGAGTTCCTACGCCACCGTTGAATCCAAGAGTGTGGGAGTCGATCCTTCATCTAACAAGGCTGTGATTTGACGCGTCCCTTTAGGCCCGAACACTTCGACTGTGAATGCGCGTGCCTTGCGTGCCGTGTTGACCGCTGCTGTCACATTTATCTCGGGTGTAGCGGTTTCCCTCTCCTCGGTGCGCACGTCGACGTGTAAAAGTGCGTGATGCCACTTCTTGCATATTCTACAAGGCGGTTTTCGGCACGATTCCTTCCGATGTTTACCGCTGAGACACTTGAAGCATATCCTGTTTCGTTTTACGATGTTCCGTTTCGATTTACCTTTCTCGGACTGGCGCCTTTTGGTAATTGACGCTAGGCTTGTGCTTAGTAACTCCACTAGAAGATTGGATATGAGACATATCATTTCACGTTGCTAGCAATGAAAAGCAATTCAGCTAATTTTTTGGGATGTAGCCTGGATCGTGTTTCGGTCATTATGAGGCCAGCCTTTGAAAATGTGCGTTCACAAGGCACAGATGTTGCTACCAGACTCAGTCTTTTTAAAATATATGAATACAATATTGGATACACAGATTTACGCTCCTTCCACCAGATCAATGGATTTTCAAAGCTACCTAATAAGGGCTCCTGAATGTACTTGTCTAATTCAACAATACCGGCGGCAACAGGGTTACACGGGACAAGTGCGGAAACTTCTTCGTCAAATTTCTGCCATATTGACGCCGAAGAATTCGATGGTTTCCCAACCGCTTCTGGCCGAGGTTGAGCTGTTGATCGACTTTCGATATTCTCTGTCCTCACGTTAATCCGACTACTGAGGCCGACCTTTTTCTTTAAGCCTGACACTGCCCTTTCGTATTTATTCAAGTCTCGGAAACCTCTATTTTTAAATCGGGGGTCCAATATTGTGGCTTCGGCATATAATACATTGGATTCCACATCACTCTTATCATAAAATCTTCTGTGGATTTGAGCTTTCAAACTTGTTATCATTTTTTGTGCTTCGGGCGAGTATACTTCTAAATTACAGTTTGAAATATGTTGATGCAGAAGCCGAGAATATACTATGACTTTTGAAAGACTGACTTGTTTTTCTGTGCTTATTTCGTTGGTAACTTCATAGAATGGTTTTAAAATTGGTATCGCTTCCTCTACTACTTGCCATTTGACACATTCCAATAACGAGTGTGGCTCATCGCAATGTGGACATCTTCTCGCTTCTTCCTGGACATTATGTGTGTGTCTCAATGGTCTCCGGCTTGTTGTTCTATTTTCTTCTAAAGTAGCGAAGACGCCGCATTCGTCCGCTTCCTGGTTGAGGAACTCTCCTATTAGGCTGAGATCTGAAAATGCGTCGTCCTCCTTCTTCGCCGTGTAATCGCACCTTAATGTTGGTCGTGCGCAGGCGGCGCGTCTCGGTGCGCGCGGCACGCGCCCACCGGGTGAGACCTCCGGTAGCCCCGAGGGAGGCCCAGTAGGTACGGCCAGCGGATGAATCGCGGGTGAGACGCGCCTTTCCCGCGCCGAGGTGATGTCCTGTTCGGATGGTTGGTCGTCGTCGTGCTTCGGCCCCGCACGCCTAATAAGGCGTCGGGGCGTCGTTGTCTGGTGTCGTAGCGGCGGGCGTTGTGTGCTCCGCGCACTGTGTCCTTAGGGGTGTCTTTGGTTACTATTTATTCGTTTGTTTTATTATTATGTGCGTGGCGGCGGGCGGCGAAGGGCGGCGTTTGTGATGCCGTCTGCTCCGGGGGCCTTCTTGGGTTTCAGTCATTCAGCGCCGGCGAGAAGTAGATTGCGCTCTCCGAGGGCGCGATAGGCTCGGCGACGTATTCGGCGACTGTGCGTTCCACCTCGGCGACGCGCGCCGGGTTAGCAGTGGGGTGCGGTGAAAACTGCCACTCGAGATGAGAGGCCAGTATCTCGGCCCGGTCGGCGGCGGCGTAGTTGAGTGTGCCCGCCTCGTCGCGAAGCGGGTGAATAGGTCTGGCGACGCCCGTGAACCGCCTGCAGAGGCGGTGTAGCGCGGTCCAGTCTGCGGTGGCTTCGCCGATGTCCCGCTCCCAGGACTCGGCGGCGTGGGTTGTTAATTTGGCTCGCGAAAACGCATATATCGCGTGGGCTCTCTGTTCGGACCTCTCTCTCATTTATTGTCTATCTCTTTCATCTTACTTCTCTTTCTTACAGTATACATCTCTTCCTAACAGTAGACGTACTACTCTTACAGTGTTTATTATTTTCATATTTCAATATAACTTTATTATATACATGAGTAGTCTTACTTCTAATCTTATTCTATTACATTATTTAATTCCTAATATTATGGTCGCCTACAGAGAGTTTAGACCGTTTAGAGAGTTAAAAATGTGTTAAGACCTAACTCTTCCATTGCAGCTATCCTGCCTGGCAAATCATCTTTGTTTTTACAAGTAAAAGTTGCAGTTTTTCAAACAATATGTCATCATTCTTCTAGTTGTGAAATTATGAATGTACATAAGATATTATGTTGGTCCCTTAATGCTAAAGATATGGCAGCAGTTGGTAAAGAAAGCTGGCAAGCTTTCCCTATCCCCAAAATAAGGCGTTATGAACCATCCCACCTAAATTAATTTTCCTGTCTGAATCTACTTTAATTGATATGGTGTTTAAAAAAAATTAACAATAAAATATAAAATTATCGGAGATAGTACTTAATTATAAACACTTACAATATAAAAATTATATTCTGGAGCATAATTTCACTCACTACACAAAAGGACGACGGCCGCGAAGCCCGGAGACCTCGAAACTGTGCTTCTCTTCTTTCTCTCTTTATTTATATTTTATGTTTGAGGATCTAAAAACCTTTGGAACCAAAGTCAAAGCTACGATACGGGTGACGGACAAGGGATGCAGGCTCATAGATATGTATAGAAGGGGCGATCCGTCACCACGATGCTGCTATTGTTCTTTGGAATACCCTGTCGATAAAAATGCCGGGTGTCCCACCGCTGCCACCAAATTTGTTTTAGCGCACCGGGTTGTGAGGTTTTAAAGAAAAAACAAAAATCCACTATGGGAATTAATATATTATATTGAAAATAACATATATAAATAATATACTAAATCAAACGTGATATATAGTCATTTCAGTTGTTTTAACTTATCCAAATCTGCCTGACACTCTATTTTAATCTGAGATAAGTTTGAATTCTTACGAAGATAAACAACTCCTCTTGAAGTCCAGCAGAAATCATATCCATGTTCTTTCTGAAATGTTCGAGCCAAATAAAATATCTTTTGTGTTTGTTGCGTGAGGGTTTCAGTAACAAAAGCTGGCTTGATAGGACCAACTGTGCCGAAATGTCCTGTATTCAACTTTTCTCCCTTTTGTTTCTTTTTATTGAAACTTTTTACAGCTGACAGTATTTTTTCTTTTACAAGAACAGAGGTAAACTCCGCAATGATCGGATTTGAGGAATCCTTGGAATTTATGCGGTAAATGTCCCTTACATCAGATTCCCTTATATCAATATTAATTGCCTTTCCCATTAGCTGTGTTAATTGACACAGATCCGATTTAGTTTCAGGTTTACCTGTTATAGTTTTCGGTATATTGCGTAATTCAATACCCGATGCTCGTGATTTTCGTTCCAGGGTTTCCAGCCTCTGTTCTAGTATGCTAACATATTTTTTGTCTTCTTTTCTAGCATCTTCGAGATGTTTAATACGAGACAGAAACTCATCATACTTCGAAGACATTGTTTCGACAGATTTTGTCAGTTCCGAATTCTGTTCCCTTATACAGTTTACAGATACAAGAAGGTCCTGAAAACGCTTATTTTGTTCTTTAGAAAACGCATCGAACATATACTTTATGGTGACCATAAAATTTTCGGAATCGTCTCCGTCAAATTTTCGCTTTTTTCTTTCCGTCACATTCGTTGATAGTAGGTGTAAATTGGGCTCAGAGTCATAGTGCTGGCGCTCGGTAGTCAGCGACACAATAGCACTATTTTCAATTAAAGTAGTTTCCGCGTCAGAGATCTGCGCACCCGCCGCCATCTCAGAACTTAGCGGTGTAGAGCGTTGCGGGATGACGGCGCGGGGGGTGGGGTGCGACGAAGAGGCATACTGCTTTAACGGCAAAGGTACCAGGACATAGCAGATGCAGTAGTAGGATTAATTCTTAAGTAAGTGCAAAGAATCGCTTTAACAAAACAGAGGTCTCTTATTCTGGTCGCCGATCGATGATTCAGTACAAAAAGATCATCCGCCACTTTAACGTAGACCCCTCTGCACACACACAGTAAAATAATACAACTGACTCACGCGTATGCAGTGTTGACGTTGCCGGGTTTAGTGTGGTTGTGTGCGTCCGTTGCAGGCTTAACTCTCTGCTTTCACTGCGCTCCTATTACTATCACTAATTTCTTATTTATTTTTAATTTATGAAATTAAATCTCAGAGGTCCGGGGGAAGGGGGTGATTATTTGAGAGTTGGGTAATTGTTATAGTTGTGGAATTTTGAAATTAAAATATGCATATGTACAACAGAAAACTGATCCTTTTAATGTGTACAGAGTAAGTAGTTCCTGAGATGTAAGGAAACGCAAAATTTTGTCATAGATGTTATATAAAACCACTGACAACAACAGTAATCGTATCAATGGTTTGTGGTGGGTTCATTATTGTAGGTGCGTTATTTTGGGATATGTTTGGCTCAATTGTATCAAACTCGATGGGTCGCAATGAAACCTGGTTACTGCATCGATTAAAAGCATTCGTAAACAATTCTACTATGTCGTATTGTGTAATGGGCTGTCCAAATCGATCTGCCATGTGATTCTCACATTCTTGGTTGTACGCTGTCTTGATAGGGCCATAATATGTGAAGTCCAAAGGTGAGTATATGCGAGGTGTGTGGTGGCAAAGTCAGCATTATGATTCCATGTTCTCTGCATAGCGAATAAGCATCAAGACTAATGTTATCCAATGTGATCCAATATGAGCAACACTGAATTTTCTTTTGAAGGCTTTGGCTTTGCATATGAAATGAAGTGGTGTCGCCAATCAACAAAAAGGCTTTCATTTATCCATCCTGAATCTGACACAGCTCCCGTACCCTAACCCTAACATGGTTGTTAGCGTTACTACTTTTAGCAATAGTGGATTCATGCGCTTTCTTTAAAATATATAAAATGATGGAATGTATTGACCGCCTGCACTAAATGCACAAACCACTGTTGTTGTAGATCCTCTTTCGGCACTCGTTGCCTTACTGCCACTAGTTTCTGATTTTTCTATTCTTAGTGAATGGAAATGCTGTAATTAATTTTATTTTCCACTCATTCCAGCTAATGTCATAGCAAGTTTGGCGTTCATACCAGCTTTTAGCATAGCCACCCAACTTAGAAGTGCAATTGCAAATCAAAGTGCGTTCATCCCAGCCATGCATATTAGCAACACCTTCTAAGTTACGGAGCCAATGTTCTACTGAGACAGATGATTTTTGAGGATTAAACTCAGGTATAAAATCATTCCGTCCCACATAACGAACCACTGACTCTACTCTTGGTGTGGTGTCACATTTATTGTAATTTTTCTGTTGTAATTCTTTAATCAACCCTTCTAATCCTTCGATTCTCTTATTCTTCCTTTTAAGTTCTTTTTTTTGTCGTTTACTTTTAGATTGTCTATCAGAATTACTTGACCCTGACGAAGAAGCACTAGTAGACCTATTTCTCTTCTGGTGCCGACCCATGTTAACAATTAAAATAAAGTCACACACAATAAACTTATACTGCTGTCTTTAACACTAATAATTGTCTTTGAATAAAGTAAACTTCTTTAACAAAAGTAATTAAATTCAGTAAAAGTTCAATTATCTAAATAGTCCTTAAATTTAGTTTAAAATTAGCACTTTAACAACTTAGAATAGTTCACTTTGTTTATTTCTGGGTTGCTGAGAATTTTAACAGATATTAAAGTATGCTCAAATTACCAGTCTACTTATGTAAATACAAAAGTTCATGGAACAATCTCACCAAATAACCAGGAACATTTCAACACGCAACTGATGCATCTTCAAGCACTCTGAAATGCAATCGTCACCGTACCAGGATAGTTCACACAAATAAACCAGTTTCTCAACCAGAAAATGTTCACCAAAAACTTCTACAAACTTGTTGTACTGGAGGTCAGTGACCCTTAACAGATTGACAAAATTTGTGCAAAAATCAAGTATTAAGTACCGAACTGCATTAAACTTAGTTACTACAAGCGTTCTTATCACTAATTATGTGTGTCCATCACCAAATTATATAATTAAAGCGTCTTTTCGCATCCAAACCCGCCAGTTTTTTTTTTTGAAACTTTGCACTTTAAACGTGAAATTGTCGTCCAATTCATCAAAGTTCACTCGTGAACAAGATCACTTATCGCACTTCTGATATTGTTAGGTCGGAAAAACGATGTTAAACTCTTAAATATTAATTTATTATCCAAAATTAGGCTTAACCGACAGAATGCGCGCCAACGTTCGTATTTGACAGTTCCTGAGCTAGTGTCGGGACGCGCGCGGTAATCGCGTCGCACTAGTGTTGTGTCGTCCCCGCTAAATCGGAGGATTATTCATATCAGTACAATTGCATAACTGATTGGTGACCAACCCTTGTCTGCATGTTTCACAGAAGCTGCTTTTCCACACATGACAGAAACCACTTTGAGTTCACTGTAAGTTTTATGAGCATGGAGCTGTACCAGTCAAGACAGGATTCATCCAGAAACAGTCGAAGTGCTTCAATCGTTTGTATATCTTCATCTACTTCTAAACGGACACATTCTTATTGAAATATATCCATCCATTGCGATGCATTAGATATTTTCCTACTATATTTCTCAATGACAAATTTATCTGTGAGTTTTTTTTTGTCCTTTTTCACTTCACTAAATTTTTCCAATATCTTAGTTACAGCCTCTTGCGTCAGTTTGATTGTTGGTTTGTCTTCTGACTCCGTTTCCCCCCCCGCCTCTAGTAAATATCCTTGAAATTGTATGTTCACATCTTGATCAACATACACTTTTTTCATTTCTGGGGTCATGGATATCCACACATTTCGTTTTTCATGCCTCCTCCTACAATCGCGTATATCCCTTAAATGGACGATTTTTTTTTACGTTTTGTAGAAATATATTTGTGTTATAGACATGTATTACTGTCTAGGAAAAATGAGTAAAAAAATCTAGACATGAATTTACTATTTTTTTTTTTGCAATAATGTGAGTGTTGTTTATAAACTACATTGCGCATTCAATGACATTTTGCAAGTATGGGTAAAATAAGAGTGGATATTGTTTTTGAAATGTGTTTATTTATTCTAAATTATGATATTTATAAAAACAATTGCTTTTTTTCGTATCACATAAAGATACACGACATTTTTGGCACATTTTGAACGTAAATCCTGAACATTTCGGGAATTTGCACCTCTGCTGCTTATCCAGCCAAACTGCCCAATGACATGTCTGATCCAATCTGACGTCTTTCAAAGGAATTGCTTGAGCTGGTCCTCGGAACTTCTTCATTACAAGTTCTCTTTGTATTGTGCTCCCACTAGGTCGACCACGTTTAGCGCCATTTGCAGGTAGACCCAATTTGCAGAGGGTTTCGGCAAGTTCTAGTCTAAATGTACCCAAATTGAGAAGTTGATCATTTCCTTTTATATTATTTACCTTCTTGAACATAACCCATGAATTTATAACTGCGAGGTCCAGGAAATGATAAAATAAGCGCATGGTCCACTTGCGGCTCTTCATTGTGATGTGATAACGACCTATAAATGAATCTAATAAGTCCACGCCCCCCATGTGAGCATTGTACTCCTTGATGACTTTGGGGCATGGAATAGCAACTCTCTCTTTCTTCGATTTATCAAAGCGCGTGACTGTGGTTGCTGGTTCTGCTCCTACGTAAGGGGAAAGAAGGTTAACGGGCTTGTTATCTTTCCACACAACAGCACTTACGTCAATATCATCCACAGTCGCCACGTTTTCCTCATAGAATCCTCTGGGTACGTTCTTTTTCATTATAGTGTTTTTGTCAGGCAATTTGCAGTTTCTCAATCGGTTTACTCTTACTGTTCCCAGTGAGAAAATTCCTTCCTTAGCTAAATAGGTGACGAGAGGCACAGAAGTATAGAAGTTGTCGAAGTATATAATGTGATTCACATTGCGTGGTACCATTCTAGCTAACGTGACGACTGTATTTCCAGACTCTCCCAAATCTGGCTCACCAGGTAAGATGTTATTTTTGGAGCCCCCTCCACTGTAAACCTCAAATCTATGAGCATATCCTTGTAGACTGCAGATGAGATATAATTTGAACCCCCACTTGTGGGGTTTATTGGCCATGTATTGTTTTATGTAATGGCTCATTTTGGTTGTACACATCTGCTCGTCTATGGAAAGCCTTTGGTCTAAGGGAACCTTTCCAAACTGGCAGTTGAGCATTTCCTCAAGAGGTCTTATTTTGAATAGCCTGTCATAGTCTGGATGATCTTTGGGTAAGCATAGCGTATTGTCGGCAAAATGGAGAGTGGATCTTATTTTTTCAAATTTTTTTAACGGCATCGTATTTTTTATGTGATCATAACCAAATTTATCACTCCAGTAAGCCCTGGTGTTTGGAAATTTTATGACTGAGGTGTAAATCAGAATGCCTAGGAATTTATTTAGGATATTTTCATTTATAATTTCAGGATTGGATATTTGTTTCTGGGCCGCGTATAAGTTACTTTGTTCTACAATTTGCTTTTTTAGATCTGATGTAAAATAAAATGAAAAAAAATCATACGGCGTGTTACAAGACATCAATGCTTCCGTTATCTGAGTTTCTCCCCTAAAAATAAGGCTGTCTTTAGCAGTAACAAGATTCCGTTTTCGCCAAACCAGAGGTCGCTTAGAAATTTCTTGTGATCTACTCTGGGGTACTGCTTCTCCGGCTTCCAAAATAGGAGGGTCTGGCATATTTTGATCGTTGTCAATTACGAGAGGAGGATCAGCATCCACTTCATCAGACTGGGCATTCTCACCTTCATCACTATTTTCAAGGTCCCGAAGAACATCTCGAGCTGTTTGATAATAGTGACCTTCATCCTCTACTTCGGAGTCCGAGCCGTCTAAGCCATCTTCTGAATCTTCAAGAGTTTCTAAATACTTTGTAATTTCGCTTTCTAGTAATCGCGGCATGCTGAAAAGCAAAATAAAAACCCTTCACCAAACATGCATTTATTTAGCAGGCAATGCGCATTGTAGTTTTCCTACAACATACCAGATTTCGCGTAATTCGACAGTAGCATCAAGTAATTTTCAATGTTTTACAACATGAACATGTAATTGAAGATATAATCAAGCAAATAAAAATATGTTATATACTTACATTATATTTTATCAAAGTCCCAACACAGCTTCAAAACTTAGTTTCGCGCCACTAGAAAAGTTTTCTTCAAAGTGACATTTGACATTCATTTATTTTTAATGCATAAAAATATTGGATAGTGCCAACATTAAAAAAAATACAAAATTCGTTCAGAAATAAGAACTAGTTGTCAAAATTAACAAAAAAAATAAAATAAAGATAATTTTATCTGTGATGTTTAGTATGTTGTTTAAAAACAACATTGTCCATGTAAGGGATATTTTTGAATTTAGAGATTTGCTCCGTACAATACTATTTCTTTTTCGCTTCACCCTTAATGGGATAAAAGCTCAATCTAAAAGGGGGAGGTGTTATATGCAACTATTCTACTGTTCTTTTGATGACGCTGCACACGTATAATAATTATATTTTTCCATTATAATAGTGCCTATGTTGCACTTAAGTGCTAATAAGGAATTACTTTCGTATATTCTAAGAGTTATATTTTCACCGTCGCGGAGTGCGGACATTGTGGAGTGAGGTCCCCAATATTAATTGTAACGTCTGTTAAGCTAGAAAGGTCAAGTCGGCAGAATCTCTCGTTTTATATATCAAAATTTAGTGCTGATAACAGATATTTAGTGCTGTGATAGGGGGACTAAAAATGAGAACACTGCTAACTTTTCATTAAGCTAGCAGTGTGCCATTCGTTACCGTGCTATGATGCAGTTGGAGCGAGAGGCACATCAGCTCATAATTTAGTGCTCAATTAGTGCTGCCTGTACAAGCAAACAGATTAAAAAAAAACATTTTTTCAACTTTTAAGTATAGATAACTGCTGACATAACGATACGAGCAATCATAAAGCTGGAAGATGACTTTAAAACCGGTATTGGTGAAATTTAGAAGATTTACTAATTAGGGCTAAATTAATGCTACCGGTAAAACCATAAAAATTAAAAAAAAAAATTTCAACTGCCTGCTAAAAAAATCGAAGATTTTCAATAATCGAAAATTCATAGGTATTATTCTGTATTGCAAATATCGAGTTTTCATCAGATCTCAACGTTATAATGTCACAAGAAACGACCCTGACTCCCCTAGCAATGTAGCAACTGTGTGTGTGTGTTATTTTATTTTTTTTCAAATTAACTACTGCTAGTATTACAACACTAGCAGCCTGAAGAGCTAGAAGAAGACTCTAAAACGGGAACTAATGGAATGAAAAGACTTATTTCCCGTTATAAAGATCATTACGGCCATTTAGTGCTTAATAAGTGCTGCCAGTACAGCAAAAGATTTTTTAAAAATAATTTATTTTTATTTTTTTTCAAATCAACAACTGCTAGAGGGCCGTTCAAGTATTACGTAAGCAGATTTATTACAATTATTTACCCCCCCCCCCCATCCCCCTTGTCAGCAAAAGTAAGCAAAGCTCTCCCCCCCGTGCATACGTACGTAAACAATTTTCAATTAAAAATGTATTTTTTTATATTTTAATTATAATTTTAAAATAAGAAAATTGATTCAGAATAGAGATTAGATTTTATTGATGCAGTAATCAACATAGAGTAAGAGACAAAATTATTATAATCTTATGAATATAACAAACTTATTTTAAATTTTTGGTACACATATTAAATTCAAATTAACAAACAGTCTTCAGTCCATGAAACCCGAATCCATCATTCTAAGTTTTCGATGACATTGGATTGCTGCTCAGTGTTGTGAGTCTGCTCACTTTTATCCGATTTTGGAATGTTTACGTCGTTCTCATCGAGACATTCAACATCATGGTGCTCTAAATTTTGAATGACGCACATCAGCTTATTAGTACGACGAGCAGCGACTCTTACAGGGTCTAACTTTCCTATCAGTGTGCGTGTTTACTTTTTATGGATCTTCTCGATGTGACGATTTAGTGACTTGATGGAAGCATAATAAAGACCACACGTTTTGCATATTCGACTTGGTAGCCGCAATTTTACCGTCGGACAAAAATAATCGTAGGGCATTTGCAGGAAATCTTTGAGTGAAGCACTTAAGCGTAGAACTAAATTGACTGGAAGATCAAGAAATTGCCCTCCTTCGTCCAAAACCAAGTCATCAACTGTTTGTTTTACTTTTACAGGTGGTGGAAGAAACATGTTATCTAGTAATCTGAATAGACCACTTCTTGGATGACAGCATTCTGTATTTTTACATTTTACAATTTGAAGCAAGTGTTGGCTTTCACGCACATGTTCTGAATACCATTTAATGTCTAGAAATACTGGAACATCTTGTTGACCTGCCCCAAAATATTTTGCAGTAACATTATAGCCATCAATTTCCATTGAACTCCATACTTCAGCTAATACTTTTTCTGCCAATTCGAAATCAGATCTTTCTAAATGTTCATCAATTGTAACGCTACGTTCATCCAAATGAGACCCACAATGGTCATTAGGCAATATTATTATTCTTCCAGGAGCATTGGTAGCTAAAAACAATGCATCGAGATCATGTCGCTTAAAGTGTTGTATGTATAGCAAACCCTATGACTTTTTCATAACGCGGATGTTCATCTGGCCCTCCGTCATTTGAAGACGTCACTATTTAGCGCTAAATTAGTATTGTCATTGTAGTTAAGGAGTTTTGAAAAATATATTTTTTTTAATTTACTACTGCTTGTATAACGACGTCAACAGTTTAAGAGCGAGAAGAAGACTATGTATGGCAATAATTACATATTTAAACGTAAGAACTAATCCTTTTTTACATTTATATTCGTGTGGCCTCCATAATGTTCTTCATGACTTCACGCTTCCAAATTATTATGACAGTCGAATTGAAATTTCTGTGAAATGTAATTAAACTATGCCAAAAATTGATTATACTGCATTCAACAGACAGCTTACAATTTTTTCTAATTTTTTTACCAATTAAATTATTACGAAAATAATTCGAAAACCTTTGATGATACCCCTTCACAGATGAAAAAATTATCTTGACCCAAAAGAATAAACTTTAAACCAAAGAAATAATTTTGAAGTGTTTTAATGTCTTGAACCAAGGTAGAGAAATTTTCAATCGAGTGAATTGGATTTTTTTATATGTGTAGAACTTTCCGTTATCCACACTCGTTGCTCGCCAATGTAAGCTCAGCAGTATATTGTTGAACTCGATGAGCTGAACACATCGACATCGATGTTTTTTTAACTCAATGTAGAGATCTTTACATGTTGTAAGCTTTACAATATTCACATGATGTAAGATCACCAAATGGAATTTATAATTTTGTATAAATTACAGGAATTATTTAAGAACGACTGTTTTTCATAAGGCTTAGTTGAACTACATACCTAAGGAGAAATCGCACGCCTTAAACGAGGTATTTTTAAGAAAAAAAAAGGTCTACGAGTCGATGCAGATGTAGAAAAACACATACAATACATCAATGGAAGAGTATAAGCGTACCGCCCCATTAGTGCGTTGCGCTGCGTTGCGTCGCGTCATCGCAACGGAACAACGCATTGTATGCCACACCTGTGTTGCGTTGACGCTGCGCCAACGCAACGCAAGCGGGCATGCACGTCGACGCAGTTGCGTCTCAGTTCAGCCTTTGCAATGGATAGATACAAACGTGTTCTTTTGTTGCTTTTATTACGGCACCGCCGAAATAAACGTAGAAATCATAGAAGATTCTGGATATCTCCTTTGATAGCATTAAGAAATAGTGATGGTCAGTTTTTTATGCAGGAATATAGGGAGTTGTTATTAGATGAAAAGACTTTTTTCAATTTTTTTCGAATGAGTGTGGCCAGCTTTAATAATTTGGTTGAAACCTTAAAACCACATATACAAAAGCAGTATACCAAATTCAGGAACCCTTTAGAACCAATTGAAATGATTGGTATTACATTGAGGTAAGTAATTCAAATATCATAATACTCGTAATGTTAATCAGTTATTAATTTATTATCTTTAAAAACAGTTTAATTTAAGTGTTACTATTAGACAACAAAGCAAAGTTATAATCTTCTTCTTGACTATCATCAGTAAAATTATTAATCGTAGTGTTGGTTGAATAGGTAGCTTCGAATTCGTCTGTTCGATACGACGATGGCGATGGTGACTGGGCATGTTGTCCAGTTTGATATCCGCGTGACTGCAATGGTGTTGCTTGATACTGTTGTCCAGTTTGATATCCGCGTGATTGAAATGTTGTTGATTGAGTCTGTTCCCCGAACCGAATTTCGGTAATGATATTTATAACTTTGCTTTGGAACGTCAAAGTTTGTAATTCCGTAAAGCTGTCCAAAGAAGGCAAAATTCCTTTGAAAAATGATAAGTGGCGGTTTTCTTTCTCTTGCAACGCTTCTAAAGCTTGCGCCTCGAAATCATCTATTGCTTGGTTTGATCTCTTACGGCTTGCAGGCACGTAGCGAGAAGGACCTGGGGGTAACGAGGACATTTCTTTTGTAGGAAATGGAGAAGATGATAATGTGTTTTCATTTCGTTCCGTTTCTTCAGACACCATTTCAAGGCTACTGTCAGTTTTATTTTGGGCAACTTTCATCAAAAACAGCAACTGATGATAATAATGATATTTTTTCAATTGTTTTGCCCCTGATCCAGACGAACTGTTTTCTTTTATTTTTTTTACGTATCGAAAAAAGTTGTCCTTCACGCTTCTCCATTTTTTCACAACCTCGTTACCTGCAAAGAAAGAAAAAAATGTGTAAGTACCTAACTTGTCTACACTGACCAATCTAAATGGGCCACCCTGTTTATTTTTTGTGTTTCTATTTCAGGTACTTAGGCAGCGGAAATTCGATAAACGATTTGCATTTCAAATTTAAACGTGGAAGAGCAACAATTTCCAGAACTATTTCGTCAGTTTGTCAAGCTATATGGAAATATGTTCGACCACAGTACTTAGAAGAGATCACAGTAGAAAAACTACAAAATATTGCATTAGATTTTGATCTCAAAGCTAACTTTCCTCATTGCTTTGGGGCAATTGATGGGAAACATATACGTTTAATAAAACCAGACAAAAGTGGCTCTTTGTTTTATAATTATAAAAATTATTTTTCAATTGTTTTGCTGGCGGTTGTTGACTCAAATTATAAGTTTGTTTTTTTCGACGTGGGTGCATATGGTAAGGAAAGTGATTCTACTATTTTTAGAAATTCGACACTGTACAAGCTTTTAATGAGAAATGAATTACCATTGCCTGATCCACAACCACTTGGAAATGATCATAATAACGAGCCACCAATCCCTTATGTACTCGTCGGTGATGAAGCTTTTGGTTTAAGTAAGCATGTTATGCGCCCATACGGCGGATCCAATCTCAATGTGAAACAAAGAGTTTATAATTATCGCCTTAGCAGAGCTCGTAGATACGTGGAATGTGCATTTGGGATCATGGCAAATAAATGGCGCATTTTACATAGGCCAATTGATACGTCATATGATTTAACTATTAATATTGCGAAAGCATGTTGTGTTTTACACAATTTTGTTATACAACACGATGGGTTAAAACAACAAGACAATATGGCAATAAGTAGGTTCCCACAATTGAGACCCCATAGCAGTGAAGAATCATTAGCCGAAAATTTTATCAGAGATCAATTTGCTAATTACTTTATGAGTCCAGAAGGGGCTTTACCATGGCAGTTGAAAAAGATATAAATTAACTTATGTATTGAATTTACAAATAATATAACAAATACCAACTCACCAATCTTGTTCTTTTTTTGGTCCTCAAACTCGTCGTAATCTTGAAATACTTTTTTACAAACAGCTACCCATTCATTCGCTTTACGAAATTTATCACTGTAATGTTCGTGTGATTTATCCCATATAATGGGTCTTTCTTGGACCAAGGATATGAGAAAATCTATATCAATATTCTGCTCACTCATGGTAAGATAAAAAATGTCGTTACGCTCGTCTAGCTTCCTCCTCTAGCAGTGCATCACTGTCCGTCGTCGCAGCGGAGCTCCGACAACGCAGCGCATCACCCCCCTCCCGCTTCGTCTCTTGTCCGTCGATCCGTTGAAACTACGCGCGCGACGACGCAACGGTCTAATGGGGCATGTTATATAAAATGTATGGAAAACGACGCAGCGACGACGCTGCGACGACGCAACGCGGCGCAACGCACTAATGGGGCCTCGCTCTATGTGATAGATGCTAATATCAACGACTTATTGTGCGAAAAATGTGATTATGATAATAATGTTTGTGTTGTCTGCAAAAATAGTCACTTTCCATAAATGTATTAAATGCTGTTAGCCAGTGCATACTTTGCCTGGATGTTCTCTCCCTGTTGATGGTGAGGAGGAAGGTTTCAGTGAGAAACGAATGTGCCGGAAGTGTGCTCAAACACCAAACCGTCCTCCAACTATTATTATGAAAAATAAGGAAACCCCAGAAAACAACTCCAGCCCAACCCCAGTCAACAACGAAAAAAATGAAAAATCTGTAATTGATGAAACGATAACAGTGGTCATATTGATAATAATAACATAAATGATAGTGGTGATGAAGATATTTCTGGCAATGACAATAGTGAAGATGATAAAAATGGTAATGTCACTGTAAATTGCAATATTAAAAGTAACACTGATAATTTTGGCAGTGACAGTATTGACAGTGATACTGAAGTATGTCAAAAATGCGTTCGTTGCTATAAACATTTGACTAGTCAAGAATCACACTCTATTGATGATAGTATTGAAAGCGATGCTGGATATAAAGTGTGTTCAACATGTAGTTTAATAAGCAAACAATCAACAAAGCAAATGTTGGGAAAAAGAAAATTTGAGAATTGGAGAGGACAGGGTGAAACTGTACCTGAGAAAAAATCACGCTCTTTGTTCACGTTTTCGCACTGTGAATTCCATTTTTTGGAGCGACGAGGCTCATTTTCATTTAAACGGACACGTAAACAAGCAAAATTGCCGTTACTGGGCTCTTAGAACTCGCAATCCTCGACTGAAGCACCAAAAACCATTACATTGCCCAAGGGTAACTGTTTGGTACGCTTTATCCACGAATGGGATAATCTGACCATTTTTTTTTCGAAAATGCACGGGGCCAAGCGGCGAATGTCAATGGTGAGAATTATCGGCTCATGATTTCGAATTTCTTTTTGCCGAACCTGCGAGCTCATTCATCATTCTCATCACAAACGTGGTTTCAACAGGATGGTACGACCGCACACACGGCCAGAGTTTCGATGGATTTGTTGCGAGAAAATCTCCCTCAAAAACTGATTAGTCGCTTTGGGGACATCCCGTGGCCACCGAGGTCACCCGACCTAACTCCAATGGATTTTTTTTTGTGGGGCTACCTCAAAGAGAGAGAGTTTACGCCAATAATCCGCGAACTGTTGTGGACTTAAAAGAAAATATTCGGCGAGAAATCAGCGCAATTGAACCCAGTTTACTGCAGCGTGTGGCACGGAATACGAGGCTCCGTTTCGAACAGTGTGTGCAACAGGATGGAAGACATTTGGATGACATTATCTTTAAAAAATGAAATCCGCATTTGTACTCTGTCTTTTAATGCTTTTAGTAAAATTATATGTCAAACATATTATTTTTTATTTCAATTTGAAAACATAAATCTGCCACCAGACACTCTGTATTATGCAGAAGGACGAGTGTCGGGAATTTGACATGTTAATATGCAAAGATGTTCCAGTGAAAATCGACAGTTGTGAGTCAGACATTTTAAACAGAAAGGTAAGTGATAAATGTCAATCGGTATCAATAAGATGTCCGGAATAAGAAGTTTCCTCAAAAGCAATATACATGTTTTTTCAAGTCAGCGTGAATTGTAAAGATCATCATGATTTAGTATGGACAAAGGGTTCTAATACACTTTATGGTGAAAATTGTGAACTTACCGCATTATGGTATTTCAAACAAGAGAATCAAAAGATCAAATAATAATTACAAATATTGATACTCCAATAGTAGAAACAGCGTCAGAAATGGATTTGATTTATGATGCTTCGAAAATTAGGTCAAAACTTAAGCATTTAAAAAGCTTAGAACCATTCGATGATCACAAGAAACACAACATTATACAATACAGCCTAATAAGTATAATTGCTCTTGGAATTGCTTTAATATTTTTTTTTAATTCTCAGATCCAGACTTTGTAGAAAACCCCAGTCTTCGAATTTGGAAATTATAATATGAAAAAGAGGTAAACTGCAATAATATATTGGTCACAAAATAACGTCCAACACTGGTTTAAATATAAACAAAATTGCCTTTTAAATGCCACTAAATCAAACCACAAATGCGGGTAGTTTTAGTCTGAAACAAAGAAATGTATACTTTAAACCTACATCGTTATCAGCTTAATTATTCGATTAATTTATGTTAAACAAACATATTATACTGTCTCTAGTTTACGCGAGTAGTAATACACATTTAAATAACTTTAACGGTTTAAAACGCGATATATTATGTTATATATTATATATCGCGTTATATGTTTCCCTGTGACCACGGCTGCTGTAAAGCATCCGAAACGTCGGGCCGAAGTTAAACATCATTGTCAAATAAGTTTAACTAATATGTTAAACCGCGTTGTTTTAAACCGTTAGTGTTTTATTTAAATGTGTACTATTCACGTAAACTACAGACAGTATTTAGCAGAAGACATAACATACTTATTGCCTATTGATGGGCTGACATTCTTTCGCGAGCCACTGATAGTCCTCTAGCAGACCGCGTCCTTGCAGAATCGGTCCCAAAGTGTCGAGCACCTTAGCGTGGTACGTGTTTAGGTACGCAAGCTGAAAGAACACTATTAGTATTTAAATGACACAACTTTAACGGATTGAAAGGCGATATATTTATTTGCTAGTATTCCTATCCTATCTAATATTAAGTATTTATTCATCCGGCCTTTATTGTAAAAGGTAACTAGAGTACTGTCTCTTGTTTACACTCCAGTCGTACAAATTTAAATTAAACACATTTAAGGTTGAAACGCGAAATATATTAGTTAACTTATAAACAATTGATTTAAACTACGACCCGACGTTTCGGATGCTTTGCAGCCGCCGTGGACACGGGGGGACTGAAATGGAGTGTGTCCTTAAAGTCAAATTTGGTGACGGCGCTAGTATAGCAGGAGCGTCCAAAACGTCGGGCCGTAGTTACGGTAAATTGTAAATATGTTATAATATGTTAACTAGTATATTCCGCTTGTAACCGTTAAGTGTTGTATATTAAAGGAAATTTACATAGACTTTTATGATACGGTAATAACAGTTCTAGACTGCATGTATCATATTTCTTGCAACCTGCTGACCAACTTACTAAATAAACCACAGTTTAATTTAGTTTTAAAAACATGTTTGTATTACCTAACTACCCTCAAAAGTGGGCTAAAATCTTACCTCGAAATCATCAAGCAACTCCACATTGATACACTTTCGGTGGTGCGGTGCCATTGTCAGAGTGGAAAAGCCCAGAACTCCGCGGCCGTTATAATCGTCTAGAAGGTTCGATGCCTGTTGATAAAAGATTATATAAAATGCTGAAGGGTCAGTTTGGATGAACATGCCCATGATAGAGATTTTATAAAAGGTGAAATACCGCAGTCGTGTAAAATATATCAATAAGCTGTTGTCATATTTCAGCGATGGATATTTTGAAATCCACTGACTGTAACCGAAACGCGACTTAACGGCCTCGTCATCAGTGGCCGGTGGTTCGTTCGGACGGATATCCGATATTCTCCAGTTATCCATATATATGTCCAGACAAAGTTATAGATAAGATATTTCAGAATAATTACGAATTGTTTAGAAACACGACAGATCATGGTGTCGGTGGGGGTCGAACTCAGGATCCACAGATAAGCCATACATTACTACCATTAGACCAGCAAACCCATCCAAAGTATTAGTCAGATTAAAAAAAAATATATTCTGTGACCACTTTTTAAAAAAGGTTAAATTAGCCGACAGAATGTCGATATATAGAGATGGTTCTTTGTTCCCTATCTATGCTAATGTGATATATAATAACACGGTGGGACAATTGGGTGCTAAGGGACAGTGGAGAAAACGTGATTATCTGTATAAGCTTTCGTGGCGTGCGCTGCGTAAACGGTGCAAGAAGCCAAAACGTATGTATATAGTACGTACGCATTATTACCATTTATTTTATAGTGATGTGTCATAATAATATCAATCTTGCAAACGACGAAATAACGTTTGCCGGATCAGCTAGTATTCGTATAGATGCAAGTAAACCCGCGGGTAAAATAGTAGTAGTGATATCTATATTTACCCTGACGTGATCGGTATTCTTGTTCACATCGATGATCTCCACCAAGTCTTCGTGCCGTATGCCGTATTCACCGACTTTGTAATACCCTGGTTCTGCAACAAAAAGTGAGACATTTTTGCTAAACAAATTTCAACATCTGAACTGCCTAACCGAGCTTGTAAGCCCAACACTCATAATTTCATAGAAGTGTGTCGTCCCAAAATTATTATAGCTATATATAATAATTATTATAGCTATTTGGCATAATATTGATTGTCGTAAATGTGAAGTAGGCCGCATCTATAGCTAAAGGGTTAAATGTGTTTCCTAGCAATGAAAGAAAGAAAATAAATTATTTGTCATCATACGTTTTTTACATTATTCGAAAAATTCCTATTAAATTTGACTTAAGATCGATTACTCGATGCGAGCGAAGATTCAGTAGGTTTCAGATGATTCACTAGTTTTAGCGTGAAAATTAGAAAAACAGACAGACAAAAGAAAGAAGAAGGTAAGGATATTTTTTCAATAATGGTTTGCGAAATGTTCTAATATCCCACCCGCTTTGTATATTTTAATACTTTTAAATAAAGACGTAAACATAAAATTCTTAAACCATTTTAAGTTAACGTCTTAAACTATGAAATCATGTTTATTGTTTTAGACAATGCTTAAAACCAGGTCTTCATAGTTCGAAAACCTCTATAGAGATTGTGTCGAAAACGAAGAAATGAATAAATTAAAAAAGAGAAAAGGCGACGGAAGTATAAGAGGGCCAACGAAAGCCATTGCTTTCTTATGACCATGCGCCTAGCGTGGACAAAGAAAAAAATCAAATGAAGAGTCCCAAAGATAAATTACACATTTCTTTTACAAAACTTGTTTGATTTTTTTCAATTTATGCGTATTGTTCAGCTTCGCACGACCTGCACGTTCCCATGATATATTTTATTTTATTTTTACACTAGGGTTGTCTGGAAGAGATCGCTCTATAGCGGCATTGCACTCCATAGCTTAAATAGTTGTATTATTCAGAATCTTTTTTAAGGAAACGTATATTACTTTGAGTATGAGTGTGTTGCAATAAAGAATTAAATAAATAAGGGGCTTCAATGCCGCGTTGTAGAGACCAAATATCCGTTATTTATATCACTCAACGGAAAGTTAGCAAAATTACATACAAACTGGATGTAAATAAAACGAATAGGCAAAATAGGTTACTCGCCTTATTATTAAAATATGTTTTCCACCCTTCTTTCACTACCGGTATAGTTCAAGAATGCTGGAAGCGCGACCTATACCTAGAAAATGCAGTCGTTGATCCTCACCAATTATCGACCGATTTCTACCACGTCCAAAATTAGGGAACGGGTATTATATAATGGCTTCCTTCGGTAACAAATAACCGTAGATCTTCTTGTATATCTCAACCAGTTATCAATGTCTCAGAAGATCTTGATATTACATAGATGCCTCCTAGCAATATTTGACCAGTAACAATCAAGTTATCATTCCAGAATGTATATTTATATCAATTTCATAGAAAAGTAATGTACGGACAAACGCCCGTACAAATTTATTGTATTTTTTTATAATATTATTTTATAGCATAGCTAGTATAATTCTAAATCTATGTCAACGTCGTGCTCAATTCAATGTTTATATTAAAAGCAAATTTACAAGGTTAGCTTAGTGAGCGTCCTATTTTCCACTTTCTTGTAAATTATATTAAAACAATATTGATAGGAAATAAATCAGTTGCACTACAGCACTCATTAGGTTTGGTTACCTCGCCTCCCTCTTAAACTTTATCTTATATATATTCACGTATTCTTTCCAAACTGTTATACGCAACAGTCTCTGGTACCCGAAACTCGGGAGTATACGCTTAAACTGTTATACACTACAATATATTCCGATCGAAGAATGCCATTATGACGTCATCAGATTTAAAAAAACACTTGCTACAATAAGCTTTAAGAAGTTTTTTTTATGAATAGAGGGTAGTTAGAAATAAACCATACCATTGCTCAACACCTGACCCGCCTTTAGACCCGGGTCATGGGGGTACGGCCTCCACGACACCCCGGAAGGACCCTCGTGAACATTGAGGAAGTGGCCCACGCCGTGCCCCGTGCCGTGGGCGTAGTCTAGGCCCACGTCCCAGAGCGCTTTGCGCGCAAGGGTGTCCAGGACATTACCCTGGAAACATTTCAAAATCAAATCAATCAATCAATTCAATCCCTACCGGTTCTTACGTTTCTGAGGAATATATAACTTTTATGAAATATTTCGCCTGGAAAACTGGGTGTCCTAGGTTTCAGTCCTGTTGAATGATCTGTAAAAAAAATTGATCAGAGAACACGGATACAGACCGCGTTCGATTAATGTTCGCCCCCATGCCCCGCGCAAGGCGACGGTATTTTATGACAACAAATCAGCTTGTAAAACCCTCTTAACGGTTTTAATTCTGAAATATATTTTACTTTCTATATTGTTTAAATAGAACACATTTAACGGTTTGAAAAGCGGCTTTATTTAAATGAGTCCTACCTACCTACCTTATTGAAAACTTCTCATGATAAATACCTTGACGCCTTTGGGGAATAGCGCGCTTCCCAAAGCCATCTGGCCCTTGAGTACGCGAGTGAACGCGTTTATCTGTTCCGCTGTTGGGGACCCCATGTGCCGAGTTCTAGTTATGTCTGTTGTGCCATCCCTAGAAGTATTTTTTTTATTTATTTACATGAAAAAAAAAAAACAAAAAAGGACGAATCACAGCCTATTCAGGTTTTTCTGTATAAAAGAAATTGTAATAAAATCAAAAACTACTTATTCATGTTGGTCACTAGGTACACTTGTGATTAATTCCGTTAAAAATAAAGAAATACAAATTCACATTAACCACCTTTGAAATCAAGGGCGTAGAGCAGACGAGAAGAGTTGGCAAGAAACTCGCCACTCCAACACTCGTATTATAAAAATTATATAAGAGCTAGGCAACAGCCGGACTGGACTACAACGGGCCCATTTTAATTTAGATTATACATAGTTGCTTAAGATTTTATAGATATAATGAAGGAGACATTTATTTTACTGTCTAAGTATTGCTAGCTTCATCTGTTTTCTCTTAATTGGTATTTGGAGAAATTTAGCTCTAAACACCCTATAGCTACGATTGCTGCACAGCGTCTCAGCGTCGGGTCTTATAAAATTAATGAAAAATAAGTTAACCTTATGTATGCCTTATGTTTTAAACCGTAAATAATGTTTTATGTATCTGTAGATTTTTGGTGGTTACGTGGTCGCAATTAAGATGTATTATCTATTTATTTTCGATCGGATACGGAACCCTTCGTATGCAAATGTGTCTCGCACGTACTCGGGTGTCTTTTAAACAAAACTCTAATTTTTCAATTTTACTTTCATTGTAATTCTACCAACCGATATTGACCACCAGAGTCCAATAGGAACATGTCATTGTTCCTTATCTCCCGCTGGGGTCCATCAGAACTGGGACTATAATGTATTATGGCCCCATGCTCCCCCGCCCCCGGAATCGTCTCGAAGGACGGGCCCATGAAGTCCTTTTTCATCCCTGGAAAATAAACGTTTTTAAATTATACTAATAACTTAATATTTGTATATATATACAATTTGAAAATAGTAAAATACAATTTAAACAACATATAGTATTAATTTAATTAATTAATTTAATATTTTTTTAATAGTATATATTGATTGAGAAAGAAAACTAAGGGTTTGACACGCTTTATTTAATTTGGCATTTTTAGAAAAATTATTCTCTTACTATTATTTATACACACCAATAAATAAATGAAATATATACATTAAATAAAAATTACAGCTACTACCAATTTTAAGTAAGTAGTAATGGTGTTCTCCCTGTGCGCGAACTCATTTTTGCTCCAGAAACCCTGATCGTTGCATTACAGAAAGTTGATCAGACTGAACGAAAAGTTCCATTTGACAAGATAGGGTCCATTTTGACACATACTCTCTAAACTTCAAGAGCCTATCTGCCGCTTGTAGCTCAGTGATATTGGCACCAGAATTGATCTGATCGTGCAGCCATTTGAAGAAACGGACCACAGCTATGCCATCCCGGATGTGGCATTGACGGAAGCCCTGAAGAGAAAAGATGTAAAAACTAAATTATTATTGCAAGAAATTGGAATGAATATATGGTGATGACAAGCCGTTAGGGCTTCAAACACCATGGACCGCCACATTGTGGGGCCCCTAAAGCCGTAAACGACCTATTTGGGGAGGGTCCTTCTTCCATCAACACAAACAACAGTAAGCTCGAATTTAAAATTTTTTTCTTGTTTAAATAATAATTATGTAAAGTATATAAGCCTTGAACTAGGTTTCAACAACTTATTTAAATAGATCACTGTTAACGGTCTGAAACGCGAAATAAATAAATCTACCCTATATATCCGATGCCGCGGTATGTTTCACGTTGTAAACTGTTAAAAATGTCTTAATGTCAAGTTAAGACTATAAAAAAGTACTATTGTAACCTACCTTCATCTCGACGTCGTTCTTAACCAACTTCATAAGTGCGATGGGGGATACTTCAGATATCAAATTCAATGGTTTCTGCAAGACGGTCTCCTGAAGAACAAAAAATGTAATGTTTTGTTGAACTAAGCTTCTCTCAAAAAAAAAAAGTTTGTCTGTTTCAAAATCCAAAATATTATTCAAATTTTTTCAAATAAAAATGGTTTTGAAAGCTTTAATGTTTTTCACATATATAAATTAGAAAAAAAATATGAGGGGAAACCAACCGGGCTTCCCAGGGGTTCGGGGTTACCTTGTCTTGGTAGCCCAACTGGTTAGAGCACGGAACCCTGTGGAAGCCGGTTCAAGTCCATCTAAATAGATTTTTATGATTTATCATTTTTTATAGAAAGAGCAATTCTTTCAAACTAATTCATCTAAATCTAATTTCTTCTAATTAATTTTTAGTAATAATTTAAAAATCGAAAATAAATTGAAAAAATTTCGACTCGGGCAGTACTTGAACCGGCATCGTCAGCGTTCCGTGCTGTTTGCTCTACCAATTCAGCTACCGAGTCCTACCCCTCGTCTTCGAAATAATTTTTACATAATATTCTTACCCCGGCAGCTGCCCTGTGCACTGCTTCGCTTGCTTCACTCGACAACCAGATGTAGTGATCACCATCACCGCTCTCAGATAATTCCCTCTGTTGAGAAATTTAAATATTTTAACAGGCTCGCTGGTCTAATGGCAGTAATGTATAACTAATTGTCAACGGGTCGTGGGTTCGATTACCACCAGGTCCTACCGGGTCACGAACCACCGTCCACAAATGAAAAATCCGTCAAGTTTGATCGCGTCTTGGTTTCAGTCAGTGGATCTGCAAATATCTTTAAATAAAACACTTTAACGGTTAAAAACGCGATATATTAGTTAAACTTATTTGAAAATGATTTTTAACTGCGGCCCGACGTTTCGGATGCTTTGCAGCAGCCGTGGTCAGGGAGACCTCGAAACGTCGGGTCGAAGTTAAAAATCATTTTCAAATAAGTTTAACTTATATATCGCGTTTTAAACCGTTAAACTGTTTTATTTAAATGTGTACTACTCGCGTAAACTATAGACAGTATTTAAATATCTTTAACCAATATAGGCCAACAACACATCTCAAGATGTTACATGGCTGGTATTTCACCTACCACCAACGCCATGCTTGTCTGTTCTCTATGGGTAAAGTTTGCAAGTAACGACAGCTAATAATTAAAGTTTCTCTAAGATTCGAACCTCGAACCTCAGTCTCATAAGAAGTCAACTTTTACTAAAACATTGACTAAACAATTAGGGCGATCGTTTTCGCCAAAATTATCATTCACATAAAATACAAAACGAAGGCGTGATGTGGGAATCGAGTCTAGTTTTAATGACTAAAATAAACAAATACAAATTCAAAACATCTATACCAATATATAAAGCTGAAGAGTTTGTTTGTTTGAACGCACTAATCTCGGGAACTACTCGACGAAGTCGCAGATCTACTCTACTCACCGCCATTTTCTCCAAAGTCGGCAAAACTTTCTCGTACGGCAACCCTGATAACACGACGCCCTCTTCTTCCACGTTCTTCAAAATGTGTTCTGGGATTTTTCCATCATGCCAGAATAATAGCACTTTGCTAGGCGTTATAACGAGGTAGGAGAAGAACACAGGATTGTATGGTATGTCACTTCCTCGGAGGTTGAGGACATCTGCAATTAATAAGATGATTGGAGAAGAATGAAGATAGAGAAGGACAAAGAAGCATGGTGGCACCTCATGGGGGGTGAAATAACCCAGCCATATAATATCTATACAAGATGCGCGGTCGTACTTTGGCTTTGGATACGTGGAAATCCACAGACTGAAACCTGATTAATATTGACGGGTTTTCATTTATGACAATAAAAACATTAAAATAAAACACTTTTAACGGTTTAAAACGTGTTTTATTATTTAAACTGACTCTTTAAACGTTTAACGTTCGGCTCCGTTTCGGATGCTTTACAGCAGCCAGCCGTGGAAGGCATGGGGAGACTCACCGTCGCCAAAGGATAGAAATTATTTTCAAATAAGTTTAACTAATATATCGCGTTTTAAACCGTTAAAAGTTCGTTTTATTTAAATGTGTACTACTGGCGTAAACTACAGATAGTATGTATTATTAAAAACAATTTGTAAACTCTTACTAACTTTATAAAAAAGTGAAATGCCGTTACCCCTCGTGAGGCTTCGGGCGAACACATTTTTGTGTCCGTTTCACTGATCGGTTTGATTTACAGACAAGTAGGTAATCAGATTTCTTTGCCCTGCCCGACTGAAACAATTTTACTGTTTCCCCGGGAATCGAACTCAGGACCTCTCGCGCTTAACGCGATGCTAAGCAACACGTTTGACCTTTCAGCTATGGAGGCGGTACGTACTTATATACTTCCCGTTTAAAACCGTTAAAGTTTTATTTGTTGTTGTATAAATGATTTAAAGATCTGTATAATATAAAAAAAGGACAAGAAGTATTATTTAAATAATTATTTTTTTTACTGCTTCCTAATAAGCTATATCTGTAATTTCATCTTTAACGATTTAAGCTACAAAGTACATGGAACCTTAACACGTAAATGTTGATTTGATATCTCAATTGGTTAGAGCAACAGCACGGATCGCTGTGGATGCCGGTTCAAGTCTTGCCCGTGTCGCAGTATTTTTAATCTAAAATTAATGTTAAGTTACATTGATTACTTACAAGCAATCTCGTCTAACGCCGTAACGATGAGAGCAGAAGCCTTCTTCTCGGACATTTTCTCTCGTAGCTCTTCGATTTTCTTTCCAGACGCTTTTCCTGTAGAGAAAATTACAAAACTTAAGTAATTTTAATCAATTTTAAGCTAATACTTAAGTTCTTTATGTTATACTGTATGTATCTTGTTATAAATATGGTTCGAATTAATTTTTACATTTAAATAAAACACTTTAACGGTTTAAAACGCGATATATTAGCTGCAAAGCATCCCAAACCTCGGGCCGAAGTTAAAAATCATTTCCAAATAAGTTTAACTAATATATCTCGTTTTAAACTGTTAAAGTGTTTTATTTAAATGTGTACTACTCGCGTAAACTATAGACAGTATTTAATTTTTACATATTAAAAATGGTTAATAGAACAACAGCACGTATTTAATTTATGTAGTTTTAGAGTTGTAGACATGAAATAAAACACTATTAAAGGTTTAAAACGTGAACTATTAGGTCAATTAGGTATTGTGTGATAAGAGCTGTTTTATAGCATACGCAATATCAGATAGTAATTATACATATGTTAAGTTATAAATTTCGCGTTTTAAACCGTTATAGTGTTTTATTTAAGTATAGTTATATTACCTGTATAATTAAGAGGCAGATATAGAATATCGTTGTGCGGTCTCTCTGTTGGGGGATCTTTCAATTCTATTCTCGCTTCATCAACTAGATTGTTGGAAACTGCTAGTAACTGGATTTTTGCTTTTTTTAACGCTACCTGAAAATAAATTAGGTTCGTTGGAGTAAGGGTAGCCATGTACGGCTAATGATAATAGGTCGCGGGTTCGATCCCCACCAGGTCCAACATGTTTATAATCAAATTATAATTTTTCTGAAACAAATTATCCACTGTCTACAAATGAAAAAGCCTTCAAGTTTAATATTATTACGGTTTCAAACTTCGGATTTCCGAATATCCAAAGCCAAAATAGGCCGACAGCACATCTTGTTCAAATGTTATACGGCTTAGGTATTTCACCTAACATGAAGTAAATGCTTGTCTGTCGTCGTCTATCGTTAAATAATGTTTAAGTTATTTACTAATATCTTCGACAAGAAAGGTCACCGAGGAAGATAAATGGTACGTTCTAAAGCCAAAAATCCGAAGACATCATCATCCATCGGGTTGCTCCAGGTATCAAACATGGGACGACTGGGGCAAAACGCCATTCTATGCAATGCATTTATTGTTTTGAACATCCAATGTCTATATTTCGATTCGATTCAACCGTTCGGTGTCCTCTGCTCGACATAGCCCCCCAAGACTTCCAGTAACACGGTCACTGGCCAGTTGAAGCCACAATCTCTATCGCTAGCTAATAAAAATGGTATATGTTTGATATTGGCACTTGTATGTTGAAGTGAATACTATGTCACTACTTAAGTAAACTTAAACAAAAAGATACAAACATCATTGTAACTAAGGGCGCACGGCGAAAAACCAAAGACTCACTGTAATACCCGTGTAAGAGTCGAACCATTGCTTTTAAAGAAGTTTAGAGGCCCCGGGCTGACAAAGGTAAAATCAAAGTTTTTTTTATGGACCCGAACCAACCTGTAAGGGGCTTTCCGCTTCTCTGCTCATCGTGTGGGGATCGTATCCGACTACAGAACCTGCCTCCAGATTCGTACTCAGCCATTTTTCTATAGTTGGCGTGTCGGGTAAGGCTGGAAAATTGTTATTATCATGTATATTTATACTATAAAGCTTGTCTGTTATACTACACCAATTTCAGAAACTACTGGTTCGAATGGAAAAATCTCTTTGTGCTGGACAAGTCACTTATCGAGGCTTTTGGACTATAAAACATCACGCTGCGACCAAAAAGAACGAAGCAGCAGTATAAAATGTGGAAAAAACGGCAATAGTAGATAATTTTTAAGCTTTTTTTTGCGTGTGAAGAAGAAACCAAAGTATACATGTATTGCGTCCTTTTTAAAGAAAAGAAATTCCGCGACACTTTATTCCTTTCTTTTAAGATTAACTTGCAAGAACTACGGTAAGCGGATGATGTCGCGGGCACAGTTTGTATACAATATGTATGTAGTAAGATTTGCTATCTCATTGTCATTCTCAATCGTCAAGTAATAAGGCACAAAAAAAGAGTTCAGCTAGAAACTTAACAAAACATTTTAAATTATTGGGAATAAAACAACATATTCGAAAATACAAATAATAAATATAAAACAAGTACCTTATACTTACATTGCTTCATCAAAGACCACAGACTCAAGTCAACCTCTTCTTCAAACTGCGTGTAATAACGACCGTCCGTCCAGACCAGAGCTTTATTTTTGGTGACCACAGCTGTTCCAGCTGAACCGGTGAACCCGCTCAGCCATTCGCGTCGGGCGTCGACGGAGGCAATGTATTCCGACTAAAGTAGGTGTAAAGTAATTCATTCAAATTAAAAAATGTGTCAGGTATTGGCCCTGCTTGAAGAATCAAGTTAATAACAAAGATGTAGTTTACTGCATTTAGATGTAATAATTTAAGTTAAGTAGAAAAGTACAGCATTTTTTTTCAATTTTATAAAATTACGAAAATATAACTTATATAATAATCATAAGATGCATGTATTCAGTAATTTTCGCTCCTGGGTGTTAAGTATTACTTACTTAATATAATTAGTACACGCAACCAAATTAGTGTTTCTTTATGTTTGTAAGTAAACTCACATTATGTGGATCCGCGGTCGGTACAATATAGGCAGACAGCGCAGTCGGATGACTCGCCATCAACGACCGGAGGGTAGTCAAACGCGTCGCCATTTTGTTTACACAAGCCGCATGGGCAATACTGAAAACAAGGAATTTCCATAATATTTTCATTCACAAGAAGACGGAACAAGGTCAAAAGACAAAACAGATGTTAATACTGCCTGTAGTGTAACAATTGTTTGTATCACGAAATATATTACATTATTTAGTTTAACTTGTTTTGTAATTTTTATTGTTATATAGTCTCCCTGTGACCAGGGCTCCTGCAGGAGCAAGGCATCCGAAATGTCGGGTCGTAGTTAATAATAATTTTTAAACAAGTTCAAATAACATAGTTCGCGTTTTAGATAAAACAGTGTAACAGCTGTTTTATTTAAGAGGAGATGTAATTTAACAAATTCGCGAGGGTGGAAAAGAAAAATAAGTTAAACAATAGTAGTTATTTGTTTTAGAAATCCAAATTAGTACCCTCACTTCTGCAAAAAAATAATAATATAAAAGGTGGCCTTTTACACAATATGTGTACCACATACTATTTAGTAATTTTATCTAGTAAATTTTATTATTTTTTTAAACCTTTCTCAAAAACTTCTTTTCCTTTTAAAAAAAAAAGTATTTTCTTTGTGTGTTCGTTATCAACATGTTTGTACCTAAACAGGACAAATATTTAAAGATTTAAAAAAATTATAACATAAGCGTTATCATTTTTTTTGGCGTGGCAACTATGCCATTGTTCGATTTTATGATTTAGCGACAAATGGATGGACAAGCACGCAGTTTAGTTCGCGCTCTTATAATTTGTATTCGGTACGAACTGACTAAAACCGAATCACAAAAATAAAAAATAAATTGATAAAATTTTCGACTCGGGCAGGACTTGAACCGGCATCGTCAGCTTTCCGTGCTGTTCAACCTTACACTTGTGTTAAAATCGGTTCTAAGATTTTTTTTATTTATATACTAGCTGTGCCCGTGACTTCTTTCGCGTGGAATAGTGATTGGTGGTTCGCTTGGGGTAGAATTTTTAATTATTTAGCCTGTTTATTAATTTATGTAATTGCGCATTTATCGCAGGCAATCTATGTTGCAAGTGCTATTTTGCCGCAACACTCTCACCTCACATCACTCCTACTCTAACACTCACTCCCACTCCCAATCTATTCCCAAAAAGCCAAAGAAGAAAGTTTCATTGTTCTAGCTTCAAAAACCACGAATTTCCATACAAACTTCTTTTAACCCCTTTTTAGCAATAAAAAGTGGCCTATGTTCTTTCTCAGGGTCTAGACCATCTGTATACAACAATTTCCATACAAATCCGTTCAGTAATTTTGGCGTAAAGAGTAAGTAACAGACAGACAGAGTTACTTCCGCATTTATAATATTAATATAGTAAGGATGTGGTGTTGAGATTGGTGTCATACAGCCAATAATGTTCCAATAATTTACATTTTTATATTCATACTTATATTTAAAATCTCATTGGACCCGTTCCTTATTAACGACACATCGCTACAATTGGGCTAACAAGCCCTTTGCATTTTACAGAAACAAATTATAAATATTCTAGAGTAAAATTATACTTACAGAACAATCCAAAAAGGTAACCATTTCATTTTGACATATGCAGCTACTACACATATGTTTCAATTGTTTTTTGAAAAAAAATAATTTACAATTACTTAAAACCGTTTCGACTTACTACTTAGTATAATGTTACTAAAAAAAAATTTCACATGTCTGTATATAAGAAAATAAAATGTAGAGAATCATCACAACAAAACTTTTATAATTAAATGGTAAAATGGGCTACTACATGTAAATTTAGTCTTATTTAGCCTACATGAAATTATATTTTTCATGTTTTTTTTATATTTTATCTATATCAATATTTATGAGGCGAGATAGATGCTATAATATACTACTATCACTGAACAAAGAGTAGTTAAGAAAATTAATTATTTCTTTAAAAATTCAAGGTTAATTGCTTCACCTGTAGTTAAAATAAAGAAACTAATTATTAAGTGTTTTTAAACATTAATTTGAATTATTATTCATAGGGTAAATTGATATTGAAAAGCTAAAATTTATTTCAACGTACTTATTCCCGAAATAGCTACGATTACTTTTTTGACTAACTAAGAACTATTTTTCATTTGCTCCATCTCACAAATGTAATAAACTAAACTTCTTCAAATGTATTGAAATTCGATGTACTTGCAAACTAATGTAACTACGAATCGTTGCGCATGGCTTCTAGTAAGTTCTGGCATACTAAAGATGGAGGTAGTTAGATATATATAATATATTGATTTTTTATTGTCTTGTTGTCGAATAAATTTAGAGTTTTCAGTAAAATGCATTAAATTCGCAAAATCAAATACAGTAGAACCCGCTAACACGATATCCCGGCAACTTGATATACCATCGTGCATATCTTAACGTTTAATACCCCTGAGCCGAGAATTTAGATATTGATAGTTTTCGACATAAAAAAACACAAATCAAACTCAGTTGCTAAGCTTCACTTATCAGTGTCTACGTTACGTGTCAACTTAAAGAATAGAAAAGGAATTAAAGAAAAATAAAGAGACAGACGTGTGCAGAGAACAATATTTAGTGGAACCAAGAACAAACTCAAAACTTTTCAAACCAAAATAAGTGATTATTTTAGCTAATGTAATAATAATTAAACGCACATTATATCAACATGTAACAATAATATTATGTCGTAAGTTTAATGTTCCTATCTCGTATAGGTAAAATCTCACTTCTACGTTTTTGAGCCGCGCATTTGGTATGATCCCTGAGAAATCGTCTCACGCAGGTTTTACTGTATACTTTTAGGCCTTGCAACTCAAATCTTCAATTCTTTCAGCGTTAGCGTATTCTAATGTACCTAACTAAAATAAAAAAAAACTAGCGCAGGACTTTTGCACCACACAGCTAATTGTTTACTGGCTTACTATAATTCACAAACACTTTGTTTTTGTAATTTAAAAAACAATATTCTGCGCACTTCTAACTTAAACACTCTATTTAAACGTTGAAAGCAGAATACGTCTACTTCACTATGATAACCAATTCAAATGCAAGAAATGACATCGCATTCACCAATTTAGGTCAAGAACAAACGTTTTTCGCTTATATTGCACACACGAAGAATTAAAATGACAGTATACTATACAATCCGAATAATATAGAAAAAAATTGTCTCGGTCGATACACAATCGTAGTCAAAAAATCATAACAAATTTTCAAAGTACTGCGCAAAACCGATGTCTATTTTCACAAAGGTCACATTTTATAGTTGACTTGGTAATCTGCTTTGTATTGGCTTGACATTTTCAAAAATAGCTGCATCAATGTTCATAGTAAATGGTACCTTTAAGTGCATAATAGTTGAATTTACTAACACTGGTAAAATACTTTGAGTATGTCTCATCTATTCTATTCCCTGAAGCCCACATGTAAATCGTTACATTTTTGCTGGTGTAACTTTTAAAATACATATTTTGACTTCATTGACTATTTTTTATTTAAAAAAAAACACCTTTTAACGGTTCAGACTGCGAAATAGCTAACAAATAAAAAAATGTTATTATTATTTTAATTACGGTGGAACTGAAGATGGATCGTCGTAATTTATATTTGAAGAAACAAGCCCTTACCTAACTGACTCGGTGTACTGCCGTTCATCGGTGCGCCAGGGTTTTTTGGACCCCACATTAAATATTGCGCGTTTTAAACCGTTACGTATGAAATAAAGGACTGCAATTCTTTTTTTAATCATACTCACCTAAAGTATAATTTGAGAAAAACACATTTAGTAATACCAATCTTTAATTAATTAATATTAAAAATAACACTGCTATCTACAAATTAGTTAGGTACAGTATCGTCTTAACAGGTTGCTGAAGTAGATGGAACACAAATTTTGATCCTAAAAAAAATTGTGCCATCCTTTAGTAATTTTTTTCTTAATACATTTAATATTTTCGAGATTCACCAAAGAGCAAACATCACCTTAAATAATTATAATCTCTTTATTAAAAAGTTATAACACAATGTGATTCTCCCACAATCCTCTAGTGGTCAGTGGGCGTCGACGTAATCAGATGTATTCAGAGAGTAAACTATAGGTATTGTAGTTTATCAGCCACCAAAATTTTGAATCGGGCCAGCTATGTAAGTTTAAGTCCTTATTGTGGTGCTCAAATTCTAGTTGACAGATGACACAGTACCAGATACCCGCCTTGCATGCGCCAGATATATACAAAAATTAATTCTGGCTGGAGGACCGAAAAGGTAACACAATTATTACTTTTACAAAATTTTAATCAGGATAACAAAAAATCGTGAATAAATGAATTTCGTTTCTATAAAAATTTAAGCTTCTACATACAATTAAGATGATACACAGTACAATACTTGGCTCCCAGCCAATTCTCTAAGTATTACAAAAATATGTCACACACAATTATTCACCATTCACTGAGTTCAGCCTTAGTATTCAGTGTCACTCCATTTTGTTGTTTAATAATGTCTTACTTATAAGATAATTGAAATCTTAGTGAGAAGAGAACCGCAACTTATCTATGCAGCAGGAAGGTATTATAATAAGGAGCCTAGAGTAGATATGATTTCAATAGCAACTGGATTTTATAGATCTGTTTATGTAGATGATAAAATAATCCTCAATTAATTATGTGTATAAGTAAAACACAGTTTTGCATTATCTATTTCTATAAGGGCAGAGACCATGCCTTTTTTTTAAGTATAGGAATAGCCAACTAAGTTTTTCCCACATCATAGGTCTGTACTTCTTTCCAATATATAATCATTACATTTGAAATTCATAACTAGAAGAAAACAATAAATGGAGTTAGCACCTTTACAACATGTTTATAGAAAAAAAAAAAAAAAAAAAACACCCAACCTTGAGTTACCTATTCGTAGTTATAAGCGTTCTAAATTAAATTTGTATTAAAAAAAAAAAAATATTCGTTGCATGTGTTGGGAGAGTTCAAAATAAAGGTCTAAATATGTTCATTTAGAACTCACAATGCGAAAAAGAGAATGGAAAGAGTAAGAGAGAGTTTAAAGTAAAAACAGCAACATGATATTAAAAGTAATATGATGCAAAATGCATTACAAACAATGTGTCAGAAACACATACATAATTCAATTACATGAATGTGATACTTTTCCTAATAAACTAATAAACCTAAGCATTATATATACATTATTATCACAACAGTCCATTAGTTTCAGTTTTTCAATCTTCTTAATTTTCACTAATATTTACAATCTGTAACCAAAAAAAATATGATTATTAATATCTCTCTTGCTGTCACAAAGCTCATGTAAGTATTATATTTCTATTTAAGCTAAAAATAAAGAATTATATATATCTATATGTATGTACTGATTGTATATTTTTAAGATTTTAGCATTAATAGAGAAAATAACTTAACATAAAACTTCAAACACTTACTTCAACACTCCATAGGAGCGATAGAATTTGAATTATCACCATAACCACTCAAACTCCCTTGAAACTCGATACCGCTAATCTGACTGTCTGCATTGAAAGCACCATATGAGTCATTACTAGGAGCATGGGTTGATTCAATGTTTCCATCACCTGAATCTGTTGGCACTGCGTCTGGTTCGGCCCAGTTGATCTTGAATCTAGTTACCCTCGGTTCAGACGCCAGGATATTCCTGACTACCTTATCGAATTGAGGCTTCGCTGGGGGGTTTTCCCGTAACTCTGGTTCTGATTCACTATATTCATTGTTAATAAAGTAACCGACGCGCACAAACTCCTGACCGCGGTAGGAACAAGTTAATAACACTACAGTGACGCCAAGAGCGTCGTTTTCAGGTATGCGGTTCACATCGGGCGGTGGTGCTTGGAATACAAACATGTGCCGACCCTCTGGTATGGGACCAACGTATATTGTGTCTAAAACCTGGTCATGTTCTTCCGTTTCGGCTGATCCGACGTATATCATCTTCCATTCAAGGTCTTCTTTTAGTTCCTCTATGCATTCGAAGGTTAGCTCGAATTGGAAAGGGTTCAAAAACGGACTAGGATTGTCGAGTACGACTACGTTGGTTATGTGCACTTTAGCCATTTCAAACTTGCAAATAACTATTCTTTCACGATATTCAGTGTTATAGAACGCAGTTACTGAATGATGCAACGGTGTGTTTTCAATAAATCAAAAAATATACGTTAAAAAAGTATCTAGTAGTCGCAGAGAAAAGTGCCGATCGCGGAATCGAATGACATTGACGTATATTTTGGCGGTTGATTTGGTCACGTGACGTATATAAACTGTGACAGCAACGCCTCTGGAGGACGATGGGATCAACATTATGACGTATCGGTAAAAGTAGTTATCAGATTGTAATCATGCTGATGAAATATTTTACTCAACTATTAATTTATATACATCTTATTTTGGGTAAACCGTCAACGTGGGAGTAACATAAATGAAGCGTGTTAGTACATACCTGGATTTTTCATGCAAAAAACTGAAAATTGTGTTATGCACTTCAATCTTCGTTATCAACACTAAGTTAATGTCAAATTTTGTATGACATATGACAAATTACTTATCATACTAAAATCTACAGATAACTCAATACAGATATAAAAAGTTTAGTTTGTGCGTATTTATCTAAGGCTATTCAAAAAATACAATGAACTTCTAATGAAGCCTGTTGTTTTTAAACAAATAATCTTTCATATTTAATCGACTAAAACACTTGTATCTCGCCCCCCTATAATTTAAAAAGTTACACATAAACAAACATGGCCTCCACTACAAACTTCTATCAATTGTATACATTGTTTAAGTGAATTGTCGACTGTCACTATCAAACCATTATTTATTCAAATGAAGACTGCATACTATTTGTAACAAGGAAATGTATAGATAGAATAATGAAGGCCGAACGTAATAAGTGAATATTTAACTAGTGAAAACGTCTAACATTCTTAAAAGGTAAAGCACTATTATATGTGTTATTTTTACGATTTTAAACTAATCGCTGTATTATTAGCGGGAACAGTATAATTTGCCAACTCTGTTTACAATTATAAATACTATAATATTTAAATATACAAAATTAGGATACTTTTGTCATATTACTTTCACTATTGCAACTTCCTTAAATGGTTCGCATTTTATTCTATTGAGTCATATCATTTATAATGTATTCTTGATTAATACTGGCGTCAGTCTAATTGTTTCATTTAAATTGGCTAAGTCGTTTTGCAACCATATTTAGAACGCTTCGTTTTTTGTCATGTAATTAAAGGTTGGCTTTTATTGTAGGACAGCTGTATTTCACTACTTCATACCCTGTTAAATAGCTGATTAGTTCTGCACAAAATTTCATTAAACTTTTGTGTAGTTAATAAGTAGCTTAAAATGTATACTGTATGTACAAATCCCCACTGAATTACCATCAAATGTTTACAAAATACATAATGGACATATTTAATATCTGTACAAACAAAATTTAAGAAATATTATTGTTTAAATTTATAATATATACTAACGGTTTACATGTCAATAAATTATATTAGTTATCTAGCTATTTTAAAGTCTGGAATTTTTTTTGATGGGGACTGTCTATGACAGAATGCTACGTAACATTAATATAAATATTTATTTTAAAAGCGATTATAGGTCATTAGTACTTAAACCAAAAAATACTGGCGATAATATTGTATAGGGACATTTCTGTCTTGTTCCCTGGGTGAATGTATCTTAATAAGTTGATCACCTTTTCGTAAAATCTATCTACTAGGCAAAGCCCTAGTGAAAAACTTTCTAGTTAAGCCCTATTTCAGTTGATATAAACAATCACTTACTAAAAGCAGAAATTCAATTGCTTAACAAGTTATGAATACAAATGCTTCCTTTCATTAACTGTAATTAATACTTTTTTTATAGAAATTATAGTGTCATATTTTTTCTAATGTACTTATGAATTGAACCTTGGACTTCTTGCTGCTTTCTTAAAGTTTATTCATATTGATAGAAATAAAAGAATCTAAGAAGTATTAACTCAAACATAGTATACAGTAAACATGTAATGTAGACTTTAAAATTTATTTATTATTTGTCTACAATTTTTAATACAAAATTTTCTCATGTTTTTGAATAAAAGAGACAATCAAAACAACAGACATTCAAGTGCATCAAGATCTTACAATTTGCTTTCAGGTCTTCTTAATGGTGCCGGAATGTCATCGGGGCGAGATGACTGCCCTGTCTATTACCGGGAGATACAGAAGAACGCATATCTCAAAAGATTACCGGATGATTTCAGTAGTGGGAAGCTGCGGCCGTTGGTGCATAAGGTATTAAAATGTGTTACATGTATATTAATTGAAAGAATACAAAGTTTTATATCACCTTTGTAAGCAGTCATAGTTTTTCAGAAGTAACTTTAAAATAACAAGAGAGACTAACTAACACAGGTGATTATGATCCTATCTTTACTTTTCAGAAGCCCCCTCTCAAACCAATGTGGACACTCTTCTGTGTCCACAATGGAAAGACACCATACCTCGAACAGTACCCGCAACAGGACTGCGCGGCGACGCACGCGCATCGACCAATATGGCGCGCATGCCTCAAGTCGACGAGGCACGTGACAGCTAGTGTTAAGCCGGTTTCAGGGCAGGAGTATGACTTTTTAATCGACACTGATGGAGGTCCTGTTAGGATGTTAGCCCCGGATTGGTTAGTTATATTATTCTAAAGTTCTAATATTTCAATTAAATTCTTATCATTCCGACTGGTGAAATGTGTTAGTTAACCTATTTTTTATTTATTTTAATGCGGTATTTGATTTGTATTATATTATTTCTTAGAAACCCTAGAAATTTTGCTAGTGACATCACGATCACTGACTATCGATCATATGATTTACAATCTACATGTATCAAACATTTACACAGTTTAACTAATTCAATCATGCAGAGAGTAGAACAGTTTTAACACTAGGAAGCACGGTAGTTTACAGCACTGTTTATAAGCAAGTGACGTCGTCATAAACCCGACCAATCAGACGCGTTTTATGTCACCTGATAAATATGTTAAAAAGTTATTTTTTATTTAAACCAATTATAATTTTCCACATGTGACTATTTTAGTAATAAATAATACTAATACTTAATAGAAAAACAAAATTGACGCTATATTTTTCGCATTTTCAAATAGCCCATATACGGGCCGTCAATTCGTTTGTGGGAACGTATTAATGACAGTTCGAGTTTTGTATTTCATATCAATGTATCAATCTACTTTTTGGAAGACGCGCTTTTAGTTAACCAGGATAATCGTTAATCTTTCAGGGACGCGATGCAAGACTGGGTGACAACTCTACGCAATAAGCTACACGAATTACGCATTTTGTCCCGAGGGGAGAACGTGTACGGTGCGCCCCCCGTTGCTCCAATGCCGCGAGCTGCAGCTAGGGACCCTATGTCACCCTTGCCCCCGACTCCGGCTGTCCCGTTAGATAGGTGAGTGTGTATGAAAAAGTGTAAGTGTGTGATGTAAAAAGAGAGAGTGTGTCTTAAGGTTCTTGCTGTGTTTTTCGTATTTACTTTCAATTCATATATATTAATAATTTGTGTTAAGATAAGTATGAGTTGATGATGGGTTGATGTGTGTTACTGTGTGTGAGAAATTGAGTAACAGTTTATCGCAATATGTTTAGGTAAATAGTAAATTTAAAAATCTTTATGGCTGAAAAAAATTTCGACATGAGCGGGACTTGAACTGGCATCTACGGTGTTCCGTGCTTTTGTACTAACTAATTGAGCGTGTCCTTAAAGTAATGTTTAAAAATAACTAAAATACAGATAAAGGTACAGGTAGGTTTAGGTTCTAGAATAAAGGTATTGATCTAGTTTTAGCTTTTTTCTGTAAATTTGACACGAGAATATTTGATTACAGGGTGCCCGGAATAGAATTAGGTCCAAATATCCGTCCAGTTACTGAAAGTAGCACAGATAACTCTAATACTAGCTCCTACGCTACAAACACAACTAACAGCGACGCAAACGACAGAAGCGTCACGACGACTAACATCAATGCGACAATCGTGTCCACTGTCGACACAAACGTCAATGTCATTAATGACACGAATTTCACTCTGGATAGCGACGCAAATGGAAGAAGCGGGAACCCGGTAGCGACTGTAAGAAACTTTGATATCAATACGAACGTGGATAGTGACGCGTCTCTGACAAATGTCAGAAACGCTCTTAACAGCATTGTGACGTCTGACATTGACATATCGAATTGGGATGCAACACCGAGCACGAGTCGAGATGTCGTCGAGTCGAAGAATAATAAGATCGAGTCGAGGGGTGTGGCTAAGATCTGTGGCCAAAATGTCTGTCTGGACGATTCCATTTTGAAGAGGTCGTCTCGGAATAGCGACGATGATTTCTTCGCGGAGTTGGATAGGATAAGTGATGGTGATGATTTCGGTTATACGCAACGTTTGCGGATTAATGATGATCAAAATTCGCAAAGTATGGATAGGTAATTAAAAAACTATTTATTTTATATTATTAAGACCTAAATTAACCACTTTTCTAAATAACGTATTTCTAATTTCAGTCAACCACAGCGTTCGAACATAACAGTGATCCAAGTATCGAATAAGGGACCACCGCACACCGCAATACCAGTTTTAGGCCCAGCAACAGACGTATTCGACTTTAATTTTAAACAAAATCTCTCTATCAAACCAGAAAAAAGCCCAGATTTTATAAATATAGTAAACACAGAACATACACACGACTACGGAACTGTATTCGACAAATCAGACTCAGAATACGGTCATATAAGCCTGACGACAACTGTCAGTGTCACCCGAAGCGATCCGAACGCGAAAACGATCTCTGTAAACTGTCAAATGCAAAATGGCAGTGACAACAGAAATGCTGTCAAAGTGACAAATGACAGCGTGTATGAGCGGTTGTGCATGGCGTCAACGTCAAACGCCTCACCTTTGCCGCTGAGACGTATACAGAACGTAGATAGAGTAAGAAAATCTTCCTTACCAAATCTGGACGTCTCTGAAGCAACGTACGAGTGCTTATTCCCTAGTCAGAATGATGATTCGGACGATGTCGAAGTGAACCCGATGTCCATTCCCAATACGCACGTTTCGAATAATCGTAATAATTCTATATCTGTAGTTCCAAATTCGAATGTGATCAACAGAATTCCAAATTCAAATCACAATTCTATTGTTTCCAGTTCCATTCCGAATTCAATAAATTCAAGTGTTCTAAATTCCATTTCGAATTCAAACTTCATTCAAACGAATTCGGTAGCATCTATTGATTATGTCAGTGCATCTAGACCGATAAGAAGTTTACGGTCTACCATAGAGAGGTCTCACAGCCAGAATGCATACGACAGCGCGCCTGGTGTTAGAGAGAGACGGAGATTGCTTAATAACAGTCCTAAGAGGGAGACAAAACAGGGTAAGCGATTTTTAACAGATTTACATTTTAAAGATCGAAAATAAATTGAAAAAATTTTCGACTCGGGCAGGACTTGAACCGGCATCGTCAGCTTTCCGTGCTGTTGCTCTACCAATTGAGCTACCGTAGGACTACACCTCATCGTCGAATTTTTTCAACTTATTGATACATGCACCTCTCGCGCAATGTAATTTCTACCTTAACACTTGCGTATTAAATTTTTTCAATTTATTTTCGATCTTTAAATTATATAGTGCCTTCATGTGCAATAACATGTGAAAAATATTAATGTTTTCAAAGATTTACATTTTTGCAAGTAGTAGATGGTAGAGATATTAGTAAATAGTTATGTAGTTTATCTACTTGTCTGTAAAATCACTTTGCACGGCCTTTATGCCCCACCTAGGGTTTGGGCCATCACAGTCAATGTACTGAAAAACAATTGAATAAATGTTGGGAGCCCTAATTAATACATTTCACGTTTTAAACGAGGACAAGTAAAATGTTGTCAGTATTTTACGCGAGTATTACACATTTAAATAAAACACTAACGGTTTTAAACGCGAAACATTAGTTCAACTTCTGTGAAAATCATTTTAACTAAGGCCCGACGTTTTGAATGCTTTTAAACCGTTACAACGAACTTTGACGTATATATTTGAACATTCTGTTTTCCAGAGAAATCAGAAACGCAACACCAAAAACCAATATGGCGGCGCGGGTTGACGGAGCTGTCATTGTTGACAAGATTGAGGAGCATCGGACTGAAACGTCAAGATAGTCCGACTAGGCAGGATACAGATAGTGATAGGTATGTAAGGTGTTGAACCATAGCGGTTTGAGGTGAAAATTAAAATAACTGCTGATCTTAAGAGACCCAACTTATTTTTAAAATGTAAAAGTCAATATATTAGGCTGCTAGAGGCAGAGTAGTCGTTACCAATTTTATGGTTTTACTTAGTTTTATTTTCATAGTCTAAAAATGTCAATCAACAAGAGCCCAGTGACCGAAAATTGTTAACATACTTCTTACACAAATAATAGTACAAATTCATTTTCGCCTAAGTTAATTGCGCGACTTTATTTTTCTACTTTTTGAAAAGCATGTTTTTTGTTTAGGTCTGTGACGTCACCAGTGAAAGTAGTCCACCGGTCAAGAGGAGAGACAAGAGTAGATAGCAGTAGAAGAAGAAGTAGTTCGCTCAGCAATGGTGCGTATCATTGATATGAATATAAGACCGTTACATCAATAAAACTCAACTACCCTTAAATATTTTTTTTTATTCCGATCATTGCGAGTTGAGTTTCTTGATCATAAGAGTTGTAGTAAATAACTATAGTATTTAATAGCCATTTCATTTTCAAGGTCACTCGCCCCGCGTTCCCCAGTCGCCCCCCGCGCTATTGTCTCTGCGCGCGCGCCAAGCGGCCGCTCTCTTGGCCGAGCAACGCCGCGGCGCATGCGTAGCTACCACGATTCCCACTAGAGAGCCACCAGTATTCTGCGATTACGAGAAACAAATTTGGTACGTTTGGAAAAAGATCAATGAAATAATTAATTGCACAAAAATCGAACCCACGTTGTATCGTGCCGATGCCTTGTCGTCGTGGAAATTTAAAATATATTGTTTTGTATGGTAGGTGAATTAACCCAATCATACAACAAGATTGTCGTTGTCGACCTATTTTCGACTTGGATATTCGGAAATCCACAGACAAAAACGCGATATAACTACACGGTTTTCACGCTCACCACTTATTTAATCTCCTGAGTTTCCGTAGAAAGTCCATTTTGGTTTTACAAAAATTATAAATTAATTAGAATGTTGCTTGAAACACCTTCTTAGGATCAAGACCCCATTTGACTCAAAACGTCAAAATATGAAACTGCTCTGGAATTATTTTTAGCCTTATTTATGTATTTTTAATGCGTCTTTAAAGGATCAATGTTTCAACCCTAAAGGAGTATTATCTCTTACTATTGACGGTTTGAGTCCTTATGTCATTAGTAATAAGGACTAATTTTGAAGTAATTTCTAATAAGTTTAACTAATATCGCGTTTTAAACCCTTGAAGTGTTTTATTTAAATGTGTACTACTCGACAAAACTACAGACAGTAAGTAATTTCTTCTTGGATGGTAGGAAAATCTAAATTACGCCCGCCGACGAATCACCGGTCACAGATGAAAAACCCGTAAAGTCGGTAATCGTGCTCCGGTCAGTTTGTGAATTTCCAAATATCCAAATCAAATAGGTCGATAGAGCATCATTGGGCTATTTAACATACCGTCAAGTGAACGCTATTCTTTTTGTCTTCAATCACAAAATACCTGTACAGGGTGGCGCGATGGGGCGGCGCAGGCGCACGGTGTGGTGGTCGCGTGGGAGATAGAGTTGCAGCCGTGGGCGGCACTCAGCCTTCCTCTGCTCAGACGGCCAGACAGCTTATCAAAGCTTCGCATAGACATATGGTAGGTATTGGAGCTGGATGTCCAGGGTTCGACTTAAAAGAGTCCAAGCCTTGCTAACTGCACTGTATTATTTTTATTAGATTGAAAAAACTTGACGATGAAGTGCAGGACACCGTAGCTTAATTGGTTAGAGCAACAGCACACAATGCTGTGGATGCCGGTTCAAATACTGCCCGTGTCTTTTTTTTTCAATCATTTGCTTAAATAAATAATGTATGATACAGGCTGGATTTGAACCGGTGGTGGTATGGCCGCTGTTCTGATATATTTATTTTGGTGTCAGGTCGATGTGCTGTTTCATCGGGTGCCATTGGGAAAGATATATGTTATCACTAAGAAGGACCACGAGAGCTTAGGTGAGTGGAAATGCAACAAATGTATTATAGAAATAAGGTCATATAATGTAAGTATGGCCTGTAGTCTGCGCATACGCACATTTAAATAATCAATTAACGGTCCAAACGCGAAATATATTAGTTAACTGGCCGTGGTCACGTGCTGTAAAGCATCAGAAACGTCGGGCCCTAGTTAAGTTAAATATAAGTGAATATATTTCGCGTTTTAAACCGTTGAAAGTGTTTTATTTGAATGTATGTATGTATTTTCTTTATTTTTTATTCTATCCACATCATCGTTTAGTCTCCTAAACTAGATTATGGAAATGCAACGATACTAACAGTTTAATTTATTAGGTTCGATTCCCATCGAGTTGTATATGTTACTTGACCATTTAAATTATTTCAGAAACATGTCCGGAACTTTCATCGAAGGAAATGAGCTAAAGAAATCGAAATACCGTTCGAGTTGCGAGCTTAGGAGCCCTAATATTAGTTTGAGACTGACGTTTACAAATTATATTTACTATTGCAGGAATTAAACTGGACAGCGAATGCACGATACAATCCGTGGACGCTGACAGTCCTGCGGCCCGCGTCGGGCTTCCGCCGGGCAAGTGGGCTGTGACCGAAGTCAATAATCGACCCGTCAACTTACTGAAGGTATTATATTCTTGTATCAAATTAAACTTAATATATTAAGAAAACTTTTTCAATACACAAACTATATATTGAATAGTTAGTAACAATCATGAAATTCGTTTGACATACTTAATGGATGACCCCTTTTTGGAAAATTTGAATTGATTTGAACACGTTGGATTGAACGCACTCCCTTCATGAGTCATATAATGGAAATAAAGAATTATAAGTTATCTGAATAAATTAAGGATATTTAAATAACTTATAACGGTTTAAAACGAGAAATGTGATAAATAAATTTCATTTTAATAACGGGTCGTTGTTTCGGATGCTTTGCAGCAGTCGTGGTGGGAGCAAGAAAATGTGTACAATTCGCGTAAACTACAGAACTTAAGAAAGACATTTCTTTTATTTTCAGGGCGGAGAGGAAGAAATGAACAGATTGAGCGCAAGGGGCACGGAAGTGTCAATTCTAATTCAGCCGACAGCTTTAGTCAAGAAATTGCGAGCAGCTATCAAGGGAAGACCGCTTTTGGCGATAAGATAATGTTTTTTTTATTAGCCCAATCATTTGGTGCTTATAATGAGGTTTGTAAACAAATAACTTTGACGATGTCTATGATTATTGCGAATTTATACTTTGCCGCGTTAATTTGCTAACCGCGCCGCCATGTTGGAAGAATGGCGTCAAATGCAGTCAATTGTCAACATCTCCTTTTCGAAACAATTTATAAAGATTATTAAAGTAAATAAAGACTATAGAAAAAATATATAGTCGGCATAAGGTTTATTAGTTTTTATTATTTTTTTTACATAATTTAAATACCGTCGAACTCACTAATTTAATTTGAATTGTGTAGTGTCATCAGTAAATTAATATCTACACTACTATTATAAAGCTAAAGAGTTTGTTTGAACATGTAATCTCTGGAAGTACTGGTTACAATTTAAACAATCGATCAAGTTTTTAGGCTATATAATATCACGCCGCTACAAATAGCAGCGAAGAAAGAGAGGGATAATTGGAAAAAGCGGGAAAAAATATTCCTCATTGAGAGTTGCGCGTGCTGCGAAAAGGGTTAAGAGACCGAAATTAACGAATAATTCCTTTTTAAATGATCAAAAAAAAATGTCCGCGACATTATGTCTATCTTTTAAGGTAAAAACCTTTTTTGGGGTAATGAAATGTGGTAGAAATGCTTAATGTGGCAAAAAATTGCAATATCAGCATATTGTCGTAAAAAATGATAGACTATGTTATGTTGTATGACGACATCGTCTTATTTTTATATTTAAAAAAATAAAAATATATGACGGGGAGGTGTGTGGGCGCTCGTTACTATCCATCGCGGATTCGAACGAAATAAGGCTTCCAATATGTTCACTAATTTATTGCGATTACAATTTGGTAATAATTAAATGAAGCGACACACTACGCGCATGCAAGGGGATCACTTATTTCGGAACACAGTGAATTCATAGCACGTTGGCACATCTGCACGATCGTCCCGTTCCAAATCAAATCGTTATCGGCCACCGGTGACAGTTGTCTTGTCAACTCAAGACAATGTGGCTCGAAGCTCCGTTATCCAGTCTCCGACATATATTTCTTCTCTCTCTTTACGCCACTATCCCAATATGGAGCTCCGAGCGATAAAGATAAGAGACGACAAAGTGGGAATTCGCAAAGCTCATTGTAATCTATACAGTTACAAAATTATTGTACTACGCTGAGTACACTTTTGAATGTCAATACAATTTAAAAACAAAAGACGAGTGTCTGTAGTTTACGCGAGTAGTACACATTTAAATAAAATACTAACGGTTTAAAACGCGATATGAATTAGTTGAACTTGTTTGAAAATTACTTTAACTACGGCCCAACATTTCGGATGCTTCGCCGTGGTCAGTTGGAGTCTCGCATTTTAAACCGTAGAAGGGTTTTATTTATTTAAAATACTATTTGGATTGATCCGATTGGGACATCGGTATCGGTTCGAGTCCCGCCTGTATTAAATCCTTATATTAAATTTCTCTCAAATAATTGAACACTTATCAAAATTGTGAACGATCTCTGAATTGGTGTTGAATCGGTAATTTATAAAAGAGATATATTTACTTTAGATATAAGAATTTGTGATTATTTTTACAATTTAAAATAGGTTTTCACTATATACAAAAACACTTTGTTGTACCTAAGAATAGTAAGGCTAGAACGAGGCAAGTAGAGATCAGGGGTTGACAATTTAACACGTTTTGTAGGTAGATAACAATCTATCGAATCAAAACCGTCAAATTGTAAAATGACATCGATTCCAAGCACTTATGAACGTATATAGGTTTTGTCTGAAGTACGCGAGCTGTACATATTTGAATAAAACACTTAACGGTTTAAGACTCGGTATATGTTAACTTATTTTACATTTAATATAACCAAGTCAAAACTGCTCTCCTTCCATCTTGGCTGAACCAAAGCTCGTTATTCTGTCCTTTAAACCGTTAAAAGTGTTTTATTTAAATATCTCATAACTTGATATAAGCGTGAGTCCCAGCAGTGGGAATAGAGTTAAAGATAATGATGACACAGCAATATTTAATCACTGGATCCATTTTATACAATTTTGTATTAAATTTTTGAATTATTTAAACATAACTTTTGTACTGTATACATATGTTTAAATACCTACATATCAATAACTTTGTGATGAGTATACGTTTTTTATGAAAATTTCTATGTGGTTTAATTTAGTTCTTTGCTCTTTCCACCCCTTAATGTGTGCTTTAGAAGCTTAGACCCACCACGCTGTATGTGGATTAACGACTAGTACCACTAGACTACCAGGTTGTGACCAGTAGCGTAGCTAGGTGGACAAGGGCTCAAGAAGGAATCGTGTGCTCATCCCCTCTTTTAGCATAGCTTGAATTAAATAAACCTCCAAAATAATAAATATCAACAAGAACGTTATTAGTTCCTTTTCTTCTACGCCTAAATCTTCTCAAAGATAATGTTAGAGGGCCCCTAAGTTCCTGGACCCCGGTGCACAGCACCACCTGGCCCTACGGTAGCTACACTGGTTGTACACTGGGTCATTCTAGAAATAAAAAAAATGCCTCCGATTAAATAAAAAATATATTTAAAAACCTGTAAACAGTTTTATGGAGTTCTCTTAGCATATGTTATAAATGGTAACAATAAATGAATTACGAAATAAAATTGATCTAAAAATGCTATCTGCGCTCACGTACAGTTCGGCTAAGACCATCTTAAGCTAAACTGAGTTTAAATTCTAGAAATAGTTGGGAATATCTATGTACTTTTGAGTTTTAATACAAACAAGCATGGCGTTCTCTTGAATGAAGAGCGTTATAACAACGGAATAAGATGCGCCGTACCTATTTGGATTTGAACGTACGGTAATCCACAGACTGACATCGAAACGCGATAGACTTAAGGCCTTTTCATCTGTGGACGGTGATTTGGATTACAATCCTGTATTACCAATTGTTATCCAGATTCTCCAGACAGTGGTTACCCGACCGAACGAATATGTCAACATCTTTTTCACAATTCTTTACGTGTCGTTGTATTAATTTAAAATCCATTTGAACGCGAATTCTACAGCTTCTTAAAAGTACACGAATAATCCCTCTATTTATTGCGTTAAATAATAAAATTCGTTCTAAAAAGCTTAAATTAATGAGTTAAATTGTACCAATAAAAAAACTATCATTACATACAAAGAGATTTTAGTATTGGTTGCAGCTTTCAAAAAACCACCAACAATTCAACGAGCGGGTCAAATAATAAGAAAGTACACAACAAATGACATTCTTCTTCTTCTTAACAATTCTAGATAAAGGTAACATATATTACTAAACGGCTTAACTAATTTTGATGGGTAGTATCCCTTTTTTAATTCAAAACTTCAGCATTTGTTCGTGACATTACAACTTTATATGAAGATTTTTTGTTACATACCTAAATCTCTTTGTTAAATTAAGTACAAATAAAACTTAAATTCATTTGAATCTGAGTATACCAAGCTTCCGTTTTTACACAATCATAAATATCTAATTTCCAGCATGTATCTTCTCTGTTAATTAAACTATTTATTATGGAAGTAATATATTTAAGTATCATTTATCATAAGGCATTTTGTATGGAATCTAAGGAATTGACAAACGTGTCTATAATATCAAGAATTGTCTATAGCGGTTCGAGGGAGACATAATTGTATGTCTGTGGTTTCAAACCACGACGCGTATTTAACATTACTATGTTGGAGGCTATCTGTAACTGAGATATCTAGTATGTTAAAAAATTTTGAAAATTAAAAGTATTAGTATTCTTAGTCGCATTATAAATTTACTTTTTACAAAAACCGCGTTAGAAAATCATAAACAGTAACTTCGCTACAATAATTGCATTATCATATCATTACATTATTTGTATATAACCAATCATAGACTACGCTTTGTTATTTTCTAACCGCTTCCTCCGTCTGTGGATTATCGGTACTAACGACCATAGAGACGCGCCAAAAATCAATATAAAACCCAAAGTAACGAATAACGATTTATACGACTGCGTATACTCGAACCACGCTCCACATATCGGCGGACCTATTAACTGTACTAGACCGTTGACAAACAGACTAATACCATAAGAGGACATTAGTCTCTCCGTACCCAACATTTCTGTCATAACCAAAGCTGTGACACCCACGTTAATTCCAGACGCGATACCGAAAACACAACAAAAAGCGCTAATCGCTGAGTAGGTACTGACTAAAGGTATCATAGACAAGCTAATACCAGAGAGTAACAGGCCGCTTATGAAGAAGTAACACTTCGGTGTTGCCACTATATCGGAGAGCGCGGACCCGCCAATCCTCCCGACCAAATCCAGCGCGGAAATTATAGATAATAAATACGCACCAAGAGTCTTGTCGAAACCGCACTCCTTAGCGTAAGATGGAACTAGGATAATGAAGTTCGTATACGAAATGGCGCAAGTACAATTCGATATTAATATAACTAGATAGATGGGATCCTTTAAGAGGTTGATATCGAAGTATTTGCTCGGTTCTTTTGCTTCGTCCTTGCGTTTTCTGCAGCCACAACAGTAGGTGATCGGCGCTAGGCTCTCTGTCACCGATTTTAGACTGAACTGCGAAGCGAATTCGCTGGGCTTCTCGAAGGCGGAGAGCGTAGAACCGTGGAATGGAGTGGACATGTACTGGAAACTGGAGGTAGACGGACTGCGTTTCGGCGTCTTCGGAACCAGCTTTCTGCCGAAGGCTTCTTGCGAGTTCACTCTCGATCTGCCTTCTGGAACGGACTCCAGCAGGGACGGATTGCTGGGCAAATTGTTGGACATCTTGCTGGATATGTGCTGAAGGCCCTTTGATGGGACTTTGCGGAATTGCGTCGTGCTAGCGGAGCGGGCGACATCTTTATCTCTCGTTTTGTGGACTGGCGGTGAGCCGTTCGGCTGTTTTTCGTCTTCCTCGGAAGTGAAGACCAGTTTCGGATTTGATAGGTTGAGTTCATTCGTATCTTCTTCTATGAATGTCTCCAGCTGTAAGGACAGATATGGTGCTCATTTTCTATCATATTACACATTTTAAAATTCTAAATAAAAAGGTAATCAAAATAACAACGCTCCTTCCGTGTTCCATTACAATTTTCAATTTCTATCTTCATACGTTTACATTAGTTATATTTTAATAGACAATAGTGCAATCAAAATTTTCATGTAACCATAAAAATAATTCATGTATCTTATTAACGAACCTTCAAGCCGGGCTTCGTTGTCACGATAACCACGTCATATAATAATTAATCGCTTAATTTTCTATGGGGGCAAGCGGGATTTAAACCCACGGTTCCCATGACGCCAGCGCTATAAGCATAAGCATTCTAATGTAAAGGAAATAATTGGGGCAGCAAATCAATTTAACTTCCAATTGAGGTAAACTTTGAAATATATTTGAATTAGATATTCTAGGAATTGAGACGTAATTAAATACAATCTTCTAAGAATTATACCTATATTTGAACAATAGCTCGATGTTATCAACAGCAATCTGCCATTAAAGGAAAAATGAAAATGAAATATTCAAAAATATTACAAAATATTTATTTACATAATTAACCTAATAATACAACATAGATATTTGTATATACAATAAAATCTTTGTGCATAAATTCGAAGTTTACAAAGAAAATCTATATAATTGATGTAGCAGTCATTTTTCAGTCATACCTTTTCAATGTCTACAAAAATTTTGAGCTAGATGGCTCTTATTTCAATCAACAAGGGGCGATTCTAAAAAAGTGATATAATAAGATTTTGTATACTATCACTAGTCTCATCCGAAAATTATAAAATTTGCAAAATGTCACTGTATTATTAATAATAAACATTTGATATATATCCTCTTACCGACATCAATTTGGCATAACATAACAATATAAAAAAGTAAGTTATATTAGAAATAACACGTAAAGTATGGTTTGGATTTAATTGCAGAGTTGTCAAAAACACTAACAAGTATATTAATAATATATTAAATTCACAAACTGTCTGTGCGTTGTAGTATTTAACGTAAGGTAGATTTATAATTATAATATACAGGTTGTAATTTTTATCGTTGGCGTCGAATTACGAATAATAAAGAGTATATTAATATTTTTTGATTCATTTAATAAGGATTAATTGATAAATTTATCTTTCTTTTAATGGAGTCGCATTTGACTGAGGACCGGACACTCTGCACGTCAAATACTAAAAAAATGTCAGCGATTCCAAGATTCAAACCTTGCTTTACATAAGGAGTCATCTACGTCACTTTAATTTTAACGGGAATGTTCTATATTTTCCATGACTCAATACTCCGAGAAGTAATAAAAATTACACCTGTATATAAAAATGATTCTAGTCCTATCATTAGGAACTGCAAAATGCATTTCAAAGTTAATACTTGTGCCAAATATTTTTTTAATTCTAAAAATTATTAACATATAAAGAATATATATTTATGTAAAAACTTACATATACGTTTGTACGCGTTGGTATAGACAACGTAACCTAGGGACTGGACAGACTGTTTTCTTACAGTGGAAAAAGCATTCAACCCATACGAGACGGGGGGTTATATCAGTGGTTAAAAGGGAATGTGGTTCACAACAATTTGATAGTTATTTAATAGTTGACACGATCACGTTATTAATGTAACTTAAATATGACAACGGCCGAGCCAAAAACGAATACTGAATTTCCAGTCATTAGGTTCTTAAGGCTACTTACCTAATATACTTTGTCCCTTTTCTTCCGAAAGGAAAAGAAAAAGACCTTAAACCTTTTGTGCCTCCATCTGCTTCTTCTTACGTCTATTAATAACCGGCATAAAAAGCCATAGAGACGAACCGGCTATAAAAATAAAACCGAACGTGACGAACATATTGACGAAATTCTTGTCGTGTTCAAACCATAGACCGCAGACCGGCGGTCCGATCAACTGCAGCAGACCGTTGACGAAAAGACTGATCCCGTACGTGGACATGAGTCTGTCGACGCCGAGAACTTCAGCCATGACTAAAGTGGTAACACCGTTGTTGACGCCGGAGGTCAAACCGAACATCGCGCAGAAAATACTCAAAGTAGTGTACGACTGTAGGAACGGTATAATCGCCAAAATTATACCAGAGAAGAACAGCCCGCCGACGAAATAGAAGGTTTTCGGAATTATATTCAAGTCGCACAACGCTGAGCCGCCGATACGACCGACCAAATCGAGCGCTGACACCGTACTGAGCAACAGCGCTCCTTTCCCCTTATCGTAACCGATATTTTGCGCGTATGAGGGTAGGAGGATAATAAAATTGGTGACGGATATAGCGACCGTGCTGCTAGATATCAAAATAACCAGATACGTCGGATCGCTCAATAGCGATACATCGAAGAATTTATTGGGCTCCTTTCTTTTCTTTTGCTTGCAACAGAAGCAGCAATACGCAACATCGGCTACGCTGTCCGTGATGGATTTCAACGAGAACTGCGACGCGAACTCGTTCGGCTGATCGAAGGCAGACAGAGTTGAGCCGTGAAACGGCGTAGACACGTACGCAAAACTGGTTGTGGACATGTTGCGTTTCGTGCTGCTCAAACGACGGCTGAACGTTTCGGTCGAGCCGAGCCGTTTACCGTCCGGGACGCCATCTAGCGCCATAGACGCGGAACTTAAGGTCGGTTTAGTGATGGGACGCGTGTACGACAACTTCCGTTTCGATACGTTGTGGCGGAGGTTTTGCGTGGAGTTCGCGTGCGGTGCGTGTATCTGGACGTGCGAGAGATTCTTTTCCGAGTTCTCCTTGCTGATGCAGTCCGGTTGACCGTTCTGTTTGTCCGTCCGCGTTAGATTGAAACTGTCTATGGCTTCTTCTTCTTCTATTAGGATATCGTCCTGTAAAGGAAGCATACGTAGAGTGTCTTCGTTATAAAGCGGGTCGATTTTGCTCCATTATCCTGTTAAATAACATTTTGATTCTTCAGAAAGAGTTTTCTTTATATATTTTTAATTTTAAAAATCTACGTTATGCTACTAAGGTTTATTTTTGATTAAAACAAATGTTGATGCCCAACTGCCGGCGCGGGCGAAGTCTCTGACACAGCTAGTTTTTTGAAAAACTAGGACTGATACGGGTCATCGTTGCGCGCGGCCATTTTGTGAAACCTAAGTAGCGTTCCAAAATGGCGGTGGCCTTATACAATTATTAGAATATGAATACTGGAGCAAAATCAAATGTTCTGTTAGTATCTACGAAAACACTACAACTATAGCCGTTATTCTAAGAACTTCTTACAGTGCGAATCGATCTACTAATTAGCTTTGTTATTATAAATCGTTTTTTGTTTATCGTCAACAGTGGGGCAATAAAGCCGTACGAGCTAAATAAAAACTTTGAGCTGCTGTTCAAAAAAAGAATCATCACTATTGCGATTGTAATAACGTCATCGGTACAGGGCCCTATTAAACTCACACGTCATTGTTTAAAATGTAATATGAATTAAATCTATCAAACTTAACGGTTTAAAACGCAAAATATATTAGTTAACTCATTTCAACTTCGACCTGCCGTTTGGGTTTTATGGGAGAAGCAAAAATACTTTACAAATATATTTCGGGTTTCAAACCGTTCAAGTGTTTTATTTAGTTTTAGTACTCGCGTTAAGTATAGATTGATATATTTCTTTAGTTATTTTATTAATAAAAATATGGAAGCCCTCAACTAGTATTCAAACGACTACTTCAAATTATTTATTTTTTTAAATTTCTCTTTAATACATCGAATTATAATAAAATGTATAATTTTGTATGTATGTACACATAATTAGCCACACCGAATCTTAATAAAAAGCACAACTACCTGACATAATCACTTTCTTAACTAATTTTAACAGGTTTAAGTAAAAAATTAACTCGTTACAAATAACTAAACGTTAGTGACTTTCGGAAAGAAAACGTTTGAAAATGAAACACACGTTAGGGAAAGTGATTATTGGGGTGCATTAGTGACGTGCAAAGCTGTTAGTGATGTGACGGAAATCGTTAGATCGACGACAGTCTAAGATTAAAAATGCTGTAGACTAAAAATGTATTGTAGTTTTGAAACATGGGCAGGATTTGAGCTGGCACCTACATCGTTTCGTGCTGTTGCTTTAACCAATTGACACGGTTAGAGCAATACCACGGAACTCTGTGGATGCCGGTGTCGCAATTTTTTTTTAAAATTATAATCGAGTTTTTATTTATTTAGTGTTGCTATGTGCAATAAATGAAAATGTGAAAAGTTTCAAAGCTGTAGAGATTTTATTATAATTTGTGAGTAATTTGTCCTGGTGTCGGAAAGAAATTATGTATCCCTTTTTATAGCACGTTAACTGGGATTGCTGCACGTGTAGGCCTGGGTTTGAATTCCGGGAAAACACAATGCTTGCTAACTGAGCCAAGGCGGTAGATATAGTGTTCTTCTATTAGACTGTCATCAAAAGCGAGACAAAACATAAGCAATTTGGACATAAAACATAGATATCGCATCAAGTTGTCAAGATTATATTGATACTTCTGTTGAAAAAAAAACAAATAAAAAAATATCTTTGACAACTCCACACGAGCCGAGAATAAAATGACCATCTTACTTTATGAGAAGAAATCACCATTCCTTAGTTTGTTTCATTTTCAAAACACACAAATGTTGTTTTGTTTTTTTTTTAACATCACGCGAACGTCCACAGAAATGGGCTTTTTCTAGAAAGCTTTCGTGCGATCGGAGAAAACACGGGACAGAGTTGGCAAAATGCTCGAAAAATGTTTTTTTTTTAACTTAACATAAAAAACGCACTGTTCATACGAAACATTTTAAATATTCGTGAATTAAAAAAATATATAACTACCTACAAAGTACAATTTTTAATTTTAAAAGAAAAATTATACATAGTGGACATAACGGTTAGTTATATAAAATGGCGACTCATACCTTACATAATTATGTTTATCACACACGAAAGTTTCATTTCGTATAAGACAAAACCCACTACGCCGCTCCATTGCGGACTGGCGGGATTTAACGACAAATGCCACTAAATACTCAAACTCTTGGTAATGTTTTCAAGAAAATTCAAAATTAATTATGACACAGGATTCGAACCTGGGTCCTCGGGAGCTGCAGTGATAGACAGAGTACTAGGTTAATCAGTGTCTGTAGTTTACGCGAGAAGTACACATTTTAAACACTTTAACGGTTCAAAACGCGATGTATATTAGTCAAGCTTATTCCCCTCAACTTAGTCTCCCCGTGACCACGACTGATGCAAAGCGCCAGAAACGTCGGGCCGTAGTAAAAAAGATTTCCAAGCAACTTTAACTACCGTTACTAAACCGTTAAAGTGTTTTAAATGTGTACTACTCGCGTAAACAACAGACAGTATTTAAAATCTTACGTGTATTATGAATTGATTTTAACTGCATTTAATTAAATCCCTTCTTTATAAAATTAGAATCGGTCTCAAAATTTCATCAATAATTGTAAATCCGTCATATCCACTATGCCGTATGCAACCGTCATGTGATCACAAACCTGCGGCCCCTCTTCATCCTCCTCAGGTTCTTTGAACTTCTTCACCATGTGCTCTTCCACCGGCTGAAACAGCAAAGCAGCAGCCCAAACGTTCAGCATAATTCCACCGAGTATTAGAACTGCTCCTCTGCAAGATACGATTAAATGTCTCTATACTAAAATTATAAAGCTGAAGTGTTTGTTTGAACGCGCTAATCTCAGGAACTACTGGTTCGATTTAAATTTTTTTTTAAATGTTGGCTAGATCATTTATCGAGGAAGGCTTTAGGCTATAACATCGCGCTGTGACTAATAGAAGTGAAGAAATGGGGGGAAATGTGGAAAATTATCAATCTTTATGGGTCGCCGATGCTGTACACTGTTTGCAGTGGTTCAAGGTACGTAAAAAATGTGTATGAAATAATGATTTCTCTTTAAATGATCTAAAAAAGGGTCCGCGACGCTATATGTCTATCTTTTAAGCTTAGCTTACAAGAACGACAGGAAGGGACGCTGTCGTGAATAACAACTTAAGTTTATAAAGACGGGTTTGCAAAAACTAATTTGAATAAAACACTTTAACGGTTTAAAACGTGATATATTAGTTAAACTTATTTGAAAATTATTTTTAACTTCGACCCGACGTTTCGGATGCTTTGCAGCAGCCGTGGTCACGGGGAGACGACGGCTGCTCACGGCTGCTGCAAAGCATCCGAAACGTCGGGTCGAAGTTAAAAATAATTTTCAAATAAGTTTAACTAATATATCACGTTTTAAACCGTTAAAGTGTTTTATTTAAATGTGTACTACTCGCGTAAACTATAGACAGTATCTAAAACTAATTTTGATTACCATTTAACGCTGACGATATCGCTGACTCAGCTAGGAGTTTTAAAAGCTGAGGAGGTTGTTTGTAAAAATAAATATTATGATTTGAAACCTTTACTATATTTAACATGCTATAGCTGTATGTAAATTAGATATTGAAACATATTAAAGTTTTTGAACAATACTTACTTGTAGCCATATGTTTCGAGCAGGTAACGCAGCACTGGTGGGAGGATGATGCTTCCGAAGGCGGAGCCCGACATGCAGATCCCGTTCGCCAGCCCCCGAAGCCTCACAAAGTATGACGTCACTATGTACACCGTGGGGGGGAAGGCGAGACCGGCGCCCGTGCCCACCATAGCCCCAAAACTGAATTTGAAAATTGAACAAACATTCTTAGTAAATACTGTTTGTACTTTAACGGTTTAAAACGCGATATATTATACGGGGATATGATATACGGGGAGACCCCGTGACCACGGCTGCTGCAAAGCATCCGAAACGTCGGGCCGAAGTTAAAAATCATTTTCAAATAAGTTTAACTAATATATCGCGTTTTAAACCGTTAAAGTGTTTTATTTAAATGTGTACTGTTTGTAGTTTAAGCGAGTACACATTTAAATTAAACCTTTTAACGGGTTTAAAAGCGATATGTATTAGTAACTTATTAACTACAAAACTAAACTTTAATAACAGACATTGTCTAAAAATACATTGAAAATAGGCCACTCTGTCTCTAGCGACCTCAAACATAGAGTAGAGAAACTCACCTAAAATACAAATATCCTATTGAAAACGCCCAACTGCTGAAAATCATGCCTAACGCGGCGAAGCTGCCTCCGATTAGTGTAACGGTCCTATAAGACCATTTCACAGATAAAATTGACGATAGTGGACCTGGGGGGATAAAACAGTTTTTTAATTTTGATTTTTAAAAAATTTCATTTCATTTCATTGTCATCAATATGTAGAAAGTAAATAAAACACTTTAAACGGTTTAAAACGCAAAATATTATATTAGTTAAATTAAGATGCTAACTTGCAACTTAAGAATTCAACATTCGAAACGTCGGACTTAAAAATAAAATGTGATTACGTGATTTAAACCGTTAAAAGCGTTTTATTTAAATGCTTGCTACTCGCGTAAAGTACAGGCAATACTTATGTATAAATATTATTATTGAAAGAGGACAGACAATCATTTGGTTCACATGATGGAAGGTGAAATACATTAGGCATATAACATCTGTGGGATCTGTGAAGGGTCTGATGAAGGAGATACTCACCCAAACTACTGTACAGAAAGTAGCACAGAGCTACTATACCCGAAGAGGCAGACGCACTAGACTGGAACACATCGTTGAACTCGACGAGTAGTACTCCGAACGATTTGATCGTTCCCGGTATTAGGATATTTACTAGCGTCGCGCCTGAAATTTATAATAATTAAAGTTAAATTAAAAATACATTAAAATTGAAAAGAGACGACGGGACGGGAATTGAACCGGCGTCCTCGTTCCAGGACAGCCTCCAGGTTTAAACCCCCCGTGACCACGGCTGCTGCTAAGCATCGGAAACATCGTGTCGCAGTTAAAATGAGTCAACCAATAATTTTTAATTTATACATATATAGTTCCACCTTAGGCAAGAACATGTGAAGAATATTAGTTTTTAATTTATTCACAGAAACTAAATACTGTCTATAGTTTACGCGAGTAGTACATAATTAAATAAAACATTTTGACGGTTTAAAACGCGATATATTAGTTAAAATGATTTGAAAATTATTGTTAACTTCGGCCCTACGGTGGTCACGGGGAGACTAAAGATGGACGATGTCTCTGACGTCAAAGTGAAAACTTGCTACGCTAGCGCCATCTGTTCCGTCGAAGTTGGTATTTGGCGAAACTCCGGCCAGGTCACAGAATTGTTGTCCTTACAAAATGATGAAAATGATTTTTAACGTCGGGCCGAAGTAAAAAATCATTTTCAAATAAGTTCAATTAATATATCGCGTTTTAAACCGTTAAAGTGTTTTATTTAGATAGAAACTACTAAAACTGATATTTGAAACCCACGAACTTATCCCACTTATCTTGAGCAATATTAAACGTTCAGTCTATTTATAGTTTGCCTAATTGACTATATCCCGTTTAATATTCGAGATGTTGATCAGACGGAGTTATTACTTTTAATTTCAATGTTTGTTCGTCCTAAGTGTAACCGTATAAGAACCTGCAGAAACAACGGATCCAAAACTAAAATTAATTAATTTTGAGTAATTTTTATCTAAGTACGACTTATTGGAGCGAAGGAACAGCAGGAAAAATGGTTTAAGAAATCAAAAATATGAATGAATGATTTAAATAAAACACTTTAACGGTTTAAAACGCGATATATTAGTTGAACTTATTTGAAAATGATTTTTAACTTCGGCCCGACTTTAAAAATCATTATTATTGCGTTTTAAACCGTTAAAGTGTTTTATTTAAATGTGTACTACTCGCATAAACTATAGACAGTATGAACGAATGAATTATTCTTCATTTTTCAATTATTTTTAAGATTAACTCGCAATAACTACAGGGCGCGTACGACGTCGTGGGTAACGGCTAAAATGTATGAAGCTGAGGCGGTTGTAGGCAAATATAAATACACACGCGGACGAAGACGCAGGCACAGCTAGTGCCTATTATTTGATTTTATTTGGCATGCGAATCGGCGGATCGAAACTGGCTTTATAAAAAGCGATATAGGCCCGTTCGTTTTAATCGCAAGACAAATTCATTGCTACCAATAAACGCCCTCCTATTGTGCCAATTAACGCCCTAGCATAACGTTTATTGCCTGACCCCGAAGATCGGATGTGCGTAAGACAAAGGGGGCGAAGCGATCAACCGCCTAACCGGGTTACAGACGACGTTCAAGACATGGACTAAAGTTTCATTAGTCTAACTTTTTTATTTAAAATAGATATTCAAATTTCTGCTTTATAATTCAATACTTATTGTAATTTGTACGTCTCGGAGACCAGTGCTGGATTTACGGGAGGGCTACCGAAACAACAGCGGAGCCTCTATTAAAGAGGGCCCCTTCAATAGATGTGTTTTTTTTAATTCCGCCTAGTAAACAAATCTATTTTGTTTTATCCATTGTTTATTTTTTTTAAACGCGACTGAAATTTTTTTTAAATTACATAAAAAATACTTTGGGGCCCGGAGGCCTCCAGTCCTTTGTTGGCCAGAGGCGTCAAACCTCTAATACGGCCCTGTCCGTAACCTAAATTATGGTAAATTGGGGCTTTATCGAAATAGATCAAGTTTCAGAAACTTGTCCTACTATAAATATATAAAATAATGACCCTACACCAAAAATCCCACTTACCCACTAGCACGCACCACCCCCACTTGCCGTCCGGCGGCACCATCTCCCAGTCTCGCTCCGGCGCCGGACCGATCGTGAAACGTCCGACTTTTCCTTCCTCATCTTCTGGTAGTTTAACTGTAACATATATTGTATAATAATAAAATCATTTATTTAACAGTTACACAGTAAAAACAAATGACTTAAAATTTTAACGATGGCAACACCGAAAACGGGAACTAATCAACAAAACGTTACGAATAGTTTTGAATTGTTTCCAACACTGATTTTCAGTGGCCCCTCATACACCTCCCCTCTAACGTGATTAAATGTTTAACTTTAATTACAAAAAAAAAGCAAAAAAAATATAATACTGCAATCTAAGATCTCTCAAAAGCAATTTTGCCTTATATTTGATAAGTGTTACTTGTCGAAGTAACTACGAGTTAATGTCCAATCTCTATAGTATCCCAGGCTACAAGCGGACGCGTTGTGGCGTTAGTCAAGTTCCTATCGACACCATTATACTATAACTTTCCACCATAATCATATCGAAGTTTCTGGGTCACGAACCTCCGAACAAAAACTTCAGTATAGTTCCACGCTACGGTTTCAGTCTGTGAACTTCCTAATGTCGTAAGTCAAAATGGGTCGACAGCAAATCTTAATAAGTACTTATAAGGCTCCACCTTCCATTAAATGAGCCCAATAGTTGTCTAACCTCTCGTCATACAAAGTCTACATTAATGCACTAAGCATCGTATTTGAGACAAATATTGTAAACTTAATTATCTCTCCCAAAACGATTTCCTCGTAAATGTTTTCCAGACAACTTTGAATGGTTGCCAAACGTTCCGTATAAAAAATCGATGCGGGTCTATTGCATAATTTCTTCCAACGCGGAAAGACACATTTGTGTGTCTGTTTATAATAATAAATAATAATAAATCTCTTTATTTAGAATCATTTTGTACAATCATTAACGTAATAAAAATAAATGTAATTACAATAAAAATAATAATAATAAAAGTAAAATAATAATACTACGACAAGATTAAATTAAATTTTTGTTTAAAATGATGCCAAAAGGTCTTACGTCAGCATAAGTTGCAGACGGTTATTATGCTACAAACTATTTTCAGAAAACCCTACTTGTTTAATCTATTTCTCAAGAGCATTAACCAATATCTAAAAAGACAAAATATTTCTTTGTACAAAAATAATGCGAATCCAAAGATTAAAAACTAGTCTATTACTATACTAAGACTTCATTGTCTGTCTTAACGGGCTGCGCTGTCGGTCTATTTTTCTTTGCATATTCGGAAATTGACAGACTTGAACTGAAAATCGATTAAACTTCACGGCTTTATTATCTGTGGACGGTGGTTCATGATCCGGACGGAATTTCGATATTGCTACCACACATTTAATTTCCAGACGAAGTCTAACACGTTTCAGAAAAGTTTTAAATCAAGTAGAAACATGTTTGAGCCGGTGGGGATCGAACCCATGGCGTTCCACGTTGATAACAGCATACCCGCCACGTAGCTACTTAGACATATTTAAATAAAACACTTTAACGGTTTAAAACGCGATATATTAGTTACACTTATTTAAAAATGATTTTTAACTTCGGCCCGACGTTGTCTCCCCGTGACCACGGCTGCTGCAAAGCATCCGAAACGTCGAAGTTAAAAATCATTAGTAAATAAGTGTAACTAATATATCGCGTTTTAAACCGTTAAAGTGTTTTATTTAAATGTGTACTACTCGCGTAAACTATAGACAGTATTTACCTAGACATATACTAAAACAAAATAAATTGTATACAGCCGTACAACAAAAGCCACTCTTTTCCTAGGTTTGTTTTATTTAAATAAGTTAAACAAAAAAAGCTTAAATAATATAAAACGTGTATATAGTGTTATTTACCTAGTCTCAGCACGGAACCCGACTCGGACTTGACCAGTTTTCGTTTTTAACTGATCGAAACCAAATTTAGCTCGGTTAAACCGCGGCGCTGACCTAGTCCATAACATTAGTATGCTCTCAAAGCCTAACTTTCACGCAAAGTTATGTCAATGTATTCCTAAGCCACAAGGTAAAATGTATCGAAATGAAATTCAAATTTGGAATTTAAATATCACGGAATTTTCCATTTGCGAAAATTTTCCAGAAAACATTGAACGGTTTATCTCGGTTGCATAATTATTCGTTTGATGATCACTTTTAGTCACAGTTACGCCACGCTACTGTTGAATCGAGGAAGTGAGAAAAGTTGTCAGTAGCATAAAAAAATCTGCCATTTAAATATCTAGTATCACTATGTTTGTTACCATGCACCAAAACGGCTCAACCGATTCTGATAAAAAAAAAATTATGCATATCTATACTATTACATAAAGCTGAAGAGTTTGTTTGTTAAAACGCGCTAATCTCAGAAACTAATGGTTTTGAATTGAAAAATGATTTATCGAGGAAGGCTATAGGCTATAGAACATCGGCCTGTGACTAATACAAGCGAAGAAACAGCGAGCATTGTGGAAAAACAAAAGAAAATATTCATGTTTCTGGATATCCGTTGCGTACGCTGCAAAAACGTTTCTCTTTAAATGATCTACAAAACATCCGCGACGCTATATGTCTATCTTTTAAGATTAACTTGCGAGAACGACGGGAAGGGACGCGACCGACGTCGTGGGTAACAGCTAAGTTTATAAAGGTGACGGGGTTTGCAAAAACGAATTTGGATGCCCAAATCAATGACACTCGCGGACGAAGTCGCTGACACAGCCAGTCGCTTGAGAAAAGTGAGAAAGGCAGTAGGCAGTAAGGTAAAATATATGTTGAAATATTTATGTAAAATAATTTAGTCGACCGCTGTATATAAACAAGTAACTTTATTTGGGTGTATATTTGAATAGTAACTATTATAATTATACCTTCATTTAATCAACATACTGCATACAAAATATGAGCTATAAACAACTTTTAAACAAAACACTTTAACGGTTTAAAACGCGATTTATTTTCGAAGTCTCCCCGTGACCACGGTTGCCCCGCAAAGCATCCGAAACGACGGGCCGTAGTTAAAAATAATTCTCAAACAGGTTTAACTAAAATATATCGCGTTTTAAACCGTTAAAGTGTTTTATTTAAATGTCTAATACTCGCGTAAACTACAGACAGTATGTATGAACAACTTGTTTAAAATATTACATTCATAGTTTTTCCTAATTGTAGGGTTTATTGCTTTGGGTTTTAACAGTGAAAACATTTTTACTCTAAAACAACACAGACCCACCTTTCTTATTGGCCTTATTTGTTATCCTTTGGTATTTGGCTGACATTTTTAACACTATAAATAAACTGATAAACAGAACTTAAAAACACATTACTTCCACTACAACGTACAATGCTCACTGTTTTATGTAACTAAACGTAACAGAATGTAAAGATACCTTCAAAATCGTTAGAAAAGTATTTTTGCGGGTACTTCATAAATGTCGATAAAGTGAACTGATATGAACGAACCTCAAAATTGAATCTAGGTTGACACGGTAGCTCAATTGGTTAGTGCAGCACAGAACGGTGTGGATGCCAATTGCCGGTTCGACTCCCGCCCATGTATTACATTTTTTTCAAGCTAGATTTTTAATATATGTAATACCATCTTGTGCAATAATATGTGAACATTATTAAAGTTTTCAAACATAATAACTACTATTCAAATACTTATAATTTAGGTATATTAATTAGGTACAAGTCAGAAAACTAATGCTCAAAATTGTCACCTAAGTAAGGCACACTATGTAAATAGGTTACCTTAACTTAGATCTTTAGATAAATCTGTTTTAACGGTTTAAAACGCGCAATATATATTCGTTAACTTATTTTTTTATTAACTTAAAATACGGTTTACATTTTGGAATGCTAGATAGTAACCGTGGTCACGGGGGGTCACGTGAGATGTGATCTGTTCCCGTCATATACCATAATCACAATTAATAAAACCATAATTGAGGGACCTATAATTATGTTAATTGGGTCTACCCATATATGATTTATCGTTCTCTTTGTTATTTTTTTTTATCGTACCTTTCTTCGAGGACTTGATGGAGACCAGACCCTCGTCATGGACGGGCACCAGCAGCTTCTCCTGTGCTTCGTCATTCACCTCCTCTTGTCTTGTCGCGGGTGCCGCCATCTTACCATCTGCTTACCATGCTTCGATGTGGAATGGCTTATTACATAGTCAGTCTTCTGTTTGGCTGGCGTCGGTCTGGAAAAAAGTAACACTATGACATATTTAAATAAAACACTTTAACGGTTTAAAACGCGATATATTAGTTAAACTTTTTAAATGTGTACTACTCGCGTAAACTATAGACAGTATTTACTATGACATATGTCAAAATTTTATCATAATCCGTCTAGCCGTTTATACGTAACAATTTTTTCACGAAACTTATAACATTATCTTTCTGATTATAATAAAGGAGGATAATTGCGAGTATTTGTACACATTTTTAGAAATATCAAAAATAAAGTAACCGAGTACAAAACAAAACATAAAAAATACTTTTGTCTGTATGTACCTGATACCTGCGAAATTACTACATGAATTATAATTAATAGATAAAGCCTAAACTAGAGAAAAAGTTTTAGTTAGAGATTATAAAGATTTTTTAATTTATATTTATATTACCTACAAAATAAAAGTGTGAAATGCTATTTATCCAAGTGGGGCATGGGGCTAACGAATTTCTATGCGTCTTATGATCGATTACATATAAAGGTAATTGATTTGAACAGTGTTTTTAACTTGATGGGAGGTAGAATACTCCAGCCATATAACATCTACACAAGATGGCTTCGGATAATTTCAAAATTTCGGATAATTTCGGAATTCGGCTTTGGATATTCGAACAACCAACAAGTTTCACAAAAAATTGAATCGACCCGCTGGGGATCGAATCCAGGACCCGATGATTAGCTATACAATGCTACTATTAGAACAACGAGGCCGTCAAAACTTACGTCAAACTAACTGATTTGAATGAGATTTTTTGAGAGCGAGTCAATCACCACAATATCACCCAAAGATCTCGACAATTATAGAGCGCTCTTGAAGATTATTGGGTATTTTAGGGGCGATGTTATCTTATCGAAGTGGATTCATAACGTATGAATTGGGAAGTTAAAAACCCAAATATATATACTTACATATAGGCACGTATATGTTTACATAAAGGGTAATTATTTTGTTTTAAATTAAATGATAAAATTATATGCTGCCAATGTACGGCTAATAATACCATATTGGGTTCGATGCCCAGCGGGTCCAAAAATGTTCTAATCAATTTATAATTTTACTGAAACATGTGGGACTTCGTCTGAAAATCTAGATATTAACGGTGGTAGAAATATCTAGATCCCACCCTGGTCACGAACCATCGTCAACAATCGGAACAGCCGTGAAGTTACATCCCGTTTCAGTTGCAGTCTGTATATTTCCCAATATCCGAAGCCAAAATAGGCCGACAGCGCATTTTGTTGTAACATCAAGTGTACCCCACGCTTGTCTGTCCTCCTCTATCATTAAAAAATAAAGAACATCTTAAAGCGATATTAAATTGTAACGCAATATTTAGTTTAGTCATTGAAACGCCATTCCACTAATCACGTCAAGGTCAATAAACCCTTATCAGTTATCGCGTGATGTTGATGTCTTTTTAATTTGTCAGCGAGAGGCAACAATTAGGGATGATGAGTGTAAACTCAGTAGTACACATTTAAATAAAACACTTTAACGGTTTAAAACGCGAAATATATCAGTTAACCGAGTTTAAAAATTATAACTACGGCCCGGAGGCGCTTTGCAGCAGACGTGGTCACGGGGAGGCTAAAGATAGAGGGTACCTCTATTGTCAAAGTAAAATCTAGCTACGCTAGCGTCATCTGGGCGTAGTTAAAACATTTAAAAAGAGTTAAATAAATACATCTCGCGTTTTAAACCGTTAAAGTGTTTTATTGTGACGTTAATAACATCTATAATTCTCTAAATATGTATTACTGAATTCAAATTAGACACACAAACAATATTCAAAATAAATTATAAATCATTTGCCTAATGCATTTCGCCTTTTAAACCGTTGAAAGCGATTTATTTAAATGTGTACTACTCGCGTAAACTACAGACAGGATGTAATTTTGATTCCAAAAGCTTAACTGCTCACTTCTCAAGTCTTATCAATTTCATTCGTTGAAAATTATTATCATTTATAGAGGAGGCGAGTAAATCCGCGACTGTTGCCTAGTATTATGTCTTACACAATTTTCGACAATCTGACATAAGTCGTATGACGTCAGAACGTAATTATTTTATGAGGCCACACCCCTGTAATTAAAATATCAACAGTATTCACGTGTTTGATAAAAGATAAACGTTACGATAAGTCACGTACCTTTGGGGTATGGGGCCGTGACTAATAAGAGGAAAGAAACAGCGGGAAATATAAAAAAAACGAGGAAAATTATTCATCTCTGTGGGCTTCCGATGCGTCCGCTGCGAAAACGGTTCAAGATACCCAAAAAATATGTAAGAAAGAGTGATTACTTTTTAAACGATCTTAAAATACGTGCGCGGCATTATAATATGTCTTTTAGAAGTCGTGGGAAACTTTATAAAGATAAAAGTTTGGTTCCGATCGGTTTGGTATTAAGTTTGCAAAAACAACTTTCGATGCCCAAAATTAATAAACAACGCGGACTAAGTCGCTGAACACAGCTAGTGTATTATGTACCTACAGGGTGTGTCATAAAATGATAATGATAAATAAAAGAGCAATTATGTGTTTCCGTTCGGTAATAGCATAGAAGTATTTAGCACGGATTTACTTTTAATGACGCCAATCGAATCGAACAATCTCTGATCCCCTTGACCTGAAAATATTGACACAGGCGGGACTCAAACCCGTTTGATTAAAGTCGTTCCTTCGACCTGAAGAATAGGGCAAAAACATTCTGTTTTTACAATTAGGTATAAGAATTTAGAAGACACAAAGATGTGCCCAATTTTGCTCCGAGGTTTGAATTATATACTTTTCGCGTCTAAACTTAATTAGCGATCGTACCTACGTACGTGGAACTAAAGTAACTTAAATGAATTGAAAAAAGTCCTACCAAATAAGGATTTTATTTATTTACTGTTTCATATAAGTAACATTGTTCTATTGTTTACGAGATGCCTAAAAATGGCTAACTACCTCCTTAGCTCAGTAGTTAAATGTGTTGCATAGAAGAAGTAGGCGAGATCCTGGGTTCGAATCCAGGGGAAACCATCAAAATTTATGTGTTAATAATCGATAAATAAAATAAATACAAAAATCCATCCGCTTTATGTCCCTTTAAGGGAAAACGGTCATTTACTATTTCATTTGGACGAATTTGATGAAATCGAAATTCAAGTATGTACAGTGTAAATTCATTTTCGTTCTGAAGTTCTTCTTTAACGTAATGAGTTTTCTCATTTACCTAATTTTATTCGCATTAAAAATTTAATTGTAATTATAATTATTGATTATTTATTATTCAAATGAATGTTATCAATACCACCTTCGTGCAAATTAATTCCGTCTTATTCTATGTAAAATAACGTTTTCGGCTCGACCAATTTTGATGAACGTTGAATTAGAAATAGATTTTAAAACAATTACGGCACGCGCGAGACTTGAAGCGGCATCCATCCGTACCATCCGTGCTGTTGATTTAACAAATTCAGCTACCGTGACCTACACGTCATCGTCGAATTTTTAAACCTATGAATACATGGAACTCCCGCGCATTGTAATTTAAACCAAAAGGACGTTAGTCGCCCATTTTAAATGCGCCGATAGTAACGCGACTATCGAGATACACGTATCACGAATGGGTTGTCGACATCACATATTTGCTCTCACAACGATGACTAACTTATTATTGTTTGAAGTGGGCAATTGAATCGCGTGCTGTTTACAATCAGCGAGTCACTAGCGTAGTTGTCAGCCGATAGTTATTCTTCATGATAGAGGGACAGTCCTGGGATTCCCTAGATGGTAGATGAAATAGCCAGTAATATACCTAACGTGTAGACAAAATGCGATATTAAACTATTCCGGCTTTGGATAATCAGTAGATGCCAGACGGAATCCGAAAAAGGATAAAAATTCACGACTTTTTATCTCTGGATATACTCCAACATGTTTAAATATATATAATATTGCAACAGTTCAGACATTTTTTTATTTCCCTCCGTAAGGAAACTAGTACTTAGAATGATCTAAGAAAAAATTGGCAAAATTGTTTTGAGCAATTTACTAAATTTGCGATTTATTTTATATATTACAGACAATATATTATATATGTATATGTAAGTATTTAGTGTTTACGCATAAAAAAAATAGATAGTACCTAGATGAAATAACCTTGCCATAATACATCTATTAAGCAAGATGTGCTGTCGAGATGTTTTACCCTTGGATATTCAGAAATCCGCAGACTGCTTTTTCATCTCTGGACGGTGGTTCGTGACCCGGACGGAATTTCTATATTCCTCCTGCCTATTCAACAGATTTCCAGACGAAGTCAAACATGTTTCAGAAAGATTATAAATTAATCAGGTACTGACCCGAGGGGTATGGATCCACGACAGGTTGATTACTATTGCTATCATAGCCCGTCGAGGTTCTACTTCTAACAAAATCAATTAAGAATACTACCATTGACATACACGCTTTTTAAACGTGACTATCAGTAAAAAAATTAGTGTACTCGTTATAATTTCACGATGATGCTCCACGGAGATAATAATTTAAGCAAACAGCGATAAAAACTGTTTATGACCCATATTTGAGAAAACGTACTAAACTAACAGAAAAACAAGGAAAATTCAAGACATGTCTTTATGACAACGGTTATTGCATCTGCTTGTTATCAGCGTAAAACTGTGTCTACGACTATTCTAATGTACACTCTAGATTCTAGATCTAGACTATAGCATACTAGTAATTAGCTTAACTATCTTTTAAGATTTCTAGCTTAGGTTTTGGACGTAAGGACCGCCTCTTTAGCCAAATGCTTAAACATATTTCCTAGCACTGTGTTAAGCCCAAGAGGTCCTGGGTTCAAGTCCCAGGAGAAACAAAAAATTGTTTCGATCAGGTAGGGCACTGAAGTCTGATCAACTCTGTTACAGAACAGAGCAGTAAACCAGACACACAAAATTTGTTCGCCCCATGCCCCACGAGGGGAAAATGATTAACGCTCTTTTAGAAAAATATTGCATATAAATTCATACTTTTCACTTGATTTACACAAGGTATGAATGATATTTGTAAAAACAAGGGGCCAATCTTTAAACCTTCTTATTCAACATATGTACATAAGAGTAACTTCACTAGCACGAACAACTGCCAAAAAAACAAAGCAGCGATACAGCAAGGAGTCTGGTGGAAGAATTTAGGTAATTCTGCAATTCTTCAAATCTCTGTCTATTATCCATCTTGGTCAATGACACATTTTTCAATATTGTACAGAAATATCTACCTAATTTCAAGCAGCACAATGATAATATTTCCAAGCAGGGTCATTTATTTTAACGAGGTTAAATAATTACGCCAATTATTGTATCCTATTGTTCTATGATCTTATCGTTAAGTGTTTTTGCACTAACTATCATTCATATTGATCTAGACCTAATATGCCAGTAAGTAGATCAGTTAAGTGTTAGTATATAAATATATAAAGGACAATCCAACGTGAGATCCTGAAAATGGGGTGGACTGACACCAGTGGACTTTTAAAAAGACTTTTATCTTACTAAAATTGAATAATTGGACATGTCTTCGCTTTAAATGTTTCACCTACACCTCAACTTTTATTCAACAAACTTTGGCTAAGACATGTCACAGTTACTAACATAAATAAAATATTACATATGTATTATTATAAATATAACTTATAGAATTTACTAATAGAGACATAATAATATAGTTTTGGCCTTAAAATAAAGAAAAATATAATAATTTCTAATATATAATAATTACGACGTTCGTATCTTTGCAGTAATAAAATATGTATTAAAGAGATAATTATTCAAGTTGTTGAGATAAGTTACAGTCGAATTGTTTTATATTAAAACTGAATTAATCTTGTTTCTAAGCAATGTACGGTTTAGATAAGTATGTTTATAGCATTTAGATACCATATTGTCGCAAAGTACACAGAAAGATAATGAGAATCGGTAGTAATAATTGGTCATACACTTCAAAGTTTACTTATGTTTGTCTACGTAATAATAACAGCGCGACTTACCTACGTCGTTGCTTATAATAAATCAACAAATGAACACTCCACTAAGCAAAAGGACATCGGGCCCTCACAAAAATCAAAATGCACATAAAAATTCACCCGAACCGAGTCACATTGCAAATTCCAAACAATGAATGAAAATTACACAAAATTCATAAATCACTGTGCTGTTATTTTGACGTATGTCTTGACAGATGATTAGTGACATTTCTTGATTGTCAAATGTTTTAGTCTATGGAGTTGTCTATGTCAAATACTTTTAAAATTATGGCGGTAATGCGAGCGATTTCGGATTTCAGAAAGAAATTTTCATATTTCTACTACCCATTTAAATATGAAATCCTATTTACAAACATATACGCATACCGAGGAAACATATTTCTTTGTCTGGTTTTGCTGAACAATTTTTATTTACCTACAGGCAATAAATTATACAGACTTCTGCGCCCTGCCCGAAAGAAACAATTAATTATTTCTCTGGCTTACTCCTATCAGCCACCAGCCTTTTACTGTCTAGATCCCACTACTATAATCCAGATGTAGTCGATAATAATTTAGAAAAATTCTATAATGATTCTATGGATTATTAGCCATAAATTATTAACATTGGATCGATGTTTTCTAAGTCTCGGCTCATTAAATTCTCATTAATTAAAATTATATTATTGTTAATGGTACCTAAGGTTGCGTTATAATATGAGACCGCTAGACGCAGAGTAGCCTAACTGCAATTATGGTTTGAGTTATATTATCATAGTTAAAATGGTAATCTACAACAGCAAGTCACCAAAATTGCTAACATAATTCTTTCACAAATATAGTACAAATTCAATTTGAGTATTGCGCATTTTTTTTCTCCTATATTTAAAATCGTATTTTTTGTTATAGGCCAGGCTCTAGCAGCCTTATATCGTCTATACAATTGTACACGTGAGTAAAAACGCTTAATATAACACAATGTAACAACAACGTTGATTGTTTAACAACAATCTAGAATATTATGAAAACTATTTTCTACTACGACTTAGAACTATCGATATTAACCTTCGTAAATATGGTATCTAGAGTTATAGCCATAGCTTTTAACTCATTCTTAGCCCAGGCAATTATATTTGACAACTTCGATTTACCTGATTACGACAATTCAATAGTGACTGAAAAAAGTGGATTACGCAGAAGATTTCTCGATCGAAAGAAGGAAATTCAAGATCAAGACGTACGCCTTAAATATTTTGATAGTCTATCGAATGATTCTGTATATTCAGAAGAAATACTTCACAATCAGATCACAGACGGGATTTCTGGAGTGATTAAAGGATATGAAACAATGTTTAGATATTTACTATCAATGAATGGTGTCAAATATGTTTTTAAAAGAGACTTCCACTGGCGTACTTGGAGAAATATTAATTATAATGATAGCAGTTTGGTTATTGGTTACAAGTGTCAAAGTTATTTGAATGTCACTTGTGCTAAGTGCATTAGTGGTTATTGGGTAAATTATAAAGTTTTTATCATAGATTATATTGTAAAATACATGTCTGTAGTTTACGGTAGTTCACGTGTAAATAAAATACTTTAACGGTTTAAAACGCGATATATTTTAGCTAAACTTATTTGAAAATTATTTTAACTAGGCTAGACTGGGACTAAAATGTGGATGTCTCTGATGTCAAAGTAAAAACTAATTTATATCGCATTTCAAACCATTAAAGTGTTTAATTGAAATATATTATAGAAATCGACATTTATGGTATGAGTTAAGAAATTTTATTTTTAGGTTATCGATGAAAAACCGCCATGTCCGTTCGAAATATATTCATTACTAACGCCAAAAAAATTATGCGTATATAATTACACACAATTTGAAGACATTTTTAAACCTTGTCCGGTAGTTATTACTTTGGCAGAACTTTTAGAGACATGCAACAATCCCATTGAAACGAAATGGCGTGTGATTCGAAATTATTCTGTAGATGATAATAAAGGTATACAAATATGCCAAGGGAAGGACAACTGTGAAATTTTGACAATGTACACGGTAAATTTTTATATTGGTTTATTTTGGTGTTTTAAAAATTGTTTTATTAGAATACGTTTCAATTACTTCGTTAGTTAGAAAAAGACCCATACATCAACTGTAATTTTGTTTTAATCTGTGCTATTACAGATTAAACCAGATTCTATAACTTTCAAAATTATAAATTCATCGCATCATATAATTTACTCTCGTGTTATGAAAGCTGATCAGAAAAATTACGCCTGTGTTGCCGATTGTGGAAAAATTAATCCCGGAAGTAAAGCTGTTGTGAAAAACAATGATAATCACGTCGTACTGGATTTATTCAATTATAAACAAAAGAAGAAACGAGATGACAAGAATATTAACCTTCCAATTAGAATATCTAATATAATTAGTCTGGGTGAAGTAGTTCACAATAAGCCGTTAGAACCAATACAACATAGTCCTATAAATGTTAAACCAAACGTGGGTAAACAAAAGTCAGCATGTAAACAAATTCAAGATGTTTTTTTCGATGAAGAAGACACTAACGAATATGACTATTAGATGTTAATTCAGTAAGAGAAGATATAATTTAGTCTTGTGTCTTTAAATTTGAAAGGAGGATTCAAATAAAAAAAATCTACATAATCAGTTTAAATTATTGTATAAGATTAAAAAAAAACATTTATCTTTAGGATCAATCTCAATACAGACTAATGAAATTATTATCAATCCCATCATTAATTGACAATTGACAATATCTCGTTAATGTTTTTGTTATCTTTAATTATGGAAATAGCTTTATGGTGCAGAAAAAAGAGGTATGTACTTACAGCTCCTATGGAAGACAAGGTTTGTTAAGACATTCTATATAGGAATACTTAATAGAAAAAAACTAAAACAATATTATAAATTTTAACATTAAAATGCATTTTATTACTGGTAGATAAAATTCCATTGTATTTATTGGATACTGGAGGGGTAGTTTTAATCTAAATTAGACGACAGAACAGGTGAAAAATAACGCCTAAAAATTATACCAAATATTTTTGAACTCATAAAAAACGTATATGAATTATACTGCAAAAAGTGTCAGAAAAAAAAACGATTAAAAGAGGTTTTATGATTCGTATTATCGAAATAAATTACCATGTATTTAACAGCTATTAAAATTCAAATGCGCCTTAAACACTTATCAATTATGTCTGTAAAAATCGTGGTGTTTTTATTATTAGGTAAGATATTTGTTTGTGTGCATTCTATTGAAATAATGTTTTTTCCGTAAAAAAAGGCGATTACATAAATATTAAAGTTTTATTTTTTATTTTCTTTAAAGGTGTCCTTCACGCCCATTCCTATATTTTAGTCCAAGTCAGAAATGACAAGAATAAATCTGACGTTAACGCTCTTATACATAAAGTTGTAACGAGAAATTTCGGAAAGCAGTTACCCAAAGTCAAGGACGATTTGAAACTTGATCTATTGGAACCCAAAGAAGTGACAAGAGCTGAAAATTTAAAAGATCTTATTGTTAATTTCTTTAAAACAATGTCTGATTCACCAAATTATCGTTCTAGAACATATATTAGTAAGTTTATTCAATATTTAATAGGGTTTAAATTTAAAATGCACTCTGCTATGCTTTTTAAATAGAAAAGTATTATCATATACTTTTTACTACATTACAGTGAATACTTATCAATATCGGTAACTCAGATGACTCAGAAAATATAGATAGGTTACAATTTGTCTCGCTCTAAAAATATATCTATTTTTATATATATTAAAAAATAAATGTATTCTAATAGAGTAAAAAAATATAAAACGTGTAATTTTTTAAGAACCGGAAACAGTGAAATTTCGAAGCGGAAAGTCGTCAATGGTTTACGAAGTCAATACACGCACTATACTAGAGACTCTGCAGCGTTTACTGTCATCAAAAAAGGTTCGTAGATATGCTGACACCTTAGTTAGTAAGGCAGCTGTATTATACAATGCAATAAAGAAGGAAATTGATAAGGAATAAAGCATGTGAAATTATTAGTTTTTTATTATACCAAGCTTAACATTTAAATAGAAGCTTGGATAATTCGAGAGAGATGAATCTACTCCGAACACGAGATATGGCATAAACTTAAAGGTTATAATTATTATTATTCATAAATTTAATTTGGCGCAATTTTGCATGTTTTTTATTCATACATACAGACTATATCAAGATCAGATTTACGTACTCTGTACTTCACCTGACATTTATTTGACAATTGATGTAAGCACCTGTTCAATTGAAAACTTGTTTACCAATAAATGACATCAACATTTCAAATAGTTGTTTCATTTATTTTAAAGTAAATAATAAAAAAAGGTTTAATTTAGACAACTTTGAGAAATGTAAAAATAATACAAAAGGTAAATTTAGACAACTTTAGAAATTAAGAAGTTTTATTCAAAGAATTAAACATGTTTCAAAAGAATATATTGAGTTCCTTTCATGGAGAAATTGAAGAAATACCCGGTAAAATAATTTTAAAATATTTCCATTACATCGTATATAACTAAGAATATTACTATATTGTTGACTGAAATCATTGTGCTAAAAATAGACTAAATTCATACCATTTAAAACTGAAGATTTGTTGGTTTCATGGTGCAAATCTCTGAAAGTACACATCTGATTTAAAAACATATTCAAGTTGCCCATTTTTCAGCCTACGCTGTAGAATCTTGACAAAAAGGCGAGAGAATAATGATGTTTTAAACAAAATACAATTGTGTAGCTTGGAAACTCATTTTGCTTGCTCTGCTCAAAAGTAACATAAAACTCATTTGCTGCACAATAATTCCTCTTCAAAAGTTCTAAAATAAGTCAGCAACAGCAACTTGTATGATTTAGTTGCAAATAAGGCCTATCATTTTTATATGCTTGGAATAAAATTCGAAATAAGTAGGCTTTTGTGGTTTTATGATAGAGGGAAACAGACAATCGTACATTTTGCTAGATGGAAGATGTACTCAGCCTTATTAAGAAAATGTGTGGTTACGCTATAAATAAGAAAATATATTTCAGGTCTGTATGTCGATAATTTTGAGAATGTGGAGATATCACAGCCCTCAGCGTTCTTCCTAAGCCATTGTCACACAGACCACATGCAAGGATTGCACTCAAAGTCATTATTAAATTATTTGATAAGTAACAATGTCCATATCTACACTACAGAACTATCTGCTGCTATTATAAATCATGAAAAGACAGACAATAGAATTATGGATTATGTTAAAGTATTAAGACTGGGTAAGATAAGTTATTAATTATTATTTCAACACAACACGAAGGAATAGGTGAAATAGTCAGTAGGTAGCGTGGACTGATCACCTGGCCTTCTATTGGTGTCCCCAATAGAAAATATATAAGGATAATGTAGTGTGAAATCTTCCCTTTGTGGAGCATGGACTGACATAATTTTGTGTCTGTTTTACTGATAAACTCTATCTATAGGCAAGTTTTGACCAAGCTCCTGCACCACACAATATTTTTTCTTAATTAAGTAAAAAAAATACCTTTTTTGCTAACCATACACATGGTTACTCTCATGCCTACATTGATATGTATGAAATTGGTCATTCATACAGCTAAGGACTCTTTGATCATAAGAACTATATTAATAAATAAATATCTTTTCAGGCTCTTCTCTTATATCCTTACCAAGCGCCAAAGGACCTACACTCCTGACAGTCACCCTAATACCAGCTGGACACAGCGTAGGTGCTGTAATGTTCCTCTTCAGAACCATAAACAAATCAATCTTATTCACTGGAGACTTCAGGATAAACCCAAACGATATACAATCATATGCAGGATTCCACGAGAGCGAAAAGCCGATACAAATAAACACTATGTACATAGACACTACGTTTATACACTCAGCTTATGAGAGATTTCCGAAGCGATCAGAGAGTATAGAGCTAATGATCAAGGAGGTAGATGCGAATTTGTCTATGGGTAGAGGTGTCGCGTTGCATACGTCAGCTAAATATGGCTACGAGTTTGTTTTTAATGAGATTTATAAGCGGTTAGGACTAAAGGTGTATGTTAACGAAGAGAGGTGGCGGTTTTATAGGTAATTATTATTAAATTTCATAGACAATATAATATCAACATGGCTACATCCATCATTGTCGCCCGTATTTTAATAAACACTGAAGCATAATTTAGTAACTCCTTGTAAGTTTGGGTAACCAAATCAATTGAACCATTTACAGATGGAACAAACTTAATAGATAGACATATTAGCGTTTGCGACTTTTTGAGAACTTTTATTAAGTAATTCTACAATACTTATTCATTACAAAACTTAAAGCAATAATTTAGTTACAATTAATTTTACTTAATTCTGTTTCTCACAAGCTATCAACCCTCTCAAATTAAATGCACTTTTTTATTTAAAATTTATGTAACATACGACTATTTTAAATAAAACACTTTAACGGCTTAAAACACGATATATTAGTATTAGTAAAACTTATTTGTGAATTATTTTACTACGGCCCAACGTTTCGGATGCTTTGCAGCAGCCGTGTTCACGGGGAGATTAAAGATGAAGGCTGTCTTTGATGTCAAAGTAAAACCGTTAAACTGGCGCCATCTTTTCCGTCATAGTTGGTATTTGGTTTAAACTGGCCGTAGCTAAAATAATTCTCAAATATGTTTAACTAATATATACTTATCGCGTTTTAAACGATAAGTGTTGTTTTATTTAAACTAGTCGCGTAAACTACGGACAGAATTTAGCATACTGCTAGTGAACTAGTCTGTACCATAATACACTAAATAATCTTTTCAGAACAATACAGCATTTAGTTCCGAGCGTGACGAACAACCAACGCGAGACGAAAATACACCTCTGCACGAAACGCAATGAAAAAAATCATTCAACATGCATACCTAACACCTACCCTCACTTCTTGTACGTTCATCTTTCAGCTATGAAGTGGACTTATTATAATGTAAAGCCAGTCGACCGCGTGTCGCCGACTAGGCTAGACGTGTGCTTCGCTACCCACTGCAGTAGATGGGAATTATTGAGTTTTGTGGACTATTTCAAACCGGATAGAGTTTTAGGTTTTCCCAACGCCTTTGAAAACGGTTTGAAGAGAACTATTGATAGTGAAACTAAAAAAGTGAGGGTAGATCGAAAATTAGATAAGAAAAGGTTAAAGGAATTGCTTGGGTGATAGACGGTAAGTGATAAGTTAAAAAAAAAACAAAAAAAAAAAAAAAAAAAAAAAAAATTTTTTTTTTTTTTTTTTTTTTGTTTTTTTTTTTGGGGGGGGTTTTTTTGGGGTTTTTTGGGGGGGGGGGGGGGGGGGGGGGGGGGGGGGGGGGGGGGGGGGGCCCCCGCCGAAAAAAAAAAACCCCCCCCCCCCCCCTTTTTTTTTTTTCAAACATGGGTTTTTTTTTTTTTTATTTTTCTCTCTTTTTGTTGGGGGAAAAAAAATTTTTTTTTTTTACCCGGGTTTTTTTTTTTCCCCCCAAGAGAATAAAAACCCCTTTTTAAATTTTCTTTTGTGAAAAAAGATGTACAAGAGAATGTTTGTCAAAAACACAAAACATTTTATCACAATCGGTTCAGCAGTTTTAGCTTAAAAGATTAACTAAATAACATATCTATTTTAGTTACTGGCATAAACTAAGTAAGCAAATGTAATTGAAATAAGCCCAGCTGTTTCCGATATTGCATTAAAGTTATTTTTGTAAAGAAACAAATTCTGATCTTTTGTTTATCTATCTCCATAAAAATTCACTTTTCAATCCAAGTCCAATAATAAAATAATCATAAAGTTGATTTTAATTAATTTCAGTCGGTCGCTTCATAATTAAATGTAATTTTAATCCTTTTCGAGACATGGATTTGGAATTGTTTGTGTTTATAATAAATTTTATTGGAATTGGTAAGTTTACTAACCAAATGTTATATACTTACGTTTGGTATGTAATTTTTTTGCGACTAATCCTTTATTCATCGGCGGTAGGTTATAAAAGTGTGTGCAGATGTCACAGATTATATCTAAAAAATATTCGCTGTTGATCTTTTGATTTCGGTTTTAATCCACAGACTGAAACTACCACGGTGACGGCTCATGACCCGGCCAAAATTTCGGTTCTGAAAAATTATAAATTCATTTTTAGATTCATGTTGGGTCCAGGAATTGAATCCAAGACCGTTACTTAGCAATACATTGCAACCGTCAATCTAAGGAGCTTCTCATAACTATACTAATACCATAACAATTGACAAAAAACGACTTAGCGGGGACGTCGCAACACTAGTGCGACGCCATAACCGCGCGCGCCGCCGCACTAGCTCAGGAACTGTCAAATACGAACGTTGGCGCGCATTTTGTCGGCTAAGCCTAATTTTGGCTAATAAATGAATATTTTAGAGTTTAACCTTGCTTTTCCGTCTTAATAGTAAATAATAATTACAATTCAATATTGATAGACTTATCAATATTTCTTTGTAGAAATGCAACCTCGGAAACAAAGGAATTACACAGTGTAAGTGAGTACTTTGAATACTTTTATCGTGAGTACAATTAGCAAGTGATTATAAGATCCCAGATTTGGAGTTTTATGTCTTGTTGCTTGTCATTATCGCGGCATTAAAGAAGCGTGGTGGATTCGTGTTTTTTCACATTTCTCTCTAATTTTTTCGCTTCTACTTGTAGCAGCTTAATTTTTTATATGATAAAATCCTTTTTGTAGAGCTGATACTCACAGCCAAAACCCAAACTACATCAGGGATAGACTTGGAAGTAAGTATAATATATTTAAATAAAACACTTTAGCGGTTTAAAACGCAATATATTTTAGTTAAACTTGTTTGAAAATTATTTTATCTACGGCCCGACGTTTCGGATGCTTTGCAGCAACTGTGGTCACGAGGGGGTCCCCGTAACCTCCTCGCGTAAACTTCTGGCAGTATTTAAGTATTATATATATGTATAAATCAGTAAATCAGACATTTACTTACTTTGAAAACACAAATAACTTAAATCAATATTGGTAAAAAAAATTCTATACCTCATTGTACCATTTCCTTATTCATATTCAAGATGAAATCTGGAAACCCATGATGAATGAATCTTGGACGAGCCGCTTCAAGCAGCCATTCAATCCAGCGTGGATGGACTGGTGCGATCCGTACCACTGCAATGATTACCATAAAATCGTCTGCGGTCTGAACAGACGGACAGACCGTTTCAGATGGTTTCAGAGCGGCTGTCATTTGGTATTGAGTAATCTCTGCTCAACTTACCGAGGAAGTCTTAGTAAGTATATACTGTCTGTAATAGTAATAATAAACTCTTTATTGCACAAACATAGACATAAGAACATGGATACATAGAATTATATATACAAAATAAAACATGTTTGTGCAAAGGCGGCCTTATCGCCTATGGCGATTTCTTCCAGGCAACCTTTGCATGTAGAAATAAGAAATAAAAAGATAATTTTAGTAAACAATCAATAGTCAACATTAATTATGTAGTTTACGCGAGTAGTGCACATTTAAATATAACACTTTAACGGTTTTAAACGATATATATTATTTAAACTTATTGTAACTCGGATGTTTCGCAGCAGCAAAGTATCCGAAACGTCGGGCCGTAGTTAAAATAATTTCCAAATGTTGTAAAGCTCGTTTCCCCCCTCGTGGGGCATGGGGCGAACATGTGTCCGTTTCATTGATCCGTTCTTTTAACCGGCAAATAGTTGATCAGACTTCTGTGCCCCGCCTGATCGAAACAATTTTTTTTTTGTTTTCCTGGGATTCGAACCCAGGACCTCTCGCGCTCAATGCAATGCTAGGCAATACGTTAAACCATTTGGCTACCGAGGCGGTCAATTTCCAAATAAGTTTAACTAATATATCGCGTTTTAAACCGTTAAAGTGTTTTATTTACAAAATTAAATCTATACCAATTCTTATATTATCCTACTCTATAATCCATTTTGATGGTACCATGTAATATGAAAATTTTGCCAGTAAGAAAAAGATGACGCCCTACAGGGGCTTAATTGTTAAACCCGATCGGGGTTCTAATCCCGGTTAAACAATATTTATTTCGGTCGGGTAGGACTAAGAAGTCTGAATAGGCTGCAAATAAAACAAACCAGTAAATCCCGACACAGAATTGTGTTCGCCCCAAGCCCCATATTAGGGAAATATTATTACTACACCTTTAACGATGTTTTAATAGTGAGCGTATCTAATAATTTCTTGATATTAAGTAACACTATCAACGGTTTAAAACGCGTGTTATATTCGTTTTTTATTTTTAACTTCGATCTAACGTTCCGGATTCATACCCCCCGTTACAGCGGTATCTTTACTAAATATTTCGAGTTTTAAACCGTTAAATTTTTATTTAATATTCACTACTTTGGTCAAACACAGATAATACTTGCTTTACAGAATACGATATTGTAGATAACAAATATTGTTCGATGTATGTAATGTTCTTGCGTCTCGGCTGTCCGTCCGTGTGTCCATCCAAAGTGGACCCTACTTGTGGTGTCAGTCTATTGGATAATCACGTTGTGCTGTTCCAAAATCGGTGCGCTTTTGAACGGAGGAATTGTGAGGGTGGCGTTGTGGAAGGTTAGTATTTTTATACATTGCCATTGCAAATTGGGCAATAATTTCCACGCTAGCGTAATAAACACACACTTGAAATTAATGGCTTGGCAGGCTGTTGGTCGTGAGTTCGACTCCCATTTTTTTAAATCACAAATAGTTTTTGATCCTACTATATTAAAAAATTGAAATCCCGTTTTTGAGGTATGGGGCATACCGATGTTCGGTTTTATTTGCATTATGTTTTTCCCGATATTCAAACCCACACTCCGCGACTCTTATTACAATAACAGGCACCGTATTAAACAAAAATTAATAGACTTAATTATTGTTTCAGAATATGAAGAGATTACTTTAGATATATGTTTCACCTTGTTATTCGAAAAGAAACATTTAAAATAAAAAATTAAGAATAAATTTTATTGAAATCTAATGTTATTTTAAATATATTAACATACTCAATTACCTTACAACAATATGAAAGGTGGAAAGATGACATTATTATAAACTTTTTCGTTTTATAATTGTCTTGAGGCTAGCTGAAGAATATTCAAATAACGTTTAAACCAAAGGAAGTAATTAGCTATTCATAACATTATTACTAAGAGCTAGCTGTGGCATACTGTCAAATTTCATTTCTTTTTGGGTAAGTAAGTACTTAGCGTTAGTTTTGATATGGCTCGTAATATTTAATTTTCCACATTAATCCATTTCTTGTAAACAAAGAGATTGCAAAAAAAAACGTAATATTTCAGTTTTATAATGAAGTTTAAATTGGCGTGTTTCATTATTATTTGTAAGTTTTTATCGCGTATTTTTTATCACGAATATGTTAACGCAAAAGTTTTTGAGAGTTGAGAATTTCAATCTAATGTAAAATATGTTTTTACACTGGATTAAAATTGATGGAGTTTAAATAAAACACTTTAACGGTTTAAAACGCGATATATTAGTTAAACTTATTTGGAAATGATTTTTAACTTCGGCCCGACGTTTCGGATGCTTTGCAGCAGCCGTGGTCACAGCAAATCATTTCGAAATAAGTTTAACTAATATATCGGTTTTAAACCGTTAAAGTGTTTTATTTAAATGTGTACTACTCGGTAAACTATAGACAGTATTTAATGGATGGAGTTGTTACGATTAAATTTGTTTGTTAATTATCTATTTGTTTTGTTAATTGTTTATTAATTATTGCGACACAAGCTATAGAAACTAATAATAAGTGTTTTAAAAAACAGATGTTTTACATACAAAATATCTAACATGAAATTTCAGTACTTTCAGGAAAAGATGAGTGTAGTCAATCAAGAAAATCAACTCTTCCTCTACACGACAGAATAAAAGCGCTCAGGAATCGGCTTAAGGACGAAATAAAACAACAGATCTTCGAAAACGAAGATATAAACGATAGATTCTCGTTTGCTAACGAAAACTACGATTTTATTGAACAAAATGGCGCCGATGGTGCTAAAATAACTCCCATCATGGATGCGAAACTTCGTAAGCGGCGTAAGAAGAAAAGCGGAAACGTCACTTTTGGCGCTCAAACTGAACGCATGACAGGTAATGTCACAATTCGCGCCAATAGTGATCTGTCAAATGTTTTTTTTTCTTTATGGCCAACACGTTTTATTAAGCTTCTTGACTCTACAACAAACGGTTCACCTAACTGTATTTTAAATCCTTTTAACGTTGAATTTTGACGCCCGTTGGGTAATGGTAGCAATGTATGGAAATTAATCAACGAGTCGTAGCTTTAATCCCTACCGGATATTTTATTTTTTAATTTATAATGAAACATGTCGTTTAGAAATCTGGATATTAAATAGGTTATAAGAATGTTGAAATTGCATCCGGGTCACGAACCACCGTCCACAGACAATAAAGCCGCGAAGTTTAACAAACGCGCCCCGCGTTTCGATTTCAGCCTGTGGATTACCGAATATCCAAAGCCAAAATAAACTTCGCTTGTCTGGCCTCTATCTATCAATGAAAAAAACGAATCTGTCATCTTTATTATTCCGTATTGGTCTTAGGAAATGTCACAGATAAACCCGAAATATCGAAGAAGCACAGACTATTGCGTTCAAAGATTAAAAAGAAAAGAGCCAAGCAACCCTTGGACATATTCTACAGGCGCGAGTTCAAAGATGAATTGGTGCATGAACCGCTACCCTGGGCGCACTGTCACTTTATTATAATGCCGTATCTGATGGGAATTAAGACAGAAATAACCACAAACAAGGGTAATGGGCCTAAGGATCCCACGGTAGTCAGGTATTAAATACTGGGAAAATTCGTTAAGCTTTTCGGGTAATACTCAAAGCTATAAAGTTTTTCAACTATTGTAAAATACATTAAAGAAATAATCTTTGTTTATGCTTCTTATCGATCTTACAATTTACAACTTCAATTTTGTAAAGAAAACTGTTTAGAACCAGCCGACGTTTAACTTTACCGTCGATTGTTTTTATATTTATTTGAACTTCTGTCCACCTAATTAAAAAAACGGTTTAAACAAGTCATATTTAAATGAATTTTGAAGTAAATGTGTACTGTGTGGAATAGATTTAAATACTGTCTATAGTTTACGCGAGTAGTACACATTTAAATAAAACACTTTAACTTTAAAACGCGATATATTAGTTAAACTTATTTGGAAATATTTTTAACTTCGCCCGACTTTCGATGCTTTGCAGCAGCCGTGGTCACGGGGAGACATCATTTTCAAATAAGTTTAACTAATATATCGCGTTTTAAACCGTTAAAGTGTTTTATTTAAATATATATTTAAGAAATAATTATTCATGATTCCAAACATTTTAAGTGGATATGTTTACTATAGCTATATATATATAGTATATATAGCTGTATACATTGAAAATCTATTCAATTGAAGAAAATACAACATGGATGGGACTAGAATCGGCATCTAAGCTTCCGTGTTACTCTAACCAATTGAGCTACGGTGTATTTAACTGTAGTTATTTCCAGATTGACCGCCTCTGTAGCCAAATGGTTAAACTTATTGCCTAGCATTGCGTTGAGCGCGAGAGGTCCTGGATTCGAATCCCGGGTAAACAAGAAAAAATTGTTTCGGTCGGGACGTCTGATCAACTACTTGTCCGATAAAAGAAAACGGATCAGTGAAACGGCCATAGAAATGTGGGGGGGAACGGGCTTTCACACTTTTTTTATTTCCAGATTAATTCAGCTGCTAACAATTAGTACAACATCGTTATCGAAAGAGGACATATACTCGATTCTGTATCAAATAAGCCATTTGAACATACGACTATTTCAATGGGACGTCGTACCTATAAAAATGCTGCTAAACGCAGTTATCAGGGGTAAGGTATCTACGATTCTAGACGAGAGGTGCACAGACTCGAATACTGGTGGGGGGGCCACCAGTATTCGAGTCTGTGCAGACAGCAACAATAATACTCAAATGAATTAATTGTTTTTCAATTTTAATACATTATAATCAATTCTTTATTGTCTTTAATTACCTATACTTCTTACGACCCGCCATCAGTTCATCATTCGCCCGAGTGGCCCCTAGTCATCAAATCTGTGCATCCCTGTTCTAGACAATTGCATATATTGAAAAAGGTTTTTACTACTGTTGTTTACGTTAGTCTTAAAAAAAGCCTTTTAACGGTTTAAAACGAGCAATATATTAACGCATTTTTATTTAGTTCCCTGTGGCCACGGCTGCTGCAAAGCGTCCGAAACATCGGGCCGTAGTTGAAAGATATTAAGAAATAGTTTACTTATTACATTGTGCGTTTAAAACCGTTAACAGTGTTTTATTTTTATGAAAAAGGTGCCAAAAAGTTTCTAATTACAGTGTTGTCTATTTTATCAGATAAGCAGCACAACTTTCGTACGCTGAAACACAGCATCCAGGCCCTGTTTGCTGAATGGAAACTGGATATCAGCAATGCGTCAAGCCTACTGAAACAAACGCGCGTCTTTCGGCCACCCTGCGTGAGAGTTTCTGATATGGACGGTAAGAAATACGCTTTTAAATAAAACACTTTAACGGTTTACAATGCGATATTTTAGTTAAACTTAATTGAAAATGATTCTTAACTTCGGCCCGACGTTTCCGCTAGCGTAGCAATTTTTTACTTTGACGTCAGAGACATCCTCCAACTTTAGTCTCCCCGTGACAACGGCTGCTGCAAAGCATCCGAAACGTCGGGCCGTAGTGAAAAATGATTTTTTAAATAAGTTTAACAAATACATCGCGTTTTAAACCGTTAAAGTGTTTTATTTAAAAGGTCCAACATTTTTCTAATCGATTTATAATTTTTCTGATCTTGGTGATATAATGTTGGACTTCGTCTGGAAATCTGGATATTTTATGGGTTGTAGGAATACCCAAACACCGTCCATGAAAATTTGTGGGTTTCCGAATATCCAAAGCCAAAATAGGTCAGCGCATCTTGCTTAGATGCTATAGGCTAGAGTATTTTACGTACCATCAAGTAACCCCATGCTTATCTGTCGACCTCTATCATCAAAGTGATATAATCTTAAGTCTCAACTTTCAGGATCGACGCAAGCGCCGAAAGTAACGTTGTACCCAAAGAAGACTCAGCCCACGAAGTGCCACAAAGCTTACGATGATGATGAAATATCTGGAGAATAATATGGATATTGAGATAAATAATAAAACTATGCAATGTTTAAATAAAACACTTTAACGGTTTAAAACGCGATATATTAGTGAAACTTATTTAAAAATGTTATGGGGAGTCTCCCCGGGACCACGGCTGCCCCGCAAAGCATACAAAACGACGGGCCAAAGTTAAAAATCATTTTCAAATAAGTTTAACTAAAATATATCGCGTTTTAAACCGTTAAAGTGTTTTATTTAAATGTGTACTACTCGCGTAAACTATAGACAGTATTTAACTATGCTATGTATCTAATTTTTCACTACTTACAAACAGTGGCGTAGCTATCGTAGGCCAGATGCAGTGCACCAGGGCCCCGGAACTTAGGGGCCTCTAGGCGCCCTTAGGGGGCTCTAATTCATTTTTGAGAATTGTTGCTATTTATAATTTTGGAGGTTCATTTAATTCAAGCTATGCTAAAAGCTAGGATGAGGACCTGATTCTTTCTTGAGCCTTAAGATTAGGTAGACCGGGGCCCTTGTCCACCTAGCTACGCCACTGTTTACAAATCCCCGCGCCTTCAAGTTAAAACCGATAGGACATTGATGCAGATGACGTTGAAGTAAGGTCTTCTGCATAAAACACTTTAAGTCGTGAAATATATTAGTTGATTATTTTTAATTTAATTTGACCATACCAGCCGTGTTCGTGGGGTGCGTTACCACAGCTGTTGCAAAATATCTGAAACATCGGGTCGTAGCTAAAAGTCACTAATATATTTCGCGTTTTAAGCCGCTAAAAATTGTCTTTCGAATGTTTTCTACTCGCGTAAACGATAGACAATACTGAATCTAAATGCGCGTTTGTTTACGGAGTAGTACGCATTTAAATAAACACTGTAACGGTTTAAAACGCGATATATTAGTTAAACTGTTTTAAATAAATTTAAATAAGTTTAACTAATAATATTGCTTTTTAAACCGTTAAAGTGTTTTATTTAAATACTGAATCTATTAATTACTACAATAAATCTATGTACGTATTTATAAAAACCAACGGGTCGCGGCTTCGTACTTACCGAGTTCAAACATGTTCGATTTCGACAGACAGGGGGGGGATCACCTGACCTGTCACCACGGCTGGTACCAATTATCCGAACCTTGTACAGATATAAATACCTTTATACATTTATTAAAAATTAATATATTAATACATTGAAAATTTTCGAATATATTTGAAAATTATAGCACTTAAGTTCTTCTCGCAGAGAGAGCATCAAAGCTACCATAGTATCCATCGTTATATCTATCAAAAATGACTCTCTTCTTGTGAGCAGCTCCGAATTTACTCGGTAATTCCTGGTATGCCATTAAGTTTTTCATGGACAGCGGTTTGACCCCACGATTGGTGTAGATATATTGGTTTATCGGGTTCGTTTCGACCACGTCCATTGGTATTTTTATCACGAGCGCGTGAGTTGCAAAAACAATCGTAGAACATAAAATTACAATGTGCCACACCATTGCTTAAGTGGAAAACTATATAAGGCTGAGTGGCCTAATAACAAAAAAACATGATTTTCAATAAGGAGGAAAATAAACTGTGCTCTTGTAGATTAACATTTTAGACTATAAAAATGTAAATAACACAAGTCATGAAATTGCAGTTAGGCTACTCTGCCTCTACCGGCCTCATATGTGGTGTTGTCTTTAAATATAACACATATAGTCGTCCTTTGAATAAATAATCCAAAAAGTTTTAGTATGGCTAATTCCCGTTTCTTTGTGTCGGGTATGAGGCGAAGACAATTATATGTCCGTGTTACTGATCGATTTTATTTACAAACGAGACTGATGTCCATATACTTAGCACTCCTTTTTGAAAAATAAGTCGACACAACACACGACGTCACGTCAGACCATCTTTATGCTATTGATAAAAATATTTATGATTATGAAAACAATCATTCATACAAGTTTACATTCTTTATTGCATATTAACAAAACGTATATGCTAGAATGGAGTGCAATGGGCGGCCTTATCGCTAACGAGCGATCTCTTCCAGGCAAACTTAAATTTAGGAGAAAAAAATATGTGCAAAGGCGAAACAAATACAAAAAAAAATATATACAAAACTTAAAAATAAAAGCATTTACATTTAAAAAAAGTTTATTGAATTTTACAATCTAATTTTTTTATTGATTCTAGCGGGCGGGTTACCTATGTATTTAACTCTCTCCCTCTCTCTATCTCTTTCTGGTAACGGTTCGTTGAAGTCGTACTTTTCCGCAACCGTCGGTAAGCTTGCATAATAATTTGGTGTAACCATTTTATACGTTTCTCGTGTTGGTATACCAGTACCCGGCTTTTCATTAGATAATATTTTAGTGTCGTCGTCATACAAAATTCTTTCCGTCCGCGCTTTGATTTCGTCTGAGGCTATAGTCTCAGCAGATTCACTTTTGTATTCCTTCGCTTGTACTGATTTGAAATTGTTCTTAACTTCAAACCTACTTTTTTCATTGCTTGCGTACACATTCGCTTCTTTCGCTGGTGTTATATAATCTTCGTAGCTTTTACCCATTTCTACTTTGTCGTATTGTACATCTGGCTTATGCGCTTGCTTCACTTCGATCATTATCATTAACATAATCAGCTTTAGCATCATTATGTTTTAATATAGTTTCGTCATCATTATCATTATATTGTGAGTCTTCAGTAAATTTTGTATTTTTTTCCTTATTCTTGTGTAAATTGTTTGATTTACTGAATGATTTGATGTTCTGCGTTATGCCTTTATTTAAATTACTTTTATGCTTACTTTGGAATTCCTTTTCTAATCTCTGCCTAACTTTTTCAACCAGTTCCTCGAAGTCTATCCTAGTTCCTCGTTCGTTTAGACTGAATTTCGGTTCAGTCTGTCTAGAGAATGCGATTTTTCTTTCTTTTTGCGTGAACTTTTGTCTGTTATCACTTCTTGGACGCTTATAATTTTTCTGAGTGTATTTTTCAAATTCTGGATCTTTAGCTAAATGCAATATTTCGTCAAGGAATTTTTGTGAGCCTAATTTCTTTGCTATTGTTTGAAAATCATCTAAGTTCGCCGCTAGTAGGACATAACCGTTTATAAAAGAGAATACATTGATGAATACATCTAGAAGCAAAATGTAAAACGCATTACCTAAAAGTTTAGTAAAAAAGACCCTTGAATTACCGAAATAAGGATATGTAGCAAAACATATTCTAAAATTGGTAAAAATGTTATGATTTTGAAACTTACACGTCAGTATTGTGTGCGATAAGAAATCCATAATTCTGCGAACTATAAAACCTTGTTTATTCCGTGAATTTAAACAATTTAAATTAGAGTAAGGTTTCGGTCACGCTGTGGAAATGTCCAGCTTTAATATCCAACGGTAAGGTATTTTTTTCTCATCATGGAAGTTACCATGTCGCCATGGCGAAGGCGGTTTGTGTCCGTCTAGTTTTATTAACAGACAAATGGGTGATCGGTTTTTTGGCTTTACTCGGTAGATCAAAGATATTCTCCAATGATTTCCACCCGGAACAACACGGATTAAGATAGTATCATGTTATTGTTGGTTGGAGCGAGAGTCCTCTAAAGACCGTCCAGCTCTTCGACTAGCCGAAGACAGAGCATGGGGGCAGCTAGTTGACATGATAGTGCACTGTCATGAACAACACGATAAAAAAAAGAGTAAAAACTATATGTTTGTAATTTACAAATCAAACTATAAGTTTGTCATTTCAAAATCGAAAACAAAATTGAAATAGTACCTTTTATGCCTTCATGTGCAATAACATGTAAAAAATAATAAAGTTTTCTAATATATGTTTGTCAGTTTGTTTGTTAAAGCTTTTCCGCATCCATACTGATGATGATGAAATTCCAGGTCTTGATAGACCGCTGGCCATAATGGTTCAAAGTTTGAATCCAAAATATATTTTAATCATATTTGGTGTAAGTAATCTGTGCTTACTATGTAGATATATTTACAGCTTATAGGCATATATGACCTGCCTGTTTCGAAAACCTAACGGGAAAGAAAATAATAAAAAGCCAGTTATCCATTAATTTATTCCACAAATTACATATTTGTCCAAAACTTTACAAAATACTTAGTAAGGTAGTCATCACAATTTTAGATTAATTTTAGTTTATTGCATGTTTTAGTTTGTCTTCGTTGTGTTTATACTTCTCGTTACTCGGACGTTTGGGTATAGATCTGCAACACATAAAGAGGGCTCACAGGTACTGGAGTTTGAAGGTCATGGGGGTGTGGGCCTGGGGCCTCTATTTAATTTAGAGATTCAGAAATCTGGCTTAGAAGCTCTTAACGGTAGCTATTTATCGCTAGTAATCTAACTATGGGTCGTGCGTTGGACCCCCACCGGATCCAAAATATTTCTAAACGATTATTTTTTTCTGAAAGAAGTTGGATGTCCTCTGTAAATATGGATATTAACTGGGTGGCGGGTAGATCGAATCCGTCCGGGTCACGACCACTGTCCCGAGATGAAAAATAATTTGTAGGCGTTGCGGTCTGTGTATATCCAAAGCCAAGTTTTTTTTCTTAAAAATATAGCGATAGACACCTTCCATCAAGTGATTGTCTGTCGTTCTCTATCATAAAATTAAAGCTCAGTAGAGCTCCATTGTCTTTCTTTTGTTTTAGAAATCTGAATATAACGAAAAATTCGTACCATACGCCAACTCTCGACCGAGGCGGGGGGAGAAGTCGTAATTTCTACCCAAACGGGGGGAGAATTGACTCGGTCGGGTGTTCACTAGCATCTGGTCTTGTCTGTAACTAAATATATAGTGCTTAACATTCCCTTTACAAATTAATCTATATAAGTTTACAGTTCACAATTTTTTGGCCGGGCTGAAGTTAGCGCGACCGCCATCTTGCGCATGGTACTGTTAATTTTAAGCAAAAAGTCTAGTCGTCGCGCACCCCTTTCGTCGCAACTGATGACGAACTTTTGGGTTCTGCGCAACCATCCGCGCTAATTTCAGTCCGGCCGAAACGTTTGGAGAGCACTGTACGCTACTAAATCTAAGTATTTAATAATGAACCTTAATTCACAAGTCTTAAGGTTGAATGTATATTGTGCGATAGGTGCATGTTAAAATCGACATGACGTGAAGCACACGGTAGATCCATTGGTTAGAGCAACATCACGGAATGTTGTAGACGCCAATTCAAATCCTACCCGATTTTTCTATTTTGTCAATCTATAAACTATTTTTTATTTATGTAAATTGTTTCTTACGCTTCTTGTTCCGATGTTGGTAAGCCTTGGTCGATCTTGCGTCTTCCCAAACGAGGTGTGAACTCGACATTCTCGTTAAATAAACGTTCGTCAACAGCTCTTCCTAGTTTCGGGGTGAAAATTATTTTATCTAGAGAAAGGGTAAATTTTAATGTACTTCACAACTTCGAGTAGGACCGAGATATACAAGTATAAAAAAAAAATAAAAAAAAAACGTGAAAAAAATTGATATGTTTTGAAAACAACAGTACTAACATAAAACACTTTATGCTGGTTAATACGTCAAATGTTAAAAGACTAACACCGTCCTCGACGCTTAGTTTAAAAATAACTTAACTAATATAATTCCTATTTGAAACTGTTAAATATATGTATAATACTCGCGTAAACTACAGTACTCAAGAATGTTAAATTACAATTAGATCCAATGTAGGTAATTCTTGAAATGTGCTTTGTGACATCTAGCTCTTACACTACTTTTTACCCCCCACCGGCTAAATGTCCCGAAAATTCGAATATCACAAACAGCAGTCGTAAGTTCTAAATTCAAATGATGCAGGCGGTGTCCTTTGTGTGTGTAACGCCCGTGTCATATTCTTTTATCAAAAATAAATTTTAAACAAATATGGAAGGATATATCCGACAATCTCGTTGTTATAATGGTACTAATAAACGGGTCCCGGATTCGATTTACACCGGTTCCAAGTAGGAATATTGAAATTCCGTCAGGGTCCCGTATCACATAAATGGAATAAAGTGTAAACGCTTTCCGGTTTCAGTCTGAAGAAAATTCTCCTATCAAGTGAATCCCTCTGTCTGTCTGTCTGTCCTCCTATTCAAGCATGTTATGTCCTTAGAATCATAATGAGAAGAAAAACAATATCCAAAGACAAAATAGGCCGACAGCGCATCTTATGTAGATGTTATATGGCTGGGGTATTTCACCTCCCATCAATTGGGCCCCATGCCTATTATTAAAAAAATCGCTAGGTAAGCTTTATACAAAAGTTATTTATTTACCTTGCCCCACATCTGCCTGTAGTTCATATGGAAGCTGATCGTAATAATACATTAGGTTATCAGCCGCTTCTAACAATCGCAGGAGTGGTGTTTTGCTGAAAAAATAGCAATGTTTAGCTAGATCTAGATCTAAAATTTTTCTAATCAATTTATATTTTTTCTGAAACAGTTGGACTTCGTCCCGTGGACACATACTTACCGATTTTCATCTGCGAGTCGTAATGATCTTTTGCCCAGGCGGGGACCGAACCAAACACCCCCTCGGTCGCTGTGCGCGCCTCTGTCTTGATTATCGTCCTAATGGTAACGTAGATCGTTTATTATATTATTTCTGCATATCTATCTATACTTATATTATATAAAGCTGAAGAGTTTGTTTGTTTGAACGCGCTAATCTCAGGAATTACTGGTTTAAATTGAAAAAATATTTTATAGTTTTATAGTCTCCTAATAGCAGCGAAGATAAAGCGGAAATGTGAACAAAACGGGGGAAACTTTCACTCGATTAAGAGCAACGTTGTGACCACAAAAATGTCTATGAGAATTATCAAGTAGTGCATACACATAGTGAAGAGAAAAATGTAGAAACGAAAGGGGAAAATCAGTAGTCCGAACGTAGCACGTTGCGTTACGCTGGGAAAACGGTTTAGGACACCAAAAAATATGTTTGAAGCATTGATTCCTCTTTGTAGATCTAAAATATCTCAAAATCACAAGAACCGTTTCAATGGTGATCAAATTTTGGTCAAAATACTTGATATATTTTCCTTAATTACATTGATATTAAAAAAAGAATTTTACCGAACGTAAAATATGAATAAATTTTCACACATGTGTTTTTTCGTTAACTCCACTAACAGTTTACTTGATCTCAAGAAGACGTGACGTCATCATGTCAGTGTAACATACGATATTTCCGGACATTTTAAGAGCTTTTGTAGGTTTCAAAATATATTATATTAGTCGGGGTTACTAAAATAAGGTAAATAAACACTGTCTGTAGTTTACGCGAGTAGTACACATTTAAATAAAACACTTTAACGATTTAAAACGCGTTATATTAGTTAAACTTATTTGAAAATGATGAAACGAAGGGCCGAAGTCAAATAAGTTTAACTAATATATTGCTTTTTAAACCGTTAAAGTGTTTTATTTAAAAAATAAATCAAGTTATCTAATTCAAAACACTTAAAAAAAAAAAATCAATGTCCCTATTTTATGAATTAAGTAATAAACTTCAAGGTATTCGGCCATCATCATAGCTAGGAGACTCTGATGATGATGATTATGATGAAGAAGATGATTGTGATGATGATAATGAAAATTACCTTGGTATCGTCACCGCAAGCAACCACTAAGCTATAAGCAACAAAGAGCAGAAGTGAAAATACCACTCTGTCTATAAGAGAAGCCATTTTCACTAACTCAGGGTGTTCACTGGTGTTAAGGTTGAGCGGGGGTGAGCTTTTATAGTGCCTTCGAATGAAAATCTATGGAAATATCGAGGGGATGTCGGGGATAGCCAGATGTGAGCCTTAAAAAGGGAAAGATTAAAGATTCTGGCTCCTATACTTTCTAATTGTCCAAGTGTCCTATACGGCTCAATTCGTTAGAGCAACAGCACGGAACGCTGAGGATGACGCTTCAAGTCCTGCCCGAGTCGTAATTTTTTTTCAATTTATAATCGATTTTTAATTTCTAATTGTAGCTAACAATTTATGAACAATTATTCAGATTATGATCCCACCATACAACAATAAAATTTTACAATGGCAATAAAAATCTATGTATGATAATATTTTGTTATCGTTCGTTCGAAATCTGCCTGGACACGCAGCCCACTAGTTACAAAGGAAATGAAAAAAAAGAGATGTAAAGCTTATATTGTAATAGGACAAAAAACGAGCTTGGGGTCCATTTGATGTTAGCTGAAATATCCCAGCCATATAACGTCTAAGCAAGACGCGTGATCGATGCTTTCGAAATGCAGAGATTGAAACTGTATTGGAATTATACTTTACACCAATAATCTCATCAATAATATATTACGTTAAGCAAAAGAAAAATGTCTCGGTTTTATCGCAATTAATTCTTTTAATAAAACAAAAGTGTATACTTACGATTATTAAATAACAATTCGACGGATTTTAAAATAGACGTGACGTTTTTTGTTTATTTTAATTAACAAATTATTTTCGACTTCTTTGTGTCATAAGACTACTGGTATCGGTAGATACCTTTACATTTTACGAATAAAAACATTTATAAAGGAGTATCCTCTTCTCCCCTGTCTCCCCAAAAGCTTCACCCAAATTGAAACTAATGGTCCTGAGGAGAGCGATTGCTCTGCACTGGATTGACATATCCAATAATAGAAAGTAAATAAAGAAACAATAATTTCTAATTAAGCTTTTAACTTGATTATTTTTTACTCAACTACGGCGTAGCCAAAATGTTTCTTTGTTATTATAATGTGTATTTTACCACACCGCTTATACTAAATGATTGGTTAAGTAATGAAAATATATCTCTAAAAGTATCTATAGTAAGTAAAAATAATTTATAAAATTACTAGTTGTGCCCGGAAAAGTGACTTGGGGTAGAATTTTTAATTATTTAGGCTGTTTGTTGATTTATGTAAGGGCGCATTTTAGGCAGCAAATCTATGTTGTAAGTGCTACTTTGCCGCAACACTCTCACCTCACATCACTCCTACTCTAACTCCCACTCTCACTCCCACCCTACTGCTACTCCCACTTCTACTCCTATTCCCAAAAAGCCAAAGAAGAAAGTTTCATTGTTCTAGCATCAAAAACCACGAATTTCCATACACACTTTCATCCCCTATCAACCCTTTTGGCATTAAAAAGCCTATATCCTTTCTCAGGCTCTAAAATATATGTGTATCAAATTTCATTTAAATCAGTTCAGCAGTTTCGGAGTTAAAGCCGGACAGACAGAGTTACTTTCACATTTATAATTCATATTAGTATAGATGTGTTTGATACAGTTCGATCATCGAATTTATCGGCAGACATAACATCACGCTGCAACCAATATGATGAAAGAAAAAATTTAAAATGTGAAAAAAACGGTAAACCCAAAATTATGCATAAAATAATGATTCCTCTTTAAATAATGTGAAAAATATATGTATATATCTATCGGCAGCATATGTCTATCTTATAAAATTAATTCGCAAGAACCCGTTTTGGGTTTGGTGGTGCATTAATTTCGCCAAATATAATAACTATTCTAGCATTTAAATAAATCACTTTAACGGTTTAAAACGCGATATATTAGTTAAACTTATTTGAAAATGATTTTCGGTAGCCGTGGTCACGGGGAGACGTGACCACGGCTGCTGCAAAGCATCCGATACGTCGGGCCGAAGTAAAAATCATTTTCAAATAAGTTTAACTAATTTATCGCGTTTTTAACCGTTAATGTGTTTTATTTAAATGTGTACTACTCGCGTAAACTATACAGACAGTATCTAACTATTCTAGCAAACAAAAAAATTACGTTACTTAGTAGATAAGAACTTGGTATTTAATAATTTTTATTGTTGTACCAGAAGAGATGGCTAAATGGTTAAACGTGTTGCCTAACATTGCGTTAAGCGTGAGAGGTCCTGCGTTCGAATCCCAGGGGAACAAAAAACTGTTTCGGTCGGGCAGGGCACAGAAGCCTGATCAACTCCTTGCCTGTAAATAAAACCGGTGAGTCAAACGGACACAGAAATGTGTTCGCCCTATGCCCCACGACGGGGAAATGGGATTTCAGACACATCAGAAAAGATAGTCGCCCACGACACAAATGTAAATAATATTTTTTGTATAACAAGGAAAATTTTATTTCTATTATTATTTGTGCATTTTCTAATAGTTTTCACCGTGACTCGAAACCGGGATGTCTTGCACATACCGCATAACGCAATACAAAGCGTTTTCTGACGTCTGACGGCCTTATACTTATAATATTTCCTTTCATAACGCCTACTCAGTAGGTGTATAGTATATGCACCGCGCAGTTAGCGGTGAACCATTCGAACATTACACAGATGAATTGACTGGACCGCTTTATGCAAGATGGTGAATTATTATCTGTGACCTGTGACAAGTGAGTGTATACCAGTAATTCTCAAAGTGGTCTATATCCACCCCTATAGGTCTATGACAACCCGCAAGGGGTCTATGTCAGAGAAAAATAATTTGGGGGTCCATGAAATAAAAATGGGGGTACGATAGTGGATGTCAACACATACACTGACTGTACCTATTTACCTATGTCTTACAATATCAAAACATCTAGATTATTTATAAAAGTACCTATGAAGTAAAAAAACAGAACAGATACAAAATTTTATTTTTTGTATTTTAATTGAATTTTACCTAAATACTGTCTATAGTTTACGCGAGTAGTACACATTTAAATAAAACACTTTAACGGATTAAAACGCGATATATTAGTTAAACTTATTTGGAAATGATTTTTAACGGGGAGTCTCCCCGTGACCACGGCTGCTGCAAAGCATACGAAACGTCGGGCCGAAGTAAAAAATCATTTCCAAATAAGTTTAACTAATATATCGCGTTTTAAACCGTTAAAGTGTTTTATTTAAATGAAATTTACTTAATAAATGTATAGTTTAACATGTGTTTTTACTTTAAGTTAACACTTATCTTCACTACAGTTAGAAATATACAGGAAATCAATTTCAGGGTCTACCCAACACGGAAAAACATAGCAAGGGATCTACGACACAAATATAATGAAGAATTCTGGTCTATAGTTTGACATTGACATCTCTTCTCTCTGCGAATGGTGTGCTGCACACTGCATGTATGTGTGCTAAAATATACAATAAAACTAATAAAATCCGATGTCAATAATTAAGAAAGTAATCATCAGGTATAGGGATAATCTTGAATATTTAATCATTTATTTGGATAAAAATGTATAAATGGTACGGATAACACGGTGTGATTTTGTATCGGCATTTCTACCAATTTGTTAAATGTAAAAAAGTAGTTACGGCGATGTAACTACAATAGTTAGACATACGCTCTCGCGTTTTTTGTAGATATTAATAATATATTCTATAATATTGTCGAACATTTTTTTGTCATATCATTAATACTTTTCGCAGCGTATGCGGAGACAGACATTTTACGGCTATTTTTTTTACGTTTTCCGTTGGTTTTAGTAAGAATTTCTATAGATATCTATAGTAATCGAGTACTTACTAAATATAGCTTTCTAATGAAAAAAGAATTATTAGAATCGGTCTAGTACTTTTTGAGTTAATCCGTTACATACAAAAATACAAATCTCTCCTCTTAATATTAGTATAGATAATATTGTACATAGCAGTCTACTTTATTATAATTTAGTAAACTTTACATCAACTTAAATTTATACTATTCCTAGCTGAGTCAGCGACTTCGTCCGCGTAGTATAGTTATTTTTGGCATCCAAATCTGGTTTTTGCTTTCTCGCTCGCGTGAAATGCTGACGCCAAATACACTTTGGACGTTGTACCTTCCTCTTGAATTACTGTATATATTAAAAAAACCGCATCAAAATTTGTTGCGTAATTTTAAAGATTTAATCGTATATAGGGACAGAAAAAGCGACTTTGTTTTATACTATGTAGTGATGATAAAAAAAGTGTAATCGCGTTTGCTTGGTTGAGGCATCACACTGATTAGTTTTTTTACAGGCAAGTCGTTGATTAGACTGTGGTGCCCTGGCCGATCAAAACAATTTATTGTATCCTCGGGATTCAAACCCAGACCTCTCGCGCTCAACGCAATGCAACATGTTATATAAAAAATGTATATTATTAAATATGCATTTTATATATATTCAAACTTCAAACAAATAGAGTTATTTATTTGTTATTTGCCGTGGTTGGTTTTTCTCTTGTAACTCTCTCGTATGAGCAGACACCGATAGATCGAAAAAAATGCACCAGGAACATGTCAAATCGCTTATTATTAAAACATAGGTCTAGAGGAAACTACAGCTCGTTAGATCGCCATATTTTTAGGAAACTGTCGCCCTCTAGCATAAAACCGTTCCGTAACGAAGTATCGTATCACTAAAATGACTTCATTGTCGACGCTCAGACCACGCTCACATCACGTCATCTGTCGAGATGACCTGTAAGTATTAATATATTATGATTTTCCTTATAATTAAAATATTCTTATATAAAAGTGGAAAAGCTAGCTATTACTATAATTATTTTATATAAAGTAGAATACATAAATCGATTATTTATTTTAACAATATTTGTAATGTAGGTACTAAGCTAACTTTAAAATTTAAAATAAATGCATAGAAATATATGAGATAATAAAATTGTTGTTTTTATTAAGTTTGGTGAATTAAATAAAAAACTGTGAATATTAGTTTAAACAACAGAATCAAAACATCGAATCAAAGTTCAAAGTAAATTACTAATATAATTCACATTTCAAACCGTTGTAGGTGTTTTATTTAACGAGTTTTTATGATGAACGGTTTTCCATCCTCATGTGTAACTCGTGGGGCATGGGGCATATCTGAGTCATGACTGAAGAAGAATCTTAAGAAATTACTTAATAACGATAAGGTCATCCTTTACACTTGTGTATTAAAGAGTTATAAACTATTTATTGTTTCTAGATAATTGCAAAACACGATCTCTTACTTAAAAACTAGGAAAGTGATTCTTTTATGTTATATTAAATTAAAATGACATTCTCGTTTCAGGGAAAGTATTGCTGCTGTCCTTAGCAGCAGCGACGACAGCGTTTCCAGTAGACATGGAAAATGTAACAGAAGAAATGAAAGCAACACAATTCGAAAAGGAGCTACTGACCATATCATATATACAAGACTTCAAAAAGATGATGTCTGATTACGTGAAATCCCAATACACGAACCTCACGATAAACGACATGGAAATAATTAATAATATTTTAGAAGAGTTCCTTCAAAATTTCGGCTCTGACCTCCATAAGATTATAGTGAATGGTGAAAAGGAGGAAACGCCAGTTATCAACGATGGTATACCAGATTCAACGTTTGATGACGTCAAGAAATGCGTCAAAAACGAAATACCCGATATAAACGATGACACTGCTGATCAAATTGTGTTCAAATTAAGAGAGAATTTGTTCAAAACGAGGCAGAAATTAGACGATATTATAAGAATGAGGATGGACATTGAAAATTCTAATTGAACGATTGAAATAAAAACTATATATAAATATATTTCATTTATTTCGTCACTAGCTGTGTCAGCGACTTCGTTCGCGTAGCGCGCTCTATACATTTAAGTTGTGACAAACAACGCAGTCCGCGTTAAATAAAGAAATATACTTTTGCGGACGTTTTTATAGATCATTAGCTGTGTCAGCGAGAATCGCTACTTTGGGCATCCAAAATTTTTATAAACTGTTACCCACGACGTCGGTCGCGGCCCTTCCCGTCGTTTTTGCAAGTTAATCTAAAAGATTAGAAGAGATAGCGCGCTTTTTTTAAAGATAATTTAAGGAGGAATCATTCTTTCCTACATATATTTTTAGATATTTAGAACCATTTTTGCAGCCTACGCCTCGGAAACCCAAAATGTTGAATAATTTCCCCATATTTTTGTATTAGTCACAGGGCGATGTTTTATAGCTTATTGTTCAAATAAAGAAACAAACTCTTCACTTACACGTAATACATTATATTTTACATCATAATAAGATAAAAAAAAACTTTGTAGGACCCAATTACTGATGTACACAGCATTGTTAACTTAAAATTAGTAATGTTAAAGAGAAAAACATATGAATGCTCACAAAACCTTTATTTTCGTTATACATCGCTTTTACAAATACTCGCTAAATCGTTAGTTTAATGGAATCGAAATTTATCACGCATAACGGAAGGAATTTCGAAATAGCTGCTGAAGCAAATGCAGAGCCTTCCTTTGGCCGGGTGTCCAGGTTTGGTACCGGGGAATATAGGTTCGATCACTGAAAATAAACGGAAGATATCGTAAAAATCTTGTATATAAACCTTTATTTAGGAGTTTTTACGAAGGACGCTATAGAACACCGGGGACAAAGTTGTTTCGGCTACTCATTTTGTTCATCTTTCACCCTACAAGGATATTTTAAGTCTTAAGTAAAGAATTTGTTTAATAGTTTACAGTAGCCAAGTAACTTGATTATATAATATTTACTAAGTACACTTCGCTTTTGAATCCGTAAGAAGTGATTCGTGTGCAACTTTATAACATTAAACTTTTAGGGAAACATGTTTTATAGTTTGGGGGGAGGGGCTGGCATTCATTCTTGCTTTAGTTTGCACGGTAAAGCATATGATTGTACAGACTATCTTCAAAATGTTGTCAATAAGAAAAGGCAACGGATTTGTCTAATTTAATCTTGACAAACTAGTTGGTAATTAAAATTCAACTCTCTATTTTGATTTTACATTTGTGTGATATTTGATACAATATTAAATCAAACGAAAACAAAATTAAACTTCCGCATTTTCTAATACTCAATCCTTTGAAAGTTATTTCTAAATTATTTATAATTTAAATTGAGAAGTAACGAATATGATCCGTAATAATATTTGGCTGTATTAATGCACTAGTTAGAGAGAGTTTTTCAAAAAAACATACCAGTAACATCAGTAGAATCGGAAGAATGATGGTGTCCAATTGGTCCACATGGTCTGCCTCCTACCCCATTGCTACCTGCGTTGTTTCCTGGGTTACTGCCTGGTTGGTTTCCGGGTTGGCCGTTGGGATTGTTTCCGGGTTGAGAACCTGGGTTATTGCCTGGTTGGTTTCCTGGTTGAGAACCTGGGTTATTGCCTGGTTGGTTTCCGGGTTGAGAACCTGGGTTATTGCCTGGTTGGTTTCCGGGTTGAGAACCTGGGTTATTGCCTGGTTGGTTTTCTGGTTGAGAACCTGGGTTATTGCCTGGTTGGTTTCCGGGTTGAGAACCTGGGTTATTGCCTGGTTGGTTTCCGGGTTGGCCATTAGGATTGTTTCCTGGTTGAGAACCTGGGTTACTGCCTGGTTGGTTTCCGGGTTGGCCGTTGGGATAGTTTCCTGGTTGAGAACCTGGGTTATTGCCTGGTTGGTTTCCGGGTTGAGAACCTGGGTTACTGCCTGGTTGGTTTCCGGGTTGGCCGTTGGGATTGTTTCCGGGTTGAGAACCTGGGTTATTGCCTGGTTGGTTTCCGGGTTGAGAACCTGGGTTATTGCCTGGTTGGTTTCCTGGTTGAGAACCTGGGTTATTGCCTGGTTGGTTTCCGGGTTGAGAACCTGGGTTACTGCCTGGTTGGTTTCCGGGTTGGCCATTAGGATTGTTTCCTGGTTGAGAACCTGGGTTACTGCCTGGTTGGTTTCGGGGTTGGCCGTTGGGATAGTTTCCTGGTTGAGAACCTGGGTTTTGCTGGTTGGTTTCCGGGTTGAGAACCTGGGTTACTGCCTGGTTGGTTTCCGGGTTGGCCGTTGGGATTGTTTCCGGGTTGAGAACCTGGGTTATTGCCTGGTTGGTTTCCTGGTTGAGAACCTGGGTTATTGCCTGGTTGGTTTCCGGGTTGAGAACCTGGGTTATTGCCTGGTTGAGAACCTGGATAACTGCCTGGTTGGTTTCCGGGTTGAGAACCTGGGTTATTGCCTGGTTGGTTTCCGGGTTGAGAACCTGGGTAATTGCCTGGTTGGTTTCCTGGTTGAGAACCTGGATAACTGCCTGGTTGGTTTCCTGGTTGAGAACCTGGGTTACTGCCTGGTTGGTTTCCGGGTTGGCCGTTGGGGTAGTTTCCTGGTTGAGAACCTGGGTTACTGCCTGGTTGGTTTCCTGGTTGAGAACCTGGATAACTGCCTGGTTGGTTTCCGGGTTGGCCATTAGGATAGTTGCCTGGTTGAGAACCTGGGTTATTTCCTGGTTGGTTTCCGGGTTGAGAACCTGGGTTATTGCCTGGTTGGTTTCCGGGTTGGCCATTAGGGTTGTTTCCTGGTTGAGAACCTGGGTTACTGCCTGGTTGGTTTCCGGGTTGGCCGTTGGGATTGTTTCCTGGTTGAGAACCTGGGTTACTGCCTGGTTGGTTTCCGGGTTGGCCTGGGTTATTGCCTGGTTGGTTGCCTGGTTGAGAACCTGGGTTATTTCCTGGTTGGTTTCCGGGTTGAGAACCTGGGTTATTGCCTGGTTGATTTCCGGGTTGGCCATTAGGATTGTTTCCTGGTTGAGAACCTGGGTTACTGCCTGGTTGGTTTCCGGGTTGGCCGTTGGGATAGTTTCCTGGTTGAGAACCTGGGTTATTGCCTGGTTGGTTTCCGGGTTGAGAACCTGAGTTACTGCCTGGTTGGTTTCCGGGTTGGCCGTTGGGATTGTTTCCGGGTTGAGAACCTGGGTTATTGCCTGGTTGGTTTCCGGGTTGAGAACCTGGGTTATTGCCTGGTTGGTTTCCGGGTTGGGAACCTGGGTTATTGCCTGGTTGGTTTCCGGGTTGAGAACCTGGGTTATTGCCTGGTTGGTTTCCTGGTTGAGAACCTGGATAACTGCCTGGTTGGTTTCCTGGTTGAGAACCTGGGTTACTGCCTGGTTGGTTTCCGGGTTGGCCATTAGGATTGTTTCCTGGTTGAGAACCTGGGTTACTGCCTGGTTGGTTTCCGGGTTGGCCGTTGGGATAGTTTCCTGGTTGAGAACCTGGGTTATTGCCTGGTTGGTTTCCGGGTTGAGAACCTGGGTTACTGCCTGGTTGGTTTCCGGGTTGGCCATTAGGATTGTTTCCTGGTTGAGAACCTGGGTTACTGCCTGGTTGGTGTCCGGGTTGGCCGTTGGGATAGTTTCCTGGTTGAGAACCTGGGTTATTGCCTGGTTGGTTTCCGGGTTGAGAACCTGGGTAATTGCCTGGTTGGTTTCCTGGTTGAGAACCTGGATAACTGCCTGGTTGGTTTCCTGGTTGAGAACCTGGGTTACTGCCTGGTTGATTTCCGGGTTGGCCATTGGGGTTGTTTCCGGGTTGAGAACCTGGGTTACTGCCTGGTTGGTTTCCTGGTTGAGAACCTGGATAACTGCCTGGTTGGTTTCCGGGTTGAGAACTTGGGTTATTTCCTGGTTGGTTTCCGGGTTGGCCATTAGGATAGTTGCCTGGTTGAGAACCTGGGTTATTTCCTGGTTGGTTTCCGGGTTGAGAACCTGGGTTACTGCCTGGTTGGTTTCCGGGTTGGCCGTTAGGATTGTTTCCGGGTTGAGAACCTGGGTTATTGCCTGGTTGGTTTCCGGGTTGAGAACCTGGGTTACTGCCTGGTTGGTTTCCGGGTTGAGAACCTGGGTTACAGCCTGGTTGGTTTCCGGGTTGGCCGTTAGGATTGTTACTGCCTGGTTGGTTTCCGGGTTGGCCGTTAGGATTGTTTCCGGGTTGAGAACCTGGGTTATTGCCTGGTTGGTTTCCGGGTTGAGAACCTGGGTTACTGCCTGGTTGGTTTCCGGGTTGAGAACCTGGGTTATAGCCTGGTTGGTTTCCGGGTTGGCCGTTAGGATTGTTTCCGGGTTGGGAACCTGGGTTATTGCCTGGTTGGTTTCCTGGTTGAGAACCTGGATAACTGCCTGGTTGGTTTACTGGTTGAGAACCTGGATAACTGCCTGGTTGGTTTCCTGGTTGAGAAACTGGGTTACTGCCTGGTTGGTTTCCGGGTTGAGAACCTGGGTTATTGCCTGGTTGGTTTCCGGGTTGGCCGTTGGGATTGTTTCCGGGTTGAGAACCTGGGTTATTTTCGGGTTGAGAACCTGGGTTATTGCCTGGTTGAGAACCTGGGTTATTTCCTGGTTGGTTTCCCGGTTGGCCATTAGGATTGTTTCCTGGTTGAGAACCTGGGTTACTGCCTGGTTGGTTTCCGGGTTGAGAACCTGGGTTATTGCCTGGTTGGTTTCCGGGTTGAGAAGCTGGGTTATTGCCTGGTTGGTTTCCTGGTTGAGAACCTGGATAACTGCCTGGTTGGTTTCCTGGTTGAGAACCTGGGTTACTGCCTGGTTGGTTTCCAGGTTGAGAACCGGGGTTATTGCCTGGTTGGCCGTTGGGATTGTTTCCAGGTTGAGAACCTGGGTTATTTCCGGGTTGAGAGCCTGGGTTATTGCCTGGTTGAGAACCTGGGTTATTTCCTGGTTGGTTTCCAGGTTGGCCATTAGGATTGTTTCCGGGTTGGGAACCTGGGTTATTACCTGGTTGAGAACCTGGATAACTGCCTGGTTGGTTTCCTGGTTGAGAACCTGGGTTATTGCCTGGTTGATTTCCGGGTTGAGAGCCTGGGTTATTGCCTGGTTGGTTTCCTGGTTGAGAACCTGGGTTATTTCCTTGTTGGTTTCCGGGTTGACCAGTTGGGTTGTTTCCTGGTACATTACCTGGACCTGCTGGATAATAAACAGGGTTCGCTTCAGGATAATAACTAGGATTACTGCCTGGTTGGTTGCCGGGTTGGCCATTAGGGCTGTTTCCTGGTTGAGTACCTGGGTTACTGCCTGGTTGGTTTACTGGTTTAGTTGGATTATTTTCGGGATAACTGCCAGGCCCAGCTGGATAATAGACTGGGTACGATCCAGGATAGCCGTTTGACTGATATCCCGTTTGTTGACTGTTTCCATAACTTGAAGCATGAGATGAACCATAATTGTAACCATATCCACTTTGTACACTTGAACTTGAGGAAGATCCTGTCTGTGTATTGGAGCTAGATCCCTGGTAGTTATAATTTCCTCCTGGATAATTGTCTTGTTGGCTACCTGGGTTTCTTCCTGAATGGCCATTTGGATTGTTTCCGGGTTGATTAGATTGACTGTTTTCTGGTTCACTACCTGGGCCTGCTGGGTAATTGACAGGGTATGCTCCAGGATAATAACTAGGATAACTGCCTGGTTGGTTTCCGGGTTGGCTATTAGGATTATTTCCTGGTTGAGAACTTGGGTTATTTCCTGGTTGAGAACCTGGGTTATTGCCTGGTTGATTACCGGGTTGGCCGTTGGGATTGTTTCCTGGTTGAGAACCTGGGTTATTACCTGGTTGGTTTCCGGGTTGAGAACTTGGGTTACTGCCTGGTTGGTTTCCGGGTGGAGAACCTGGGTTATTGCCTGGTTGGTTTCCGGGTTGGCCATTAGGATTGTTTCCTGGTTGAGAACCTGGGTTATTGCCTGGTTGGCCATTAGGATAGTTTCCTGGTTGAGAACCTGGGTTATTGCCTGGTTGATTCCCGGGTTGGCTGTTGGGATTGTTTCCTGGTTGAGAACCTGGGTTATTACCTGGTTGGTTTCCGGGTTGAGAACTTGGGTTACTGCCTGGTTGGTTTCCGGGTTGAGAACCTGGGTTATTGCCTGGTTGGTTTCCGGGTTGGCCATTAGGATTGTTTCCTGGTTGAGAACCTGGGTTATTGCCTGGATGGTTTCCGGGTTGAGAACCTGGGTTATTGCCTGGATGGTTTCCGGGTTGAGAGCCTGGGTTATTATTGCCTGGTTGGTTTCCTGGTTGAGAACCTGGGTTATTTCCTTGTTGGTTTCCGGGTTGACCAGTTGGGTTGTTTCCTGGTACATTACCTGGACCTGCTGGATAATAAACAGGGTTCGCTCCAGGATAATAACTTGGATTACTGCCTGGTTGGTTTCCGGGTTGGCCATTAGGGCTGTTTCCTGGTTGAGTACCTGGGTTACTGCCTGGTTGGTTTACTGGTTTAGTTGGATTATTTTCGGGATAACTGCCAGGCCCAGCTGGATAATAGACTGGGTACGATCCAGGATAGCCGTTTGACTGATATTCTGTTTGTTGACTGTTTCCATAACTTGAAGCATGAGATGAACCATAATTGTAACCATATCCACTTTGTACACTTGAACTTGAGGAAGATCCTGTCTGTGTATTGGAGCTAGATCCCTGGTAGTTATAATTTCCTCCTGGATAATTGTCTTGTTGGCTACCTGGGTTTCTTCCTGAATGGCCATTTGGATTGTTTCCGGGTTGATTAGATGGACTGTTTTCTGGTTCACTATCTGGGCCCGCTGGGTAATTGACAGGGTATGCTCCAGGATAATAACTAGGATAACTGCCTGGTTGGTTTCCGGGTTGGCCATTAGGATTGTTTCCTGGTTGAGAACCTAGGTTGTTTATTGGTTGGTTTCCGGGTTGAGAACCTGGGTTATTGCCTGGTTGGTTTTCCGGTTGGCCGTTGGGATTGTTTCCGGGTTGAGAACCTGGGTTATGTCCTGGTTGGTTTCCGGGTTGACCATTAGGATTGTTTCCTGGTTGAGAACTGGGTTACTGCCTGGTTGATTCCGGGTTGGCTGTTGGGATTGTTTCCTGGTTGAGAACCTGGGTTATTACCTGGTTGGTTTTTGAGAACTTGGGTTACTGCCTGTTGTTTTTGAGAACCTGGGTTATTGACTGGTTGGTTTGGTTGGCATTAGATTGTTTCTGGTTGAGAACCTGGGTTATTGCCTGGATGTTTTTGGATTAGGATAGTTTTGGTTGAAACTGTTATGGTTTTTGGGTTGAGAATGGGTTATTACCTGGTTGGTTTCCGGGTAGAGAACCTGGGTTATTGCCTGGTTGGTTTCCGGGTTGAGAACCTGGATTACTTTCTGGTTGATTCCCGGGTTGGCCGTTGGGATTGTTTCCTGGTTGAGAACCTGGGTTACTGCCTGGTTGGTTTCCGGGTTGAGAACCTTGGTTATTACCTGGTTGGTTTCCGGGTTGAGAACCTGGGTTATTACCTGGTTGGTTTCCGGGTTGAGAACCTGGGTTACTGCCTGGTTGGTTTCCGGGTTGGCCGTTGGGATTGTTTCCGGGTTGAGAACCTGGGTTACTGCCTGGTTGGTTTCCGGGTTGGCCATTAGGATTGTTTCCTGGTTGAGAACCTGGGTTATTGCCTGGTTTGTTTCCGGGTTGGAACCGGTTTTGGGGTTGTGTCCGGGTTGAGAGCTTGGGTTATTGCCTGGTTGGTTTCCTGGTTGAGAACCTGGGTTATTTCCTTGTTGGTTTCCGGTTTGGCCAGTTGGGTTGTTTCCTGGTACATTACCTGGACCTGCTGGATAATTAACAGGGTTCGCTCCAGGATAATAACTAGGATTACTGCCTGGTTGGTTTCCGGGTTGAGAACCTGGGTTATTGCCTGGTTGGTTTCCGGGTTGGCCATTAGGATTGTTTTCTGGTTGAGAACCTGGGTTATTGCCTGGATGGTTTCCGGGTTGAGAGCCTGGTTGGTTTCCTGGTTGAGTACCTGGGTTACTGCCTGGTTGGTTTACTGGTTTAGTAGGATTATTTTCGGGATAACTGCCAGGCCCAGCTGGATAATAGACTGGGTACGATCCAGGATAGCCGTTTGACTGATATCCCGTTTGTTGACTGTTTCCATAACTTGAAGCATGAGATGAACCATAATTGTAACCATATCCACTTTGTACACTTGAACTTGAGGAAGATCCTGTCTGTGTATTGGAGCTAGATCCCTGGTAGTTATAATTTCCTCCTGGATAATTGCCTTGTTGGCTACCTGGGTTTCTTCCTGAATGGCCATTTGGATTGTTTCCGGGTTGATGGTTTCCTGGTTGAGAACCTGGGTTACTGCCTGGTTGGTTTCCGGGTTGGCCATTAGGATTGTTTCCGGGTTGAGAACCTGGGTTATTGCCTGGTTGGTTTTCGGGTTGAGACCCTGGTTTATTTCCTGGTTGGTTCCCAGGTTGAGAACCTGGGTTATTGCCTGGTTGGTTTCCAGGTTGGCCAGTTTGGTTGTTTCCTGGTACATTACCTGGACCTGCTGGATAATATACAGGGTTCGCTCCAGGATAATAACTAGGATTACTGCCTGGTTGGTTTCCGGGTTGACTATTAGGGCTTTTTCCTGGTTGAGAACCTGGGTTATTGCTTGATTGGTTTCCGGGTTGAGAACCTGGGTTACTGCCTGGTTGGTTTCCGGGTTGGCCGTTGGGATTGTTTCCGGGTTGAGAACCTGGGTTACTGCCTGGTTGGTTTCCGGGTTGGCCGTTGGGATTGTTTCCGGGTTGAGAACCTGGGTTATTGCCTGGTTGGTTTCCTGGTTGAGAACCTGGGTTATTGCCTGGTTGGTTTCCGGGTTGAGAACCTGGGTTATTGCCTGGTTGGTTTCCGGGTTGGCCATTAGGATTGTTTCCTGGTTGAGAACCTGGGTTACTGCCTGGGGTTTCCGGGTTGGGTTGGGATAGTTTCTGGTTGAGAACCTGGGTTATTGCTGGTTGGTTTCGGGTTGAGAACCTGGGTTATGCCTGGTTGGTTTCCGGGTTGAGAACCTGGGATTGCCTGGTTGGTTCCGGGTTGAGAACCTGGGTTATGCTGGGGTTCTGGTTGAGAACTGGGTATTGCCTGGTTGGTTCCGGGTTGAGAACCTGGGTTATTGCCTGGTTGGTTTCCGGGTTGGCCGTTGGGATTGTTTCCGGGTTGAGAACCTGGGATGCCTGGTTGGTTTCCGGGTTGAGAACCTGGGTTATGCCTGGTTGGTTTCCTGGTTGAGAACCTGGGTTATTGCTGGTTGGTTTCCAGGTTGGCCGTTTGGTGTTCTGGTACATACCTGGACCTGCTGGATAATATACAGGGTTCGCTCCAGGATAATAACTAGGATTACTGCTGGTGGTTTCCGGGTTGCTATTAGGGCTTTTTCCTGGTTGAGAACCTGGGTTATTGCTTGATTGGTTTGGGTTGAGAACCTGGGTATGCCTGGTTGGTTGGGTGAGACCCTGGTTTATTTCCTGGTTGGTTCCCAGGTTGAGAACCTGGGTTATTGCCTGGTTGGTTTCCAGGTTGGCCAGTTTGGGTTCCTGGTACATTACCTGGACCTGCTGGATAATATACAGGGTTCGCTCCAGGATAATAACTAGGATACTGCTGGTGTTCGGGTTGACTATTAGGGCTTTTTCCTGGTTGAGAACCTGGGTTATTGCTTGAGGTTTCCGGGTTGAGAACCTGGGTACTGTGGTTGGTTTCGGGTTGGTTGGGATTGTTGGGTGAGAACCTGGGTAGTGGTTGGTTTCGGGTGGCCGTGGGATTGTTCCGGGTTGAGAACCTGGGTTATTGCTGGTTGTCCTGGTTGAGAACCTGGGTTATTGCCTGGTTGGTTTCGGGTTGAGAACCTGGGTTATTGCCTGGTGGTTTCCGGGTGGCCATTAGGATTGTTTCCTGGTTGAGAACCTGGGTTACTGCTGGTTGGTTCGGGGGCCGTTGGGTAGTTTCCTGGGAGAACCTGGGTTATTGCCTGGTTGGTTTCCGGGTTGAGAACCTGGGTATGCTGGTTGGTTCGGGTTGAGAACCTGGTTATGCTGGTTGGTTTCCGGGTTGAGAACCTGGGTTATTGCCTGTTGGTTTCTGTGAGAACCTGGGTTATTGTGGTTGGTTTCCGGGTTGAGAACCTGGGTTATTGTGGTTGGTTCGGGTGGGTTGGGATTGTTTCGGGTTGAGAACCTGGGTTATGCCTGGTTGGTTCGGGTTGAGAACCTGGGTATTGCGTGGTTCCTGGTTGAGAACCTGGGTATGGGTTGGTCAGGTGGCCGTTGGTGTTCCTGGTACATTACCTGGACCTGCTGGATAATATACAGGGTTCGCTCCAGGATAATAACTAGGATTACTGCCTGGTTGGTTTCCGGGTTGACTATTAGGGCTTTTTCCTGGTTGAGAACCTGGGTTATTGCTTGATTGGTTTCCGGGTTGAGAACCTGGGTTACTGCCTGGTTGGTTTCCGGGTTGGCCGTTGGGATGTTCCGGGTGAGAACCTGGGTTATTGCCTGGTTGGTTTCGGGTTGAGAACCTGGGTTATTGCCTGGTTGGTAACCTGGGTTATTGCCTGGTTGGTTTCAGGTTGGCAGTTTGGTTGTTTCCTGGTACATTACCTGGACCTGCTGGATAATATACAGGGTTCGCTCCAGGATAATAACTAGGATTACTGCCTGGTTGGTTTCCGGGTTGACTATTAGGGCTTTTTCCTGGTTGAGAACCTGGGTTATTGCTTGATGGTTTCCGGGTTGAGAACCTGGGTTACTGCTGGTTGGTTTCCGGGTTGAGAACCTGGGTTATTGCCTGGTTGGTTTCGGTGGGTTGGGATTGTTTCTGGTTGAGATCCTGGGTTATTGCCTGGTTGGTTTCCGGGTTGGCCGTTGGGATTGTTTCCTGGTTGAGATCCTGGGTTATTTCCTGTTTGGTTTCCGGGTTGGCCATTGGGGTAGTTTCCTGGTTGAGAACCTGGGTTACTGCCTGGTTGGTTTCCCGGTTGAGAACCTGGGTTATTTCCGTGTTGGTTTCCGGGTCGGCCAGTTGGATTATTTTCGGGTTGGTTGCCAGGCCCAGTTGGGTAAAAAACGGGGTATGATCCAGGATAGCCGTTTGACTGATATCCGTTTTGCTGACTGTTTCCATTACTTGAAGCATGAGATGAACCATAATTGTAACCATACCCACTTTGTACACTTGAACTTGAGGAAGATCCTGTTTGTGTATTGGAGTTGGATCCTTGGTAGCCATTTTTATTACCTTGGTAGTTGCCTTGTTGGCTACCTGGTTGACCATTCGGATTGTTTCCTGGTTGGCCTAATGGGTTCTTTCCTGGTTGACTACCTGTAATAATTAAAATAAGCTTTTAACAATAATATAAAATAAATAAGTTTAAGACGGCCTGCTACATATGCCTTTATGTGAATGTAGAAATGCTGCGACACTCTCTTTTAATACGTTTTGTTTTACATTACATTAAATTTTAAAATTACCGTTATATATTTAATGCATTCTTCATATAAAAAGCGCATGTTTAAAGCATTTTATGTGTATTGAAAATTTTAAGAAAAGTAATTAAGCACCTACCTGGATGTATTGGATTAAATCCGTGGTGGATTGGATTTGCCTGTGGACCTACTGGCAATATTTCGATGGGCAGCGTGTTTCGTCCGTGAGGCTTGTGAGATTTGTGGTTTTTGTTTACAGGAGCAGTCTGGATTAATGGAACTTGTGCTGATGGCAACTCTTCTATCAAAGGAACAAACGGAATCGGTTTATGACTAATGGGATGCTTATGGCCATGGGGAACTGGGCTTGGAATAGGATGAATCGGGTATTTATTGGGTGGTGGAAAGAACGGCAGAGGTTGCTTGCCTGGATAATAGGGATTGTATCCCGGGTACGGCGGGTATCCTGGAGATGGCGAAATAGGATATCCCGGTGGTGGCACTAATGGGTGAGATTGGTGATAGTACTGCGGCTGTGGTAAGAAAGGGTGAGGCTTGGGGGCAACTAAAAAATAAAATTAAGTCAGCTATTGCACTGTATTATTTAAACGATAATAAAAATATATCTCGTAACTTATATTTAGAAGAGATTTATTGAACTTACCATTAACCGATGTATAACGTTTTTCACTAGAAGCTCTTGCGCTTTGTGAATTTGCATTGGATTGAGAACTTCTCACATAACTTCTTTCAGGTGAATAACTGGCAAGGTATTCACTTCCGGAGGTGGCTCCCGAGTTTGACTCTCCTGAATTCTGACTAAAAACATCATAGCCGGACTCCCCGCTGCGATAACTTTCAGCCTGCTCACCAGAGAACGATGAACCCTGAGTTTGCGACTCCGATGATGAATAGCCCTCGTTTACGCCATATTCTGAAATAAAAATGATATCAGCAAATGCTAGCTTCTATAAAAGTTACAACAACAATCTATTCGAATTTGAACAATTTTGCAGAAGAAATTCATTTTTCATATTTTCTAACGAATTGCACAATCTTTGTAATTGGACAAATTTAGTCAATACTGAGAAGAAAGCGCAAGTGGCCTCTTCATAGGCTAAATAATCCACAACACTGAGATTGCAAGTATGTACTTTTGCTGTAAGCCGTACATGATGTACAAGTTATTAATTATTTAAACATTATACATATATACAACCGTCATAGCCCACTGTACGCCTCTTTTAAACTAAATGTTTATTAAAAAAATGAGGTTTTTTATATCACTATTTATATATATCTTTATTATCATAGCTAGTGACAAAGATACAAAATACATAAATAATAAAAGAAATTGTTTTGTTAAGGGAGCATCACTTGGGCCCCTGTTTTACTTCATGCATATCGATGACATAATACTGCAATCTCGCCCATTACTTACCGATCGGTATCATGTTCACAGTATACATTGGGTGACCGAAACGATCCATTGCCTTTGCCGTAACCACTTCATACTCTACATCGTCATCTGCAATTAACGCTAATGTCAATTGCTTAGACAAAGGGCGCGCTCAATCAGGATTTGTCTCGATTTCGATTTATTCATCGAAGGCTTACTTCTACTTATCCCGTAAATAATGAATTTTTAATATCCGTAAGTTCTATTAGTCGAGTTTTGTATGACGAGTTTTGTATCTTAAATTGTCAGGAGGCGTCGTAAAAATTTTTCTTTGACATAAAGCAAAGATTACGTAAATAGTACAATCTTTTACCAAATCTAATTTATCAATTTCTCAATATTACTGAATAAACATTGAAGAAGTTGCCTTTTCCTTTGCGTAAATTTTAAGAGAGTTACTCCCAGGTAGCTTTGAGACTTCTTACATACTATTAAATATAATCGTCAAATTAGAAAACGACTGGACACGACAGGACTTATTATAAGAAAACTATCCTTCAAATTATTTAGAGAACTTCATTACAGATCTTTGAAAATTAAAAAATACAAAGAATAACATAAGTCTGCAGCGATTACCGATATTAATAAAAGATGATAGATAGATTCTTCCAACTTAATCACTATAATTATAATAGGAAGGTACTAAAGTATAGTTTAAACTTCTTTAGTCAAAGCAAATCGCTGATCGCTGAAGACCAAATAATTGCGAATATACGTACCGGGTACTGGCAACTCATAACCTAAAGCGGGGTCTGTAAAACAATTACATTGTTAAACTTAGTTCTGGAAAATTGTGATTGTTTAATCAAAAAATTTGTGTTGGAGAAATTACGTTACCTTGGGGAGCTGCTTGAGCGTGCAGAATCTGGAAAACACGAGAATAGAAAAATAATTAACTTGAACATATTTAGTTACTTCGAGATGAATGTCGATCCAGACGGGGGCTATTCATTATAAGGAAGAAATCCCTGTGGGAATCAAACCCACGACTATTAATAATATAGAAACGTAGTTCAACGTTGTCAGACCGTAAATATACCTATATAATAGTGTACACAATTAATGTTTAATCATATCTTTTCAACTATAAGAAAAAATTAAGCTGCAAGAAAACCAATAACAGATAATACAACGATACAACTTTCATTGTTATGTATAATGGTTCTCAAAAACAATCTTTCGATGAAAATAATACTCACGCTCAAGACACAAAAGACGAAAGCAGGAACCATGTTGGCCTTAGGATCTGCGGATCCGTAGAAGACCTATTCCACACTACAATCGTATCAAAGGGAATACAGCTTTTATACGCCAACATAGTGCTGAACAAACAAAATAAATTTTAATAATATAATGGGCAATAAATTATCAATTACATCTGTTTAAACATCCATTGTTATTTTGGGCAGTTGTTTTTACCGATTTGAAACAATTGAAACTACAAATAATAGGTTCTACGAATTTAATTAAACACATAATTATTTTATTATTTCTTCCGTTAACTAAACCAATATTTAAATAAAACATTTTGACGGTTTAAAACGCGATATATATTAGTTAAACGTATTTGAAAATAAGTTTAACTATCGCCCGACGTCGTGGGTAATAGCTTAAGTTTATAAAGACGAAGGAGTTTGCAAAAACGCATTTGGGGGCTCAGAATAGCGATTCTCGCGGCCGAAATCGTTGACACAGCTAATGTGTTATAAATCTTGCTATATCTTGATAATATATTAAGGTTTCAATTGAAAATCGATTGTGTTGATTTTTACATAAATCGTAGTCTCAGATGTTCCCAAGAATAACCGTATTTTTTAAATTTAGTCCAATATATCGGTTACATCTATAGCTATCACTAACTTAGGAGATTTAATTACTCATGTCAACTCAATATGCATGACATATTTGCAGTTATAGTGATGTTTGTAAAAGAGCGGGAATTACATCTATCATTGCCACAGATATAACTTTCCTGCCAAAACGGTGCATTGTGCACAGATAAAATACAACATACATATACAGATAGATTGATATTAATTAACTAAAATTTCTAAAATAAAAAAAAAGGTGAAGGTTGGCTTATGTTTTTGGCTAGATTAACAAATAATCTTTATGGATTACAACACGATGCGTTAAGGAAGCCGTGTGTCATCAATTGGGCCGAATGCAGAAGACTCATAAATTTCTTGCTTTTGAATACAACCTATTAGTAAAACGGACATAGAAATATGTCTGACCATAGGTACCTTACTTACAAGAAAGAACTTTTTGATTTACGCAGAGGCACGATAGATTTACACCATTTCTAGTCAAGCCATTATATTATCTACTGGTAATCGTATGGGTATGAAGACATTAAGACCGTGTCTAAAGGTACTTTAAAAATAATTTATTTTGCTTAAATAAATAATTATTATCACGCTTTTTTCTTTAAAACGAATGCAAATATTTATTTTTGTATGCACTTAAAATGTTTTTAATGAAGGTTTTATTTACTTTTTCTTTTTATATAGAGGAGGACAGATAAGCGTGAGGTTTTCTTGTTTAAAGGTGAATTAGCCCACCCCATCTAACTTATATATATAGCAAACAAATTTGCCTAATAACTATCGAAAATCCATAGATTTATATCGAATCGAATTTCATACTTTACGCCTTTTCTATCTGTGGGCCTTTCATCCAGAATTTCGTTATTTTTAACAAGCATTTAGTGATAAAAACTTTATGTCAAGTTTAATATAAAAACTATCCTACATCTGAGAACCCTTAGATTTGAGCCTACTAGTAAAAAAATCAATGACATGTAGAAAGGATTAGTAGTACATATTCATTTCATATTAATATCATATTAATATCATATTAATATCATTATTAACCCAATTTTTAAACAAAAATACAAAATATAGCCTTGAACACGTAACGTCAATTTAAACAAACATTTACACTGAAATGCGCAGAACTTTCCTTTGTCTGTGCTTAAATGGAATTTAGGTACACCTGTTTAAATACAATTAAATTATTACGAATTGGCAATAAGTGCTATTTAATTTTTACAATTATTTCTTAAAATTATCGTCCAAGTTTCTAGAGAGTTTGAAATGAAGCTATGAATTATGATTTTATAATAACCATTACTAGAATTCTTTATTTACATAAGTACAGTTCAGTGTTTTAAACTGAATATATATTTTTTTTATTTTATGTATCCCATTCGCGTTCATTACTATAAGATTTTTTTTCTGTATGAAGATCTATTTAATGAAAATATCTGTATAAGTTTATTTATCTGTACTATTTTTAGAACCAGAAGTAAGTTTTCGATCCACTTTTCAATCGTAGCCTGGCCAATTCTTTAAGAATTGTTTAAGCTTCAATGATAAATAAATAAAAATATATATAAATCCCAAATATAGCACACGATTTAGGATTTTACAAAATTTTGGCGAATGCAATAATTTTTTTATAAAAACTTTGTAATGACAAAATATTGTAATATATAATATAGAATTGTATTGTTTAATAATATCGATTTTATATTAAGTAATAATCGATTGCTATTTGGCATAATAGAAGCTTCAAGTGTCAAGTTACAACCATCTATCAAAATTTTACATTTTTGTCAGTGACAAGGCCTGTTATGTGACATTCTATTTATTGTTGCCAGCTAAAGACGATTCAACCAAAATCAGACCGATTTTAGTGTTCATGAAATATGTTTTGCCTTTTGAATATACATACAAAATATCAACTAGTTTATATAAAGGTACTAAGTAGAACAAATATCGTTAATAATATATACAACTATAATAATTAATAAATTATTTAATTTGATTTAATTTTTTTGTTGTCAAGGTTTCTGGGTAATTTGATATATTCATATGACAACATTGCGGTATTCGCAACTTTGTTGAATTGCGACAACCTATTTCCGTGAATAATATTTAATTAATAGTTTTTTATGAATTTTATTTACTGAGGACTAAAGTGGTTAATTTATGGAACTCTGTGAACAATTACTTAACACCCCTTTTACTGTTTTGTGCGACTGTGAAAAAACATTGTTTTCGAGTTAAAGCATACCACGGAGAAAATACAGTAAGTTTTCCTTATGTAAATTAGTTTTTGTTTTATGCTATGGCGTTTATAGGTCTTTTGCGCAGTTTTACAGCCTTGAAACAGTTCGTCTACTCGTTAAGCTTCATGTATAAAGTTAAATTAATCATGTAAATTGTAGACAGACTAATAAAACGACACTTTCTACTATGACATCAAAAGTTTTGTACCAGCTTCAGGGTCTAAGACTCAGTGGTTAAGACATTGTGCTGGGCCGCGGAAGATCCTGGTTTCGAATTTAGAGAAACTCAAATTTTGGGATAGATGTCTGATCAACTATTGTCTCTATGCTCAAATTATTCATGTCTATTAATAAAATTAATTCATCAACTTGTCCAGTGTAATAGACACTACATCACTCCCTGGCCAGGAAAGAGAAACAAGTCAGGCTATGAAACAATAAAAAATTGTGTCCTATTAACTTAGTTCATTGCAAAATAGATATTTATATACAAAAGTTTATATATCCTATGTATAATACTAAGATGTATATTTCTTGGAAATATTTAATGGCTCCTTAAAAAAACAACCAGCTTTATCCACATTTTGACCCAAAACCTCTGCAAGGAGGAAATGGGGAAATAGGTCGGCCGATAACAAGGACTAATCACCCGTCCTACCACAGGTGTCCCCGAAAGAAATTAATAAAAATAAATCCACGTGAATATTGTGTTTTTAGACAAGCTTAAAATGTTACTGTTATCATGAATACCAAGTATTTATTAGTATAACACTGTAAATTGTAAAATGTACACTTGGATGTGTCACCAGTATGATGCAAATCATATAGGGTTTAATTGAAACTAATAAAACTGAAGCTAAATGTTTAATGGGAGAACTCGCGCGACTAATGTAGAAAAACATCTGGAAGTTTACTTCATTTTTTAAAATAGTCGGCTTACTTCTTAATTATAAACTGTACTTTGTATCTAGTTGTTACAAACAACACACATGCAAATATTTTATATTCATGTGACAAAAGATTACTTGTGTCCGCATAACTTGTATCAATAATAAAAATTTATCAATTACAATATTCTTAGAAAGAAAATTATTTTACCCTATAGTTATTTTTCACTTCGCAAAGTGAAATAAATTTAATTTACTAAACAATATAACTGGTTTCCTTCTGTGAGGCACGAGGCATGAACATTTCCGTGTCTATTTTATTGGTCTAATTAATTTACAGGCAAATCGTCAACTAAACATGTGCACCCCATGCTACTAAATCAACTTTGTTTGACCATTAAACTATGGAGACAGCAATTGTGGTTATAATCAGACTTTGAGATTTTTCTCAATATTTTAAGATAAACCCTTGCTCATCACCTGGTTTTAAAAAACTTTGGGTTTGTTGAGCATTTTACTGGGGATTTGAATATGATGATGGTTTAATGAAATTGTCCAGCTTAAAATGGCTGAACGCCAAGAGGTAAGCCTCGTAACAGTACGTGCACAGTAACAACTTAATATATGTAAGTAATAACGTTGTGTTTCTAAGGCCTGTTTTATACTAGACTAGCTTTGGACGTCTTCATCTTCCCTTCATCTTTATAGACTTAAGCTGTTACCCACGACGTCCCGTCCATATTGCAATTTAATCTTAAAAGATAGACATATTGCGTCACTGACTTTTGCTTGATAATTCAAAGAGGAATCATTATTTCAAACATATTTTATTGGGTATCTTGAACCGCTGTCGCATCGTAGATAGAAAAAAAGATAATTACCCTTTTCTCCATTCTTACCTTCTTTGTCACAGCGCGGTGTCCACTATCTAGATAACAACACAAAAACATTTTTTATATTCCCACCGTTAGTTTCTGAGATTAGCGCGTTCAAACAAACAAACTCTTCAGCTTTATATATTAGTGTAGATATGTATATAGTAAATTATTACATTAATATAATTCCTTTGTTTATAATATTGGTTTTAGCTTACATGTGGTCATCATAGTGGCAGGTAGTATTTTTCCATGAATGTGTATCTATTTTTAACAACCATAAAGTTTTATAACAAACATTATGTTTTGAGGAAATACGAGTTTTAGGATCGGGTTTGTTATGATATATATGTATATATTGTATATCAAAATTCTAAATATGGTTTTCCTCATAT